GCTCAACAAATGCAACTGTAGACCTGTTACTGTGCTGGTAACAGTGGATAAGGTGTTCGATCAGCTACTCGCAGGACAACTCGAACCTCTATCTAACAAAGTATTTGACGGCTTGAATTCAGCATACCGTAAACGATATAGCTGAGAAATTACTACGTTAGTGCGTCTGGTCGAGAACTGGAAGAGGTCTCTTGACAACAACCACACAGTTAGGGTATTATCTACTGACATGAGCAAAGCTTTTAATTGCTTATCCCCGCTGTCCTGCTGCTTGCAAAGCTCCAAGCTTATGGTCTATGTAGCAACTCCTTGGCTCTTCTAAAGTCCTATTTTATGAACAGGAAAAACAGGGTGTAACTAGTGACATGAGCATGGAAAGCAGTCAAACGTGGATGTCTCTAGGGGTCATCACTTGGCCCAGTGTTGTGGAATTTTTTATCAAAATGATCTGTTTTATGAAAACATTCGATCTCAACTGAGTGCTTACGCTGACGACCACCAAATATATTTTTCGGGTGAGAAGATTGACAACGTCGTCAGCCGTCGTGAGGAGGACGCGAATACAACTGGTCGCTGGTATAAATCCAACTACCTCTCGGGTAATCCATCGAAATATCAAGCACTGGTTGTGTCCAGAGCCAAGCAGGAAGTCGAGAAAGCGGTGCACATCGATGGCCATACCATTCGGCGGGCTCAAGAGATTAAACTACTGGGGGTGATACTCAGGATGTAAGCCTACAGTTCTTGGAACATATTGAGCAAAATTGCACCAAAACAAGCAGAAGAATTGGCGTGTTATCTAGATTAAGGAATCAGATCCCCACAACAGCAAAACTAACAATCTATAAAACACTTCACATACTGTAGTCTCGTTTGGCACTTCTGTAAGGTTAGTGATAGGCGAAAACTAGAGCGCATGAACAAAAGGGGCCTGCAGACAGTCTACAATGACTGGTCCGCATCGTACGATGACCTCCTAAGAAGAGCAAAAATGACAACACTTTATAATCGGAGGCTTTATAGGATATAGCCATTTTCATGTTCAAAATAAAGCACGGCATGTTGCCAAGCTCAGTAACCGAACTATTTAACACTAGTCACACAAACTATAATCTCAGAAACGCAGACTTCAGAGGGGAATGTTTCAACACTACAAAATACGGTAAAAAAGACATCAGAAAGACAGACATTGCCTTGTTAATAGATGACTCGTGTAACGACTGTGTCCTTTGCAAGAGTTAGCATTAATTCACCTCACTATTTTACTCCTTTTTAGAGTTACTCAATTTACGATTCAGAGATATTATTAGGAAGTTATTTATAAGAACTAGAATTTATTAGAGTTTTTATTATAATTAGAATTTACAATATATTACTGGAGTTTTATATATATGATACAGTCTCCCCAATTAGTAAGGCACTGTGCCTGAGCTATAAGACATGAGACTATTATTATTATTATTATGTTAAACAAAGTGTTATTATTATGTTAAACAAAGTGTTATGTACAGGAAGATTTAAAACAATTTTTTCCTTACTTCACTGCATTCTTTAGCACAGTACCCAACAGTCAACCAAGATTCTTGTTTTGGAAGGATGACCATATAAGGACTGATCTTGAGGCCAACAGCAAATATACCAGCGTCGAACTCTCGGAGATTAGATGAGTAGTAAAATCGAGCCCCTGAACTGTCCTTGGGTCCCTAAATGAATGGAAGATGCAATATTTACTAGGCCCTGAAATACTTGCAGTATGAGCTCTTTTTAACTCTAAATTAGTGACTTAATTTCCATGGCATTCTTGAAGATTTTAAGGTGTCGTTTGCTGTTTAGTTCTCTACTGTTCGTTTAAAAACAGTTTAGCAAAGAAGTTTCTTGGTAAGATAATATTTTTAATCCTTTAGGTTTTTATTGACACACTTTGCGGTTGGCTAAAAAAATATTGCGCCACTTTCTAATGCTTGCATAGGTGAAGCACTCTGGTAAAGTTTCTTGGGCGTCACACACGTCTGTCGTTCCGTCTAGCCTACTTGCAGCCTCTCTTGTTGGGGACAAGAGCGGGGCAAGCGATCGAGAGAGGGGACGCGATCAGTGAACATCTCGCATGAGTAACACGAAGTGAATCTAAAACGAAACCCCAATTTGAAAGCCTCTCAGGTCACATTCCCTCAGACGGTCTGATAATTTGCTTGGGCTTTTGTCTGCATGTATGGTGATTAGTAATTGATCAGATTTAATACTATAGTTTTGGTGATCTACACAACATGTTATTTTTATGCCACCATCGATTTTTGCATGAATGAGAGACGTCAAAGACAAGTTATATCTATCCAGTGATTATTTAATTAACGATAAATTTTGAAACCATTTTAGTTTTACCAAATGACAAAATTAGTAGGGGTAATTACATTCAAACAAAAAACAGAAAAGGCTCTTAATTATTGGTTGGTAGTGATTGTGTTACACAATATATAAGTACTTACCCATGATCCCCTCTGGATTGTCGTAGTGAATCTCCAGCAAGTAACTTTTCGGAGTATCTACTGTTCCTATTGGAAAACCAGCATTTTTCGGATAATAAAATGCCTGTGTAGGGAACAAAGAAAAACAAATAAAAGAGGCTGATGGTCATATTAACTCTTAAGCTCCACTGTGCTAGGCTCTTTCATTTGCTTTCGCAATAGGTAGCTAAAGCCTCTTATCGCTTCCCACTAGGACTGTTATCATGGTTTTCTGCAGAAAATTGAAAGTTAGACGTTCCACAGTATTCTAGTACAGCCAATTTACAATCGTTTACCTCACCACCTACTCCCCAAACAGCTAACACTTTGCCATAGAAACATTTGAGGAATGGCATGTTGGCGATGTCTTTACAATCAACACCAAAACCGTAATGACTCTCATTATAGTCACCATGGCACTCGTACACAAGAAAATGATGGACTAATCCTTCATTTCCCTTTTGAATATATGGCTCGATCTGCAAAGATAAAAACAAAAGATAGTCAAGATACTCGATGAAGATGAATGAAAGAGGCACGTCAGAACTTAATGACAATAGTATACTTGTACAAAGATCACGCCAAGTGAGTAATAGCATATATAGAGCAATGTTTTACGGTTTATTATCAGAACGAGACACCATTAAACGATGGGTTCCCAGTCATAAAACGTGGTCTCTCACATTGATCGTTCTTCGTTTCACAGTGAGTGTAAGTGTTCTTACTACAATCAATATCCTCCTGTGTGTAAAAGAGCTGGAACGCAAACTCCAATCGATTACTGAAAACATCTACTATACCTTGGTTATGTGGTGCTTCGAGGTGATCTTAGGTGCCTTAATCAGTGAGCACCAGTAGGTTGTGTGCTTCTTGGGAATGGTAACCTGTAAGATAATCGTACATCAATTTGGGTTGAGTAAACGTGTGATAACTTTGAAACGTTTACAGTAACAATCTTGGCAGTAAATATGTGTTATATCACACATGAAAAAGACGAGAGTGAAGATGATGATGACGACGACGACAACGATGGTGGTGGTGGGGATGATGATGATGATGATGATGATGATGATGATGATGATGATGATGATGATGATGACGGTGACGGTGACGGTGACGGTGATGGTGATGGTGATGGTGATGGTGATGATGATGATGATGATGGAGATGATGGCCATGGTAATGGCTGTGCCGATGATGATGGGTGTACTTCTTATGATTTTAGTGGGGCTCAGAGAGGAAGAGTTTGGCGCCGGATGATGGTGGTGGTGAATGTGAAGATAATCCTGATTGACGAGTGATTTCAATGCGCCTTTTCCAGCCTTGCCAATGAGTTTCGCTAACTGGTCTATTGAAGTTATCTTATAATAATTACTAACCCATGATCATTATCAAAGGCATCGACATCAGCGCTTTCTTTCTCTCGTGTGCAAATCAGACAACATAACGTAACATAACTGTAACAAGTACATTCTCGGAGGTCTACGTAGTGTATGTTCTTACGTTTTTATTTTGAATCACAAAACTCTTCCATCCTGTCTCGTTGATTTGTTTCTTGTCCATGTTGTTGAGGAGTAATATGCTTCTTGGCCCTCTGAAAGTGTGCTGTTTAAAATCTTTTTCAGTCTCGGGATCCTCCGTGTGGTAAGCAAACACCACCTTTGTGGTGCCTTCCTGTTGGATACAAAACAGCCTGGTTAATTACTCTGTCTAGGAATTGAGATAAACAGGTTCTTATGAAGGCTATGATACAACAAACGCGAGCTGGTGCAGAATAACATTTAGGTTGAGCATTAATATGATTGGTTTATGACCATAAACAGAATCTAAGACAGTGTCTAAAGAGAGCAAATCAAAGAAAGGACGACGTATCTTATCATGGCGTAAAACGTTGTCAAGACTAGAGCCGTTGTCAAACATCTCCGAGTATCATTCACGAAAAAGGGGAAGCAAATGGGAGGTCAAGTTTAGCATTGCAATAGATTTTTTTTTTTATGCATGGCACATCAAACCTGCGAAAGGTATAAAGCCAGCAGAGCTCAGAAATTTATAGAAGGGGAAGTGAACTTGATTCTCTTTTTTCACTGCCTTACCTTTATCTTCCTGTCCCTGGAATCGCATGTATCAAACTTTCTGTTAAATTTCAACACAGTTGTTTGGTCAATCTCCTCGAAGCCAGTTAAGATGTAGTTTTGTTCGCTATCCTTTGGTGGTAACGATTTTGCGTCAGCATATCGATCCTAAACACAATGCTAAAGATAAGTTACTTTTCTAAATCAATGATTGACCTAAATTTGGTGAAAATTGTGTTTGCACAATAGTTTACAGCTGGCATTTAGACAAAAGTTCTCTTAATGACGAAAAAAAGGCGTTATAAAGCTATTCTGACATCCACTCATGCCTAATTGTTAGAATCATTGTTGGGTAATATTGTTGCGGCTTTCAGATGACGTCACTAAAATTCAAACTACAAAACTATCGATCCTACTGAGATTTTACTTTCATGGTGTATTAGAGCAGCTGAAAACTAATTTTCAAACAAATTTTCGCTTTAAAAGGTTTCTTGGTTTTGTAATAGAGTACGCTTGAATTTCTAAGCTTTTGCGTGACGCAACATTTACATGACGGCCGAGAGAGCTGTCATTTAGGTTAAAGGTGACTTTTTTACGAGGAATTTTGCTATCTAAACAGTCCAAGTATTAGAAAAAGTATTACTTTACTGTTTATGAGTTACTCTAGGAGCAAACTCACGCTTTTGTAGCAAAACTCAGTAACGGATGTTTCTGTTGGTTTCCTTCCGCCATGTTGGAGCTCATCCGGATGAGCTCCAGCATGGCTTCTCCATACAAAGCTCTATAAATTTGGGTAAAACAGTTCCTCGGATATCTCGTATACGAATTATTCTTTCCACCCAAATCTTGGCGAGGGTCTTGGTATATTTATCTCCTTTCATTTCCCAGATTCTGGACTTTATCTGTTGAATAGTTTTGATTTTTATTTTGATAAATTTTGAATGGCGTGACACTGAAAACCAGAAATAAGTGAACTATTTACAAGGTCATCATCAGGGTAAGAAAATACCGTCCGTAAATTGCATATTTTATATCCTTAGGTAATTCCCGATGGGAAAAGTTTCGTAACATAGGGGTTAATATCGTCTGTTCAAGCTAGGCTTCAATTGTTGAATCGTATAAACCTTTAAAAATGTGTCGGTCCAATCATAGGCAGGATTCTCAGGAAGCTCTGAGCCGGTGAGGGACGTCTCTGACGCCCATTCGCCGGTCCTTCTTTATTTAGGTACCTTATTTAGGAGAGTATTGCCCCTACCCACACACCCACGGTAATATATCACGTAGTGTGACAACTTTTTTCACCCAAGCTATGTAAGTGTTCTCATGACAAGAAATTTTGTTCCTAAAGCTGCTATTGCGTACTTTTAGGCTAACCTAACACTTTGAAAGTGTGTAGCCTACTATTTATCCATATTTATATATCTCACACAAACGGACCCCTTCGGCTTTCAAGTGTTAAGTGACTGCAGGGGAACCTGCACTAGGCAAAGTTCAAATTAGGTACTTTATGGGAGATTTTTATAACAGCAACTGCGAGTACGAGAATTTTAATCAAAAGGGACACTGGCTTTTTGGTAATTAGGGGACGCATGGCCTTAAAAGCTCTTCATAACGAAGTAGGAATGTGAAAGTTTACTGTCCTTGAGCTTTAATGTGCTTCAAGTGCTTCAAAATCAACATCTCCATATTTTTAACCTACCGTGAGATATCCTTTGGAGTCCTTCACCCAACCGATAACAACATCACTACCGACCATCATGCCGTTACCTGAAGAGAAACCGAACCCAACCCATCCAGTAGTCGCCGCCTCAACAGCGAACGATATGGTCTCCTTGTCCCAGTCAACTGTCCAATACAGTTTCATTAGTTCTGCAGGATCCAACACCGCGTGATGGGCATATTCAGATGAGAGGTCAGCGATGCTTATGGAAAGTAAGGCCGAAAAGGCAACTAGCAGCGCAGGGGACATTCTCTCAGGTGCTCTATCTCGTAATTGAAATGTTCAAATTACTGTCATGCATGTGAATTTGACGTATGTATGAAAACAAAACCACGCATAGTGATCAACGTCACGCGATGTTTCACTCAGAGACTGAGCACCTTTTAGCTTCAAAGTGGTCATTCAATTTAGAATAGAATCCCCTCAAGCTTTTATATCACACTTCGTTTCAGTCTTTCGATTTAGTAAAGAACAAGTGTTTCACCCTTGGCAGAGGGAAAAACTGGCATGCCGAAATCAAGATGTAAAAATGCAGATTAGTTAATGCCAAACAAAGAAATGGACAAATGGCATCTGGGGTACATTTCTGCAAGACTAGTCAATTTTTATCATTTACGTCAATGACGACTGGATTCATTAGTTAATTTTGCAAACTTTATTATCGTTACAGCATGTGGTAGCATTTTTTTTCTACTTACTTCAGTAAAAGGAATATAAGTTACAATGAAGTTAGATAACGTTCACCAAGAAACTTACGACGTACAATAACACATTTTTATAACATCTTATAATAGTCCTAGCGACTTATGACGTCAACCAAAATGGCTACCATATTTGCCTCCATTTTGAGTTTTAGTGAAAACACAGCTAAATATCTTAACTTGGCTTGGCTTGGCTTCCTTTTTTGCAAAGAGTAAATGATAATGGCTTATATCATCTTTAATTTTAATTTATCTACAATGGAGTATCCCAGATATCATTGCGATACCACAGTTTCTCTACCAGGTCTTTTGCTTGACATGCGTTTGGTCTCACTTCAGGATTTTGTTCAAGGCACAAAAGCATCAACTCTTGAAGCTAAAAAAAGAAATGTATAAGTAAATTAAAAAAAATGTAAGAAAAAAATCTTACTATTAACACCTATATTTACATTATGGCCAACTAAATTAAATTTTAGTTTGCTTGGTCTTCTTAAATTAGCATTCTTAGTTTGTTGGCCTGTGATATGATGTAGAAATTTTAAAGGCTACTGAATTATGCGTAAACGTGATGTACGGTAAAGATTGGAAACCATGGTGCAGACAAAAAAACATAACCATGTTGTTGCTACTAATAGCAGCACTCTTACAGTCATCATTTATAAGAAACCGTTAAGAAATAATCTGATCCTGCTGTACTGCTACAGCAAGCTACAACTTACTGCTACGAGAGAACACCACCACTACTGCTAAAGCTGCTACTGCGACTAGTTACCACTCTTACAACTGCTGTTTTTCTGCAAAACTATATATTGAAGCATAAGGTTCTTCAGGAATCAGTCCAATGGACTTTAATCAAGGTTCCCCTTCTTAGCTGTTTTGATCCTACACTGATGTCTAGCCTCCCAGACAAGGCTCTGTAAACCTCAATGTACGTGCATGCCATATCTTAAGCAAGGGTCACGTGAGGCAGAGGTATCTTTTAAAATTCCAATAATTGATGTTGTAGTTAATTTTTATCTCAGTTAATTTTTATGTTTCTATTGTTTTTGGGTATGGTAAGGTATGCTAATAAATTTGAAACAAAGGAAAAATAAAAATTAACTGAAATAAAAATTAACTGCAAAACAACAACAAACAACAACATAACAGTAATACCTCCTCAAATTCATTAGAGTCGCAGCAATTCCTCATCATTTCACTCAGAACGAAACCAAACTGAAGTATATTCTTTCCTAAAATGTCCTTCACTGAGTGACCATTTAAAATACATTCAGGAAAATCCTGAGAGACACGCTGAGCGAAGCCAAAACTTCCCAAGACAGCAGTTATTGGAGGCACCTGGAAGAAAACAAGCTAGGGGATCAATAAAAGCGCTCTAAGCAAAATTGAAAGATATCAAGTAATTGAGGTTTTCTTCAACACAATTTTGATGAGGATTTCTCTGTTCCCTGGTCCTGAGGAAGTTTAGTCAAATGACTCACTGACGTACACCATCACAGCCGGTATACGTCATTCTTTCAGAATGTATTGTCTGTCATGTTAGAAATGTTATAAAATCAACAGAAAGATGCGAAAATCTGTACGGCAAATAAACAGTAACTTCAACCTTCAGGAGTTGCTGGCTTTATAAGGCATCCTAATGCTTTTTAACTCACCCTAAATCCTTTGCCTATCAATACACTGGACGTTGTTATGTTGTTATGGACGACGCCTTTCTGTTCCAAGTGTTGTATGGCGGAGATCAAGTCCATAGCCACAGCGATAAGGGAGTCCAGATTTAAAACAATCCCGTCACTTATCAAATACTCCTCCAAAGTTGTGTTTGCAGAAAAGTCGAAACACAATAAACTATTAATGGGAAAAAAGAGAAAAAAGATGAAAAGGAAGAACAATGGGGTATAAAAACCTCTTAATTTTTATATAGTTTTGGAAGATTTCAGCTCTTTCTAATGTCAATGGCCTGTAAAAATATAACCATTAAGAAATGGAAACAATCCTGACAGTCGTAGTTTCCTCGAAAGCCTGACATAACTGAAGAAATAAAAGACAAAGAAAAAAGTTGAAACGTCTTTCACGTTCCCGTGATAGGGGCTTCCGATCTGCCACCAAGTCACAAGCTAGATCACTTAAACTCTGTTTAATATCGAAGAATCCGGTTAACATGGCCAACCACTACAAATCTCTTGTACGCAGTTCAGATCACTTGTTATTAATACCTGTCAGGCTAAAAGAAAAGAAAGGTTTCAATTACAATGAACTTTTCTTGAATCTTGGGAATCCCTCTGCTTTCTTGTAGTTCACAACACTTTTTTCGGCTGCAAAAAGTAAAAGAAACTCTCAGATGGCAAATACTATTCTTACTGACAATCAGTCGATGAGATTACAGCTACAAGTAATAAGTACAATTAAATCAGAGCAGCCTTAACATTTTGGTCCAAGAATGTGTTGGACGGAGCACCTCATAATGTGATACGCCCCCACGCCGAACCAAAGGTCGAATATTTTGGAAAATTGCTAAGGCGTTAAGCTGGGAATTCAAGCTGTATGCTTTGGATAATACATTTTCTTCCGTCACCATTTATTCAACATTGGAATAAGACAAAGTATTTGTTATCTGCCGCATACTTGCAGAGTGCCAGCAGTATTTGATTATATTGGGATGCTCCAGTCCCTGCCTAAGCTCCTTTGCCAATTCCACTTCCTTGCTCCAGCCCTCTTCTTTTATCTTTGAGAAGTGCTTTATCAGTCGAACACGTGAGTTCTCTTCACTTCCGGAACACGCCACAACAAATCCCTTAAAAACCAAATGAAAAAAACCAAGGTTAGACTTTCATGAATTGTGTAGGACAACGTCACTTCTCGTTCCCACTGTAAAGGACCTTAAATATAAATGGCAAAGGGTGAGGAATTCACCGTTGCCACAGACTGAACAATAATCTTTTATAAACTGTGTCATACTTTCCAAAAAATAACATGTTTCAGACTCTACTAGTTTTGAGCCAAGATAAGGACTTCAATAAAACTAGCGTGCGTAGGTGGCGGTTGTTTTATTTTGTTTCTTTTCTAGGGGGTGTGTTCGTTTGTGTTTCGTAAAGTAAGGGATACAGCCGTGCGAAAGCTGAAACGAGGTCAAACTAGAAAAGGATGGGGGAGGAGGCAAGGGAAAGAAAACAGACACTCTCTTCAGTCTTTCTCTCGCACCCTCCTCCATCGTTTTCTCGTATGACCTCGGTTCAGCTTTCGTGCGGCTCGTTTGACCTCTTAGCGTACGAAATACGAACGAAAAACACACCAAAAAACCGCCTGCTACGCAGGCTCCAATAAAACGTAGGTTTTTTTTATGCGTCAGTCAAAGTATATTTGTTACAAAAAGTAGCAAACATGACAGAAAGTGAGAATTTCTAAACATTTAACTCAACTCAGCCCTGATGATAATCACATTTAAAAAAAAAACTGGTGATTAGTCGAGCTTGCTTAAAAGCGAGAGAGACTCAAACAATGCAAGTGTTTCTTTCTTCTTCTTCCTTTTTTCTTTCGTGTGTTCTCACCAGAAGGGGTCATAGTCCCAGGCGTTCCTAGCGGAGACCGTGGAAACTGGGGAGAAGAATAGTGACGTGACCGACGACATATTCAGAGCGCCGTACATGTTTTGTGAAGAAAGCTTAGGAAACTTTAATGCGAAAGATGTCGAGCTTTTTCGGAACGGGTCGGTCCACGAATCTATCGCTTGAAAGAGTTGATTTCTTTGGAATAAGTGAATACTTCAGTGGTTGAAAAAACGAAAAATCTTTATGAGCAAAACTTCGATGGTGAGGCTAACGGGTTAACTGTTGTAGATTTTTATTAAATGAAAATAAGTCTCGTAATGAGCATGCGGTTTATTTTCGGCAATGATTGAAATGACGCGCCATGTTCATCACTTTTTTGCTCTTCGGCAATGATGTAATTTCTCTCGAATCGAGGCCCTTCAATTTTCGTGTGTTTATACACGTGTACTCCATCAATCCAGAAACAAATCGTCGAATACGGTATAAAAAGTAAATATCCTGAAGAATACTCGACGTTCGATAAAGTAGGACGTAAAAAACTTTTACCGAAGAAATTCTGTTTCGTGTAGAATTAATCGCCTCTTTACTTCATAGGTAATCTCCAAGCAAACTCGATTAAAGGCTTTTAAGTGCGTCTTGATAAGAGTCAATAATGTCATTAAGTTGGAAAGCACTTATAGACAGACAATAGAAATGTAGTAGGAATGTTTAGCCCCATTTTTGTGCAGTACCACATTAACATTGCAGACGCTATGAAGATGCCAAGGAACTTCTTAAATCGGATGATGTCATGTTCAGTTTTTGTGATGGTGATAGTGTTTGAGGAAACATAAAATTGTAGTGTTACCAAAACCAATTCGCCTTTATTGCACTGACAGATGTGCACTATATGCCTGCCAAAAGTCAAAAAACCAGAAAAGGATAATAATTATTGTTCACTTTTAGGTAACCAACAAAGTTGATTTGCAAAATATATCAACAAAAAAGCATATTCTAGTTTCTCTCAACCAATCGGCAAAATCTGTGACGTTTTCAAGAAAAGCGATTCATGTCAAACTACAGAACTTGATGTCATCGACATTTATGTATTCCTCCACAAATGCACAAGATATTTGCGCAAGAAAAGGGAATAAAATATCCCTATCATACTACTGAAAAATATCAATATCTGGTTCAGAAGTGCTGGTATGCGGTTGAAACGCTTTTGCAATCTTTACCAAGGGTCACCCCTTCGCCCCCATTAGGGACGGACCATTAGAAGACTTATAAGGGGGTGTTGGGGGCGGGCGGACGAAGTACAAAAAAAATATTCGCGCAAGGGAAAATTAAATGAAAAAAAATTCATGCACGCCAATTAATCCTAAAAAAATATTCATGCTATGGCCTAAAAAAAATTCATACAAGCAATTTGATAACAAAAAAAAATTCCTGCGGCTCCAAAATTCCCCTTCCCCCCTCTCCATAACTTTTCTAATGGTCCGTCCCTTAGCACTCATACATATGATTTTCTCTCGGCGTATCATAAAACGTTACTACTACAAAAATTGTGACAAGACCTACCACTGACAGAGAGGTTTCATCTGCAAATATGCCTGGTATTTCAACGAGTTTCAGCTCTGACTCGGGTCTCTCATGTTCTAGAATCTCGTCTGGTTGACAGTTGGATTTGTTTGGATTCGAGGTCGGCAACGGCTTCAACGGCATTACCTTGCCTTTTGCTATTAACGTACAAGAAAAAAACATGTCAACCAAAAGTTTTTTTGCTAATGTATCGTACGTACAATTTGTTTAAAGAGAAGGTATCGGGTTTTTTGGTGGTTTATTTTGTAGACTATACTAATTTTAATGAGTCCTTGCGCATGCAGCCGTTAGAACTGAATAGACACCGACCATAGAGACGAAAAAAGATCACTTTATTACGTAACAAACAAGTAAACAAACGGTAGAGTAGTTTTCACTGTATTCAGACCTACAATGGCGGCTAAGTAGAAAATAAAATTAGAAACAAACCAGAATATCCTGTTTCGACGTCAACTTGGTTATTAAATGGTTTCATGACATTTCCTTGTGGCTTACAGTGCATGTATTAAAGGGTTGTAACGTACACCGTCAGTTTATTATGGGGAACTGAAAACTTGCCCCATCTTCGCTCAATGACTTACTTTTTCAGCCATGGCTATATAGTACGCATTAACATAACGTACCTTTATCTCTCTAACAGATTTCCCCGCTAAAAAGTCAGTGAGGGGGTTTATAAGGGAGATTACGACAAAAAAACGGTAATACGGAGCTTATTAAGGAAAGGCGTATTTGAAGGATGCACGCAAACGGAAGTGAGGCCTTTTCCTGCCAACGACCTTGACCTATTTGTATTGCTCGATGTCTGTTGTCTTATAGAGACAATTTGCCCGAGGATTTGGGCAAAACCACTGCACTGCCCAAGAATACAAAAAAGTCCAATTTCGGTTGACGTGCGTCGCTAAAAAACACCTTTGCTTGTTAAATAAGCTCCCTGATAACACACCTGGGTTTCTCTTCGGCCGCCACACTGTACGTTCCAAGAAAGAGATAAGTGAATCAGTGTGTTCACCCACTTTTCTTTTAACGAGTGGAGTAGAAAATGTGTACAATATTGGATTGAGAGCAGAGTTCACTGGGAGAACAAACACCGCAATCCAAACGTAGGCTTGTTTCTCAGGATCATGAAATTTTCCGAGCAAGGATAGAAGGCCAATGACAATAATAGGCATCCAACACAAGAAATCAGTTAAGACAATAAGCATCATTCTCTTAGCCATTTTGGATTCTCTCTTCATGTTTGTTGACCTGACCTGTTTTGCAACTCCCTTGACCCTTAAGTACATTGCTGTATATGCAGTGAGAATATACATAAAGGAGACAAAGTTTAGAATGATAAAAATGCTAACCGCATATTCCCAGCCAGCTTGTCTCTCTGTTGACAGTTGAAGAGGAAGGCAAACAGCTGATTTTCCATAAAATCCAACTTCGCGCTTTTTGTCAAAGAAGTAATCAAACCCTAAGGTTGGAATGATTGATATCATTGTTCCAAGAACCCATATACCTCCCACAATAATGAAAGAACGCTTGCGATTTATCCGTCGCATTTTAAACGGGAAAACAATACAAATAAGTCTATCGGTTGTGATAAGAGTCAGCATCAACACAGATATCTCACTTGATGCCATCGAAAGGACCCCCGTAAATGCGCATGTCAGCCCCGATCTCCAATTGACATCATGTTTAAAGTATTCACCTTGCCATTGTACATCTTTGAAGGCAATGATAAGCAAATAGACACCCATTAGTAGATCTGAAATAGCCAGATTTGTCAGAAGAAATGAATGCACTTTGTTGTCTTCTTTCACAAAAACTCTCAATAGAATAACGAGAAGATTTCCAACAAGAGCAGTAAGCCCCAAAATCCAAACACAAATCTGAACACCTTTGTTTTTCATCAAGTCAGAACAGCTAGAAAATTCGTCTTTGGGTGAGATGCAGCGAACCCCAGGTACTACGTTTTCGGCATAACAACAAAGAATATACTCGTCCAAATAACTGAAAAGAAAACAAATAATAAAATATCAAGTTTCTTACTGCACTGGAGTATTAAAGATATAGAGAATATTACACGGTGGCGAGAAGATATGAATTTTATGTTCGAGTGGCAAGAACAATATCTCACGAGTGAGCGCAGCGAATGAGTGAGATATTGCTCTTGCCACGAGAACATAAAATTCATATCTTCGAGCTAACGTGTATTAGTATATACACACTCAGTGATCTTGGTGATTTAAGCAATCTGATTGGTTCGCTATCTCGGACTATTCAACAATATTCACCTCCTAGCGAGTGGATAATGTGTGAGCTCGGTGTTTTTCCCGTTTTTTTTAGAGAACGATCTTTTAAAAGTCGACAAAATCCTAGGGCTGACTTTTTTTAAGGCAAGAAAAGACTTGGAAGGATTCAATACGGCGTTTTTCAATTTACTGTAGCAGGAGTTTTGTGCTCGATGGATTGTTTACAACTCCCGTGTATTCGCGTAGAAGAAGCCGTTTCGTGAACTCAGCGTTTTCTAAGAAGAAAATTTTGGCTCAAAAATCGAAGTTTATTTATGACAAACAAATTTAAAAGGAAATGTTTGCAGAAATTCTACATTTCAAGTAAACAGGAAAAAGAATGATACAGGAAGACGACCTCTTACCTCGAGCAACCGAGCCGCCATTTTGTCAGCACTTCATGCGAAGAACGACACAACATGCCCTTTTGGCTATAAACTTGGCGAGACAACAGAAAACAACACAGCTCTACTTTTTTTTTTTCTCAGGTAAGGAAACAGTTCAAACTTTTAGCGATTCCATTGAAGCCATTACGCTGTTGTTTGCGAAATGAGTAAACTTGTGAATTGCCATGTTTGAAAATTCTGCAAAGATCTATTTTTAAACTTACGCGTGATTTGATCTGTCAATCAAATCCTACTTTTGAATGGTTTCCTTTCTGATTTTGTTGAGATCACTTCGTGTGTATATACTAAAACAATTATTCTTCTCAATCTCGGTGAATAGTGGCTTTGGGAATATTTACCTCGCCGCTTTCGCGGCTCGGTAAATATTTTGCCACTATTCACCTCGATTTCAAAGAATAATTGTTAAATATTCTTTTTATTATATAAACATACTGATGACGGCGTTTTTGATGATTTTCCGAAGATTTCCGACCACCTTCCGAAGATTTCCGAAGATTTTTCAAATTGTCCCGAAGACCAGACGAACGTTCCCGAACATTTTCCGAGAATTTCCGAAAATTTCCGAAGATGTCCGAAGATTTCCGAAGATTGCCGAGCACTTTCGAGGAAGATCCGAAGATGTTTCGATGATACACTAACGAATTTAAGTACAATTTAAGAGACAAACCTGATGTCAGTGAAATTATCGATATCTTCACAAGTAAAAATATCGTATTTGCTGCGGAGCGACCGAAGGGAGCGAGCAGCAACATAATCAGGATTTAAAGGAAATATATAAGGGGCGACGAATTCTCGAATTCATCACTTTTTACCACAATGCATTGCATTTAACCACACTTTTTACCACAATGCATTGCATTTAACCGGAGTGCATTGCGCCACAAACAACTCAAATAAAAACACGGGGAAGTTCGGTGGGTGAGAGAGTGCATCGTTCGCTGCTCAGACTTAGAGTTTTCTTTGTGGCAAATTTTCTACAGCACGGTTAGAGGTCTTACCAAATTTTAAGACACGCAGGAGTCTTTCAGATGAGTACGGTGGTTAACTTGGGGATTGGATTTCAATTCAAGAGCCTTTTTTGACTCGTCCAGGTGTTAAACCTGACGAGAAGATGAGCATTTGCTCTTCGACTCCGCAACACGGGGGATATGCAAATTCCAGCTTGCTAGAAGGTGATGTGAAAGTGAGAAAATGTCATGCAATGCTATTCTTAAGAAACTGTATGAGCCGAAAATGGATGTGATTTTGACCATTCGCTTCAAAATAACAGCGGAAATCGAGATAACAAAACATATGTTTTGTGTCCTACGAGGACGAGGACGTGTATCGGCGTTTTGAAAAGCATAATAATGTTCTTTCATTCATTTATTGCCATGGAATATGCCTTTACATTGTTTTTTCACTGCTAATAGCTCAGTTAATGCGGCTGGCGATCATCTTGCCGGCGGAAGTTTCATGGAAAAGGAATAAAATGAAAGACTTTTCCTAAAGACATCAGCCTCTGTGGTGTAGTGGTTGGGTGTAGTCGCGTGGAGTCGAATGTGCCGGGTTCGAGTTCTACTGAATTATTTACTCCTTCTTTCTTTTTTTTTCCGTTTTTTGTGTTGTTGTTTTCTATAAATTTATAGCTAAATAACTGTTACTTAATAAAGTGCAACAAACAGCAAGAAAAGTATTGTGTTTCCAGAGAAAATATCGTGCACCGTATATTAAATATATGGATAAACGATCTGAATTTCTATTATTTCCTACAATTTATTGTGGGAAAACTAGAGTTGATAACCACTTGATCATTTTCTAAACAACGTTCCCACGAGTTCTTTCTATAGACTGATAGTAATTATTCTGGTACTTTCCAACATGTAAATAGGACATTCAATGTCATTTTTGATTCTTTTAAGTCTCACTGCCTAACTAATGCCAGTATCAACAGAATGTGCCGCAGCATTACTATCTTTTAGATACCCTAGTTTTACGTGTGTTCAGATACCACATTTCTCGGTGGTAGAAATCCTTGTAAAACACTGCAGTTTATATAATAAATATTTATCTCTGACTCGGCTAATATTTACCGTAAGTACATTACCCTCTTCTGATTAGTTTTTTTTTTTTTTTGCAAAACGCTGCAAAGAATAACCTTAGAAGAAAATTGGTTACAAAAGTGATTATCAGGGTACACAGTTTTTCAAACAGGCTTTAGCAGAAAAGATTGTGTAGTTCCAAGAAAAATCCATACCCCGCACGGAGGGCACTTTTGCTTTACACCTTTTAGTCCCCCGAATTTCCTTTCCAGGGGATGTATGTCAGACCTGGAATTTCAACTTGGTTTCAATTTTCTGGAACAACACATTTGCTAGTAATAACACCTAATCTCGAACAAAGATCAAAAGTGGCCGTGGGAAATCTGGGTACTAGATAGTGTAGCGCCACTCCTTATAATTTCCACGCAAAAGATACTCTAGTTGTAAGCAAAACTCACATTTCTTTAAGGTTCTCAAGTCCACTGAAAGCGTCTGCTGGGAACTTTTTGATATCAAGGGAATTATTCCTGAGATCCCTAAAAACCGAAAAAGAAACATTTGGTAACTTGTCAACCCCTAGCTTATACTTTTGATACGATAGTAGCAGTGTTTTAAAATATCCCAATGACGGAATTGCCTTATCTTTGAAACGGATTTGTTTTTTTGAAGTCTTGCGATATGCAAGAAACTTAAAGATTTTATGATAACTCCAACCTGTTACTCATCACGTTTTTGTGCAAGGTCCACTTACAGTTTCTCCAAGGATGGCAGCCCAGCAAATGTCTTTGAAGATAACCGCATGATCTGGTTAGCATTAAGGTTTCTGAAATCAAAAAAATATCACCATTTCTGTTTTTTTTTTCGCATAGGGAGGATGAAATTCTTACCCTGAGAAAGTGCAACGGCAAAACAGATTTCCCGATTTCGCATCTTTTTTCACGTTTTTTCTTTCGGCCTAGTTGTAAGAAGGGGAATCCAAGACAAAAGATGTTTGAATTCATTAAGTAATGTTTCATAACATAGTTAGAATATTTGCCCAATCAAAGTCAAAAGCGCGTGGGAGCCCATTCCCATTGAGCGCGCTGATGACGTCAATAAACTATACCCGTACCTCGAGTTATTGTGAGCTTACCAGTCCTCCCAAGAGCATCCAGAACTCAACAGTGCAGGAGGTAGCGTTAACCATGTGTTTTATAACTTAAATTTAAGAGAAAGCTTTTGAAAATGTTAAACGATAGTAGGAAAGAGAGGCGAGTGTTGTTGTTGTTGTTATCTGCGCGAGCTGTGCAGGCGATGGCGTGTGCTAATCATTTTTTGCAAAGTTGTTTCTCTCAAAAAGACTTTTTAGGTGAATTAATATTTTTTCGGCGCCTCAGTATAGATTATATAACCTTTTAGAATGCTATGTTCAAAGACTTGAGAAAACTTTCTCCCAGTTTCAAGGCCGCGCCTCGAGCAACTCTTACGCCTCTTTCGTGGTGCTAACTGTTAATTCTTCAGATTAACTTACAATATCTTTAGACTGGATAAACCAAGAAATAAGCCATCAGGTATCTCTTTCACCGCATTTTGCTGAAGGTATCTACATTGGGTTTTAAATAAAAGCAAAATTAATCAGGAAAAATACTGTTTACCGGAGCCTGGTTAGCTCAGTTGGGAGAGCGCCGGTCTGCCGAGAGGGAGGTCGCGGATTCAAACCCGGCCGGACCAACACTCAGGGTCTTTAAATAACTGAGAAGAAAGTGCTGCCTTTGTAATGACATCTGCAAATGGTTAGACTTTCTAGTCTTCTCGGATAAGGACGAAAAACCGTAGGTCCCGTCTCACAGCACTTTCACTGATTTGTTTTTGTGGGACGTAAAAGAACCCACATCACTATTCGAAAAGAGTAGGGGTCGTAGACCCCGGTGATGTGGCCAACCTTTACGGGTTGTGGGATTGGGTAGGGATGGCACCTCGCATGGGACCTGAGTCCAGTTCGTGCACAATTCCTCTGGGCAGGCCAGTGTCCAGAAAAGCTGGTAAATAAATAAAATTGGCAAACAAATACAATACGTATGTATTGTGTCACTCACAGGTGTTGTAAGTTACTCATCGATTTAAATGCGTCCTTTTCAATGCTTTTTATGCGATTTTGCCTAAGGCTCCTAAGAAGAAAAAAATATATCAAACATCAATCAGATAAAATGTTGGCCAGTCTGATTGTTATTTTTTTTTAATGCTACGTTCGATTACTTACAAAGTAGTCAACGATGCTAACGACGCACTGAATGTTTCCGTCGAAATGGTGTCAATCAAATTAGCGCTGCAGTCCCTTAGAGAAAATAGGAAAAAAGATAGTTTACCGTAAATCCTTTAATAAGCTCCTGGGGGTTTCTTTATTCCTCATTTGAGGGGAGGCTTATTTGAGAAGGGAGCGGGGGCTTACTTAATTTAGAAAAGACGATGGTATCAGTACTCCATAAAGAAGAGAGAAAAGTACAAGTACAAGACGGTTTGAGGTCAGGCAGTCGAGGATCAGAATCAAACCCGAACTTCCAGGTGGTAAATAAACCATTCCGGATCAGTCCACACGAAGTTTTTCAGCCCTGATTGATTAATAAAGTCCATCATTTATTAGTGAAGAATAATTAGGGGAGGGAGGGAGGGTTAAAAGAGAGGGGAGGGGCTTATTAACTTTACTCTCCTGAAAAGGGGGGGCTTATTAGAGGGAGGGGGATTATTTGAGAGGGGCGGGGAAGGGATTAATAGAGGATTTACGGTATATTATTTTGATGACAAAGAAATTAAAATAAAAATAATGATAATAAACTCACAGAGTCTGAAGATTGTTCATGTTGTCCAACATGCCGTTAGGTAAGGCCCGTATGAAATTCGAGTCAAGTTTCCTGAAATGTAAACAATCCTTTGAGATAAGCCAGGAATGGGTGCTATAAATTTAAGAGAAACTCCCTTAAAGAAAACGTTTAAAGACTATTCCTAATTTTTAAAGGTTTATAGATTTGTAAAAGTTGTTGTGGCTACAGGTCAACTGAGTTTTAGTGGAAGCCCAGTTAATGCTTTGGGCCTGGTTGTTTAAACGTTGGATGGGTATACTCTTTTTTTATATAAGAATGTTGTTTTTCCGTCCCAGGTAGAATATCCTTATTTTTCTGTCGATTTTAGGCTGAAAATATGCTTAAATTATTCTTAATTATAAATTATAGCTTATAACATTTCCACTTTACATTTGTATTGAGGTTTCAATTGCCATAGTGTTCTGTGTCTAGATCTGTCTCCAGCGCCGTTTAGAGAAAGGAGTAATTTTATGCAGTTAAGTCAAAGCATATAATTGTACTGTATTTAGGGATTTTCAACATACAAAATTGAGACGTCCTTTTCAAATTCTCAGCCTCGGGTTTATTCTTGAAATATTCTTAAAATTTCATAAATTTCAGCCTCAATTTTCTTCTAAAATATAATTTACTCTTATGGGAAAAAAAAAAATAGTGTAGCGCTATCAACCGGATAAATCACTATCCCGCGCCGGGGTAATTATAAGTTTTAAGGAATTGGCGAGATTTATCCTGTGGAAAAGCGTAATTCACCGTTTGAACAGCTGGGGCATGAACTTAACGTAAACATTTTAGTGACTTTTTAGTTATTTAAAGGGAATTCTTTGTTTTCAGTTTTACACTTACAAAGTTTGTAGCACAGATGCATTGCCGAATGCACCTCCTTCAATTCTGAAGATGCGGTTTCCACTCAGGTCCCTGAAGAGATTTTATGAGATATTTTTAGAATATACTGTTAAAAAATAAACGTACTGTTTACTCACTAAAAATAAGTGTTAATCAGAAACTTACAAATACTTCAGACTTGACATATAAGAGAGTTGTTTCTTGGGTAGATAGGATATTTTATTCCTCTGAAATAGTCTGAAAAGATCAGAAGCAGTAAAATATAATTTTTCAAGTTTAGTTCTCAGTCAAAATCAGCTATTTAATTGCGGTGCAATTTAATCGTTGGTTTAATTCTAATTTTTCTCTCTTAATTTTTGTGGATTACTATTAATGAAAGGGGAAAAATCTATTCAAAGAAAAACATTAGCATACCGAGAAGAGATGACAATCTCATGTTTTGGGTAAAGAGAGAAAAGGCAATCTCAGTAATATTTGTCTTCGATCTTAGAAAAGGCGGAGCATTAATATTTACATGGAAAAGATCTTTTTGGATGCGACTGCAAATCAACACCCACTTAAGTATGATGCGATTAATAAATCAAGAAATCCAGAAGTGCTGTGCAAACACAATCTACTTAACTTTAAGGTGTTGAAAATCGATACAAACACTGCATCGGACTACATAGAGTGTTGATATATCATCTTGAACATTTGAGACGTCTTGGAGCAATTCGCAGCCCAATTTTGCAAAACTTAATGGTAATTAGTATACAACTATCCCCCGAAGGGGAGATGAATAGTGGGGTTATATATGGAGACGCGAAGCGTCGGGTTACATATCTAGCGCTGTTCACCGACCCATAGGGGGATAGTTGTTTTGGTATTTAATTTACCAAATCAGTTGGATGAAAACAAAAAAAACAAAAGTTTTTGTACATTAAACGGGGAACTTTGTTTACAATTTACAGGCATTCGGGCATTTTGTCAAGTGCATTAATTTTCGATTTTCTTGCAAATTTAGCATGAAAATAATTTTCTACCTACCAGTAAACACCGACAAGCCAAAGTTCGTCGCTTTCTTGGTATTTGTTTGTACGACTGCTTCATTTATCGCTCAAATTTCGTCTTCCGAGCCATCTTGGCTCCGGTCGCAAAACAGTGAATAGCCAAGGATATTCCGAGTTACGGGGGCCAATCAAAACGCGCAAAAATTGCTATTCACTGATTTGGTAAACACTAATATCAGATATTCAAATCTCGCTCACAATGGTAATTTCCTTAGTTTTCTCTTTACAAATTATTGACGAAATTAGCAAACGCAAGTATCAGGAAATCGATATCAGCTTACATCACGGCTGCCTTGGAAGGAATGTTTCTTGGTAAAGCAGTCAGTTTCCTTCCTTTCTTGACTTTCATCACTATCTCAAGACTCTTTCGTGAAACGGGATGACACTCGCAACTTGACGGACAACCTCAAATAGTAAATAGCATTTTATTAATTGTATTATTCTTGTAAAACATTCTGATTTTTTTTTTTCATTTTCTTTCAAAGAAGCCGTAATAACAATTGAGGTAGCTGCACGGCGGGAATCTTTATGTAGTTTGTTTCCTGTTTGTTTTCCAATCCCTGATGCCGTTTGTGCTGGACTATTTAGCCGGTTTTTTCCCCGGAGAGAAGGGACGCCAAATCCTAACATATATACTGTGTATTCAGTTTCGGGGTGGGAAGCGGGTTCAGGGAGAAGAATTGTTGCCTACCTTCGTATTGAAAACAAGGTACTTCATCAATGTCAGCTAAAAAAGAGGAAAAATGTTTTAAAAAGTCATTATGTTCAGTATTTTTAATGACTCATGTAGAAATATACCAGTGTGACTACCACACGTAAAACTGCTGCAGAATAGAATAGTGTAGATATCAGAGCATATGATTTGATTTAAATATTATGGGACATTGCAATTCCGAAGAAATATTAAGTCATCCAAAGGGATGTAAAATATAATTGATGATAAAATTTGGAAATGACATCAAACGTTTTTCCCGCTTGATAAAATCCATCGTCTTATTAAAAACATATTTACAATACAGTCGAACCTTCCGTAAGCGACCTCCCAAAATGCAAAAACTTAGTGGTCGCTTACAAGAATCGAACCACAGGGAGGCTCTTCCAAGAAGAGGTCCGGTGTGTGGGTGTTCTCTGCATTATTGGGTGTCCCGTGCAATTAATAAGAGAGGTTTTTTCGAGATTGCATTTGTGTCGACACACATTTGCCTCGCTTTGAGGCGATTGCCTACGTTTTGCCTCACTTTGACGCGTTAACTCACGTGGTGATTCGTGTGTCCTTGGCGTTCATCTTCCAAACGTTTGCTGAGGTGTGCTATTTCTCTTCGTAAAGCGTTCATATTTCAAGAGTTTGTTGAAGGTCTACTATCGATCTGTGTTTGTTGAATCTTCCAAAGTGTTCAACATCCTGGGAAAAATTTTACTTTAGATTACAGGTAAGCCTTCCTATTTTTCAGCACGGTTCGTCACTGTCTTTGGAAAAGTGTGCCAGAACTGGCCATGGTGCATTCATCAATGAAACCGGGTTGTTTAGCTCGGCGGCCGTTGTGCCACAAAGTAAATCTACGGAGTTGTGTACCTCGGCGGCTGTTGTGCCACAAAGTAAATCTACCGAGTTGTGTAGCTCGGCGGCTGTTGTGCCACAAAGTAAATCTATCGAGATATGAAGCTCGGCGGCGCCATTTCATCAGGACTTGTGATATTTTCGGCCGCGGACAAACGAACACTTAGCTTTATGTTATTTATTCGGAAAAACTTATAAACCAGCCTACAGAAGCGCCACTCAAGTCACTGAAATCAACACACTCGACCAAATTACTGAAAAAGTTATTGACGTGAGCACACACATTCCACTGAAGGCTTTCATGATTCCCTTGAAAGGTGTGAGAGGTGTAGTGTAAGTGAACCGCTGTTCAAATACAATTCATTGTGCTCCAGCGTTAACGACAAAAAATGTGGTCGACGCACTCTGCCCGATGTCTCCTCAAATTACAAGCAATTGAGACGAACCATACGACCCATACGATATCACAAGCTTTCAAAACCTAGGCCTTTTCATAATGAGTCAAAATATGCCATAATCATATTTATCTATCGCAAGAACTATCCACTCTTCCCCTTCAACTGCTACCTGTACGCCTAACAAACATATCGAACGCACTCTCCTAAGCTCCGATTACTCCTAGTTACTAAAGTTCTTCGTATATTTCAGGTAGCATAGTGCACACAGCGAACATAGAGATCAAAGAAGGCGTGAAGTGGTCACTTACAAGAGGTTAAAAACAATAGAAAATCATTAAACTTTCAGGCCCAAAAAGTGGTCGCGGTCGCTTACAGGAGGTGGTCGTTTACCAGAGGTTCCAACTATAAGGCTTTGACTGGGAAGTTTTGATGTTTTGCTGGATCAGTGGTCGCTTAACGGAGGTGGTCGCACATGGAGGTTTGACTACAGGTATGTTATATCGGGAAGCGATTACATTAACAGCCGCTTAAACAGCCGGTTACCAGCAATTGCTGTTAGCAATATCCTTGGCCTTAACCCTTAAAGGATGATGAATCAATTTTAAGTAGCTAATAACAATTCCTTACCTTTCTCTGAGGTATAGAGTAGTTTGAAACCTATCCCGGCAATGTTGTCGTTGCTCTCGAAGGTTATCACCATAACATTTGAAGATGACTCAACGAAAGCTGGAAATCTTTCTCCACAGTATTTTCCCATAAACTTTCTGGGCTTAAGTCCACTATATATATCTAGGAAGTCGTTAAAGCAGGAAGGATGGTCTTCCAATTGGAATTCCTGGAATCGCAGTTTTATGGTGTTTCCGCGAGGAACATTGATGGTCCAGTGGCAACGCATCAGCGGTGGATAATACCCAGGGTGGTGTGGAGATAAAATTATGCCAGACATTGTGGTAAAGTTTTTGTTGCATTCTGAAAGAGGAAGTTAATTCATAGTCATTAAAACAAAGTTAACGGACACCAGTAGACTGTTCCAGGCAGTCAGATGGTTTCTCTCGCGCTGTACTATCTGAACGCCTGGAACAGGCTACGACATCAGTCACCATAGTCGTAAGGAAAAATAAGGTTGTGTAACAGTGTCAGAATAATGAAAATCATTTTCGTATTATTGTTTTTATTTCTGCCACCAGACTTAACTTACTGGAAAAATCTCTATTGTAAAAAAGGAACCCCATTAAAGGCAACCCAGTCGCGAAAGTGCAACCCCCTCCAGCGGCAAATCCCCATTGGCCTAAAAGTACCTACCGCGGGTCTTCCACACGAAATTTTGACATATTTAAAACCGCATATTTTGTTACCGGGATTCGTTTGGACGGGGCCTCTACGCTCTCTGTGGCGCGGTTTCAAAAGGATGCGATTTTGGTAAGCGTAACTGGTTTCCTGTGGACAGAAGGCCGATTTGTGTAAAAAAAAAAAATGGCATTTTAAACTATCCGGATTCTTGAGGACGTGGCCTAAGCTAAACAACACTGCACCTTTAGTTGCGTTTGGGGGCAATGGATGACAGTATCCTGGAACCACGTGAACACCTCTGACACTAATATAACCAGGTTCACTGCCCAAATCTGCTTCCAGAGATACCTGCAGAAGTATAAATTGCTATTCCATTATTGTTGAAATTCAGTTGTTATAAAGGAGAATGAAAAGAAGATTATGGCGGCCGATTAGTTGACTTTAAAGATTTAAAATGAGATCATTTAAAGAAGATAAAAACGACTTTATTTTCGAGTAAAAATGTGAGTCAGTCTTTGCAGTAGTCCTCTTTAGTTTGTACGTTTAATTTTTTCCCAATTTAGCTCATGTGATAATACTCCAGAGAACTGTTTCTTTCAAAATTTTGTCTTATCCACCACCTTAGGCCTTAAGAAAATCATGTTAGTATATTCGTTCTTAATTATTTATTATATTTAATTTAGCTAGAGATTATTTATTTTTTATTTAGCTGACGATGTTTACTTTTAATATTGGTACTGAAAGGGAGAAAATAGGGAGAAAAGATGTATGGGTGTGTGTGTGTGTATGTATGTATTCACGTGCATATGTACGCATGATTAATAAAAAGAAAAAGGGCCAAATTCTCCCTAAGACGTTCCTTGGCAAAACACAACAAAGAGGTTATGTGGTGACCTGTTTTTCCTTACATTGTATTTTGTAACACTCGGAAGTGCCACTCTTCCGTATTTCCATATCAAATCAGTGTTGTTTGACTCGTTCACTGCCCACATAAGCCTCCGCGGGTAGTCAGTTAAATTCAGTTGTTGGTAAATACGAAGGAAGTGTCTCCCGGGGCCGTAGATGAGATATCTGAACCGTACACAAATATTGTGACCCTCATAAGATCGTTCATACAGTGGACTCTCGAAAAATATGGTTGGCCATCCGTTTCAAAATTACGACATCGTGTACGTGGGCTTTTTTGCCGCGTATAATCGTTTATAATCGCTATGTATGGGCTTTTATCCCATATACAACCATTTATATCGCGTATATACGCGTATTTAATACGCGGATATGTGCAAAATCAAATGCACGTCTATACGCGTTGCTAAAAACCCGTATATATGCGTACCTGTCAAAGCCCACGTATACGCATGCAAAAATGTGCATATACGCGGGGTTCAGAAATCAGACTTGGTATAAGATTGCACGAAAAGTGCCTCTAACGGAATAGGTTTCATGTATCGTGGCAATGAAATGTCCCGAACCATTTTTCCCGCGCAAAATGATGAGGAACATGGCGACTTGCCGATCATCTTCTCCTCGTGAAACTTCATTTGCAGTATCTCGTGTACTTGTACGGCCAATTGGTCAGAAATACGGCGGAAAGGTAAGCTGAAACCACTTTCTATGGTTTGCCTTTTAAAAGAGTTTAAACCGCTAACTCACCATTGACATATTATTGCGCCAGTACTATGCAATTCCTCAATCTTTGGAAGATCTCCGAAGAGAGCTCGAGATTCCCGAAGAGGTTAAACTATTTAACGAGGACTTGGGGGAACTCAAAGATGTAACTTTGTTAAGGTAAGAATAAGAATTGGGATTCTTAATCGACGTCATTTCCGAAGCATTTGCTGCTTTGGCGTGGGAACTGAACACAGGTTGCTAAACCACTATGGCTAACTTAAGCTTAAATGTTTTTTGAATCTCAGAGATGGAGATGTTCTATATTATGGAGCAGGAGAACCGTCCGTGGCCCCTGCACAACGTTCTGCTCAAAAGGAACAGTCGGGTAGGTACAGTTACTCAACATCATGTCGTCACGTTTCAACTGGATAAGAGCTTTTATCCCACCTGCCATGTATGTACAAATTGGCAACGTGACATGAGCTTAACTTCTACAAAACAAATTTCTTGTTAAAAATAAAAAGAAATAAATATATAAAACGATTTTTTTTTTAAATCTTTTTAGACCTTTGAATAACAGAGATTTATTTATTCACGGATTTTGTCCAAACAATGTTGAGTGCAATTATTAAAGATTTCTTAGTTTAGTGTCCCCAATCCACCATAAGCAAAAAAATGGTTCTATGTGTGGCATACTGGCTAGCTTGACCATGCATTCCGCCCCTAATTTACTATATTTGTATGAGAATCTAATGGCAAATAATATTCTTAAAAGATAAATTTGTAGTAACTTATGAGAGTATGACATACAAGAGCCATGATGATTAGAATATTACTGAAAAAGTGAAAGGTGGGGTCTCCATTAGGTGGAAACTCCTTTTTGCAGGGGTATCAGTTATTCTTAACTGGTTTTGTGTCTGTCCCATCCCAAACCCTTATAAAATGTTATAATATAACATTATTTTATAAGGGCCATAAGACATTATTTATGAATGTTTGAAAACTCAGCCCTGATTATCGCAAGGGATTAATTTTTTTTTTCAAAGACACCATCATTCAAATTTGAATTTAAATTTAAATGTAGTAAGTAAGTGAGTAAGTAAGTAAACTTTTATTTTATAAGGATAGCTCTTTTCTGCTTTTAAAATAAAAACTGTTATTGACAGATGCCCTGCTAAAAAAACTGAATAAAAAGAAAATCAAAAATCCATAACCCTAGCTTAAAAATTGATAAAAATTTGCTCCAATTATTATAGTTCTTAAATATTTGTTTAAACCCACATGAAGTGTGGATGTCATGTTTATCTGCTTTGCTTCTTATACCAGAAGAAGTCACTGAAATGGGTTTCTTTTCTGTTCAATAGTGTCTGACACTTTACGGAACATATTTGGCCAACAAGAGTCAATGCCAGTTGTCAGCTATGGTTCAACTGTTGATAGTGCTCTGGCCAACGTAACAAAGGTTATGAACAGTTATGCCCAGAACAGACCAGTATCAAGAAGACAAAGAGCATCTCAACGGTCAAGATTTGGACCATACAATAGGCACATTTCAGCACAGAAAAAACGTCGAGTTGTGCAAGCACTGTCATACACTCCAGTTCTGGAAAGGAATAATGAGCCTTGGTGCTATAAATCATTTCGGGAAATATGGGAAGGAAACATCGAATATTCCGACCAAAGCTCACAGTCAGAAATTCTGACTGCAATCTGTGAGGCTTATAATTTATCGCCACCCATACGCAAGCCAAATGCCACTCCGCTAAAGAAGGAACAGTTACGTTTTGTGCACAGGAAAAATGGCAAAGTTACAACAAGACAGTCCGCTGTGTATGATGGATTAGGAATTTCGTGTAATTACAGACAAGGGTGCATTTATGTTGAAATTGTTATGCCCACTACCTGCACAACTACCACAAATGTAAGTCCCATAATAAGCTTGATCTCTGCCATTCTCTTGGGTCTGGTGGGTGCTCCTCCCTCCCACTAAAAGTACTTAGTAGAAACTCAGCTGTGTTCTATTGGAAATCTGCAAATCTGATAAGTTCTCTCACTGTTTTCACAAAAGACAGTGGCGTACGTGTATCTCTTTAAGCAGTAACTTTTTTGATTTTTGTCTTAAAGGTGCACAATATTGTAGGTTTTGGACTGCAATCCTTTAGAGTTTCTACTAAAACAATAAGACAAGCCCTCGTTTTCTATGAAGTCAACTTGGCCACGCCTTGTTGATTATTCACTCATAGAAACACGGGCTCATAGTCCTATTATTATTGTTAATTAGAAAATTGAGTAAAAATCTACACTCACATATCCAGACCTCCATCAGGATTTGGATTTCCTTTCCTGTTAACTTGATAAATTATGGTGAGTTCTATACAATCTTTTTTTTGTAGGATTGCATTGTTAATGATGCATCGGCCATTTCTCGCATTGGACCAAGTACATCAGTTACTCGATGCACTGATGTTGGACAAAGGACATCAAGACTGGTCAGTGAGATTAATACATGTAGGGTCTGCATTATCTAGGTTATTATAATAATATACATTTGTCTCTTAGGCCTGTCTTTTTAATCAGCAAAAACCCAGGGCACATTTGAAAGATGGCAAAAACATTTTTTTTATCTCTTTATCAGGAGGGCAATGACAGTGCATCAGGCACTGAATGCATTGGAAATACAGCAACACAGCAGCAGTCAACCCTCTGCAGTTATTTCGGGCCATCTGGTGCTGATCAAAGCAGTTATTTTGGCCCATCTTCTAATGCTGGACAAAGTACATCTAGAGAAGTAAGTGAGATGCAGTCTGTATAATCTTTAATAACTAGATTAATTAGGAAAGACTTCATCTCCACAGGGGGTGTCAACTCTAAAGGAAGTCTATTTCAGGAGGAAATAAATTCTCTTGGGAATGTGGACATTTTGCTGGGAACTGGGAGACTTGGGAAATTTGGAGGAGACATGATGTGGTAGAGTAAAAATTTCAGGAAGTTTAAGACTTTTTAAGAATTTCTCCCAGAGTATAAAGAAGTTCAATTTTCCAGCCTGTCCTAATTAATTTCTTCAAAAAAAGTTTCCCCAAAAAGTTTCACTTGCTTTTTCGGGCAAGTTGTGGGTAAAATCCGCTAGCCCAGCAGCAAAATCTTCTAGCCCGGAGCTATGGGACACCAACTTCTTTGTACCCTGGTCTCCCAAAAATTTGGGCGATATTCCAGATTTTGTGGAAGACTTTTATTCACACATTGTTCTCTTCAAACAGCTTCATTTTGTTAGAGTTGTAAGCCCCTTAGCTCCTTTCTTTGATCAGCAAGAACCCAATATGCCCATGAGACTGAGTTTTGTAAGGTGCCAAAGACATTTTTTGTAAATCTCTTTATCAGGTTTGCAGTGTGGACAGTTATTTTGGGCAAACTACTGATGCTAGCACACCAAGACTGGTCAGTGAGATATAGTGTCTGCAAATTAGAAAATTTCATCTTCTGTGTTTCACTAACAAAAACCCAGCTAGAGAATGGAATTTGTAACGTGTGGAAAACATTTTTTTCTTCTTTGCTATTAGGATGGCAATGTTCAGAGTGCATCAGGCATTTCTTCCATTGCAAGTATGGCACCACAGTCATCCCTCTGTACTAATATTGCCGGCTTATCTACTGCTGCTGGACCAAGCACATCAAGACCCGAGCAGTCAACAATTAATTTTCCTCACCAGAATATTAGAATCAGTAAGTTCAGGCTGGATGTGTGGAACTGTGCTCGTGTACCACTGGGTTGAATACAGACATATCATACCAAAAAATATTCATTAGCTTTAAAGTGATTCCTTAGTATTGCATTGCGCATCCTTACTGCGCAGAATTTTATGCATGATAAGCGTGCGCAAACTCTGTTTTTCGTGCACACCAAAAAAAAGGTTGGTTGTTTTCTGTGCAGCCTTGCTTGCATAAGAGATGAATCATCTCTTTGTTTAACTGACAACGAGTATGTGTTACTCGCTCGCCGATAGAACTTCAAGCAGAATCCCTACAGTGCCTCAAGCGGGGAAACAGCGAACTAATCCACAAAGAGACAGTCAACTTTCAACCATGTGCTTTCTTGTTTATTAGACTTCTGCTGCAAGGGCTTATGCGAGTTACAACTCAAGGGGGATTATGGGTCACGACCCTCACATATGGTGATCTACAATTTTTTTTCCTTAGTAATTTGAGTGTAGCCAACACCAACTTTCTGTAAAATGAATAATAGACCAATTTCTACGAGGGAAAATTGTATTATTGGAAAGGTGAACTTTGCCAATACTCATAATTGCTACCGCATGCTTGAAACGTATTTAAGCATGGATGTGTATATTCAATGTCTTGCTGCTTTTACACGAATATGCGGCCCCCCTTTTTTATTTCAAAAATTAAATTCCCTTGAGATAAACAATCAAATGGCAAAGTTTGAAGCAGCAGTTCTATTTCTAGGGAATCACCTTAAACGAATGCAGCAGGCAGGCTGATTGTTCAGGTTTTAAGGCAGGAGCTAATTTTTAGGTCTGATCATGAGGACAAAGTGTACATGTAAATATTACACATAGAGTGTATTGCAAAGTGTATTGCTTACGTTTTGTTATTGTTTTGCGTTTCAAGATTGTTAAACTTGCTAAAAATAACTCTTTATACTGCAAATTGTGTGGTTCCAGAAAATATCCATACCCACCTCCCCTCCCAAGGATGGTCATTGGAAATTCCGAGGGGAGGGGGTCTCAAAAAAAAAAATTTTTTAAAGGAAAGTATGAAGCAGAAATGAAAATTCCTGGGGGGTGGGAGTGTCCAAACCAAAAAACCATCCTTTGAGTAGGTATGGATATTTTCTGGAACCACATGTACACATTGTTAATCAAGATTTTTCTTTAAAAATGGCCATATGCAGGTTTCCTGTCTGGCTGCCTGGAGTGGGTGAAGAAATGTTACAAATTAGAGCAACATCAGATAACATCATCAGTCAAATAAAGAGTTGATCTGCATGTCAGAACTGAATTTCAAGTTATTGTTCAGTAATTTTTAAGGAAAAATGCATAGTTTCTTAGTTAAAAAAATTAATGTCCACATTTTCAGTTTACAAATTACAATGACTTCTCCATCTTGTTCACCTAGGAGATCTTAGTCCCAGATGTTTGCATGGAAGTGCTAATACTATTCAGTCAACATCTGGATATGATTCTGAAGAAAGGAAACTTGAAACACTGAAAGAAATGTTCCCAGACAACAATGATGAAGAAATTTATCAGGCTCTCAGACAAGCTCACTTTGAAGTACGAGGGGCTGTCAACAACCTTTTATTTGGTTTAAGAGGTATGCCTCTTTCTGTACCTGAGTGTCTGCCTAATTGGGTTGCTTCATTGGGTTAATTAATTGTTGCTGGGTATGTGCCACTGGCCTCTCAGTACCCCCACCCCACGATAGATTGGGAGGCAAAGGAAAGACCCTCGGCATCTTTAAGCCGTTTTTGGGCAAGACCAGAATGTTGCGGCCCCCGTTTATTAAATCTTGAAGTGATGCATTGCTCAGGACAACTTTTTTTAATACCAGTCAGAATTTTCCTATTGCCAAAATCCTGAAAACCTGCAAACCCATTGTAGTAATCCTGACAATGCCACACCATTATCATCAATCCATTCATAATAATGGAACCCAACATTTTAATGATTTTTTAATTTTGTTTTGTTTACACAGCAACTAACGATGAGAGTATGTCAAGTGATGAAGATCAGTGGAATGCCCCTTTGGCATCCTCAGCCATAGTAAAAGCTGAGGATGCTTTATCCTCTATAAACAGTTTTACTACACAAGCGGTGAAACGATTTGGTTGTGAGATTGATTTAGAAGTAGACAGGGAAAATGACCTTCTAAAGCAAATGCTGCGGAAATATAAAAATCCCGGGTTTGATGTAACTCGGCCACTGTGTGTTGAATTTGTTGGTGAAGCAGGAGTTCATGCAGGTGGTGTAACGAGAGAGTTTTTTCACTTGTTAATGGAAAGGTTGAAAAAGCAAGGGGTTTAAATAAATTTGTTTGAGGGTCAGGTGGGGCATCTAGTTCCCATTAACAACTACGATGTTTTGTCAGGCGGCTTGTTTGTGCAGGCTGGCAAGATGATACTGCACACTATTCTCAACGACTGCCATGGTGTTCCTGGGCTCTCCGCAGCTGTTGTGTCATACCTGATAAGTGGAAGGAGGGATGCAGCAGTAGCTCATGTATGTGTTGAGGACATCCCAGATCCTGATTTAGCAGAAGACTTAACAAAGGTTTGTTAAATCTGACTAGAAATTCCCTTTGCTATTGCATAAAAAAGACAAAATGTTAAGAAGTAAGATACATTTAATGCCCATGTCTTATGCGCTGGAAATGGTAATTCTGTGGTTCCAGGTTTGAATCCTCCTCCAGCCACTGGATGGATCTGTCTTTGGTACCACCACATTCAAATCCTACACGCTTTACATATACCCACTCATCTGCCTCCTTCCAATTGGGATTTTTAATCACATCAGTGGCATGCCTGGAAACTAGCTATCTTGAAGCTAAGTGTATGACCACGATATTATTAATTTTATTGCTGGCGAGCCTTAGCAAGCCTCGGCCAGCACACTATTTCAGAAGGTCAGCAGTGTTACTTAACATATAAGCCGTGAAAATTCGAGATCTTTTTTAGACAGAGTCTGGCATGTACAGTTTGGCTTTTCATTACATGACGTCACAATCAATGTTTTGACGATTTGTTGTCAAATTTCATCAATGAGCAATTGGCTAATTCATTACGTCACGTCACAATCGATGCGTATTTGACTCCGCACGTCTAGCCTTGTTATTTACAAGGAGTGAAAAGGTGAGTGCGGCAAGGTTACGGTAAATAAGACCATCTTCACAGATATTCGTGGAAGGTGAATTAAAAAACAGATCTGGCGTTAAAGAAAAGGGCTTTAAGGGAAAGAATGAGGTTACTTACTGGCTCATTAAAGCTGAATCTTGGACCATTGAGTCAACAAGAAAAAGTCGTTCGCTTTAGGTTACCAACTGGCCTGTTGAGGCTAAATGTTTGACCGTCATTTTGTTATCTTACATCTCTGTAATCAGACAATACACAGGCCAATTTTCAGCATCTGTGTCCTCTACCCCAATAACGGCTTTCCCTTCGCCAGCACTCACTTTCCTTTAATAAGGATATATTGCTTACTTATTTATTCTCTTTGGGCCCACGCGGACTTTTGAGGCCACGATAAGGATATATTGAAATAAGGAAATATTTATTTGTTCCAAATAAGGATATATTGAACAACTTGTTATCCAAGAGTAAAATTATTAACCATCTTATGATTAAGAGGGAATAGAGACAGTTATTTTCTTAGCACTGACAATCTTGACTTTAACTTTATTAAGTAAGCCTGTTCAAGGTGTTTGGTTAGCAAACAGGTGCAGTGCAACAAATTAATGCAACATTGTGCTGCATGTCATTTCCTTGTGCCCCTTTACCAAACGCTGCATACAGGCTTTGCACATTGGTGACCCATCTCTTAATTCCATATCATTCTACAGTTCTTAATATGTTAACACTGCTTACCATTTGAAATAATTTGTTTATCTATAATAGCTCCTTAGCTGTGGAGAGGAACAGTTGCCAGCATTTACAGATCCAAATAGCCCACATGATATTTCAGAGCTTCTAATGTCAGCTGGCTTTCCTCATATTACTATAACAGAGGAGAGAAGGAACCTGGCGTATGAATGCATTCTCCTTTCCGAGGTTGTGACAAAAAGAATACCAGCCTTAGATGACCTAAGAAGGGGATTGGGGGAAGTAAAAGTGTCTGGAGTGAGCCTTCTCAGTTTACTGGAAAGATACCCTGAACTCCAACAGAGAGTCTTTCCCAAGGACTTGGAGATCATTGATGAAAGGGAAATGGCATCACACATACAGTACGATGAAAGCAGTAATCCGTTGTGCCAACGTGCTCGCAAATTCTTTGAACAGTACATTGAGGAGCTTTTCACAGGTGATTATAGCTCAGTGCTTGAAATTTTATTTTCACAGCTGGAGATTGGCAAATGCCAACTATTCAAAAATTTTATTCAAATTAACCCTTTTAAGCTTCCCCAATGCAAATGTTCATTTTTCATAAATGTAAATATTAATATGATACACTGTTGAAAATTGTGTTGATGAGTAAATTCTATAAATCTCTTGAACAAAACCATTAGAAAACGTTATGGTTTTGAAAGAAGTGAGTTTATTCATAGTAAACGTAGGTACCGGTAGGTAGGTAGGTAGGTTGGTAGGTTAAGTCTGTGTTCTAGTTAAGAGGCCCATCAGGCCAGAGCTTATCCTGGTTTTAGTACCATGAAGTGACTAGGAATATTTCTATTCCCCCCTAGATGTTGTTTATTTCCATGTACAGCACGGAGGTAAACATAGCCTTATTTTGCAGCTCCAATTATAGTGTTTTAATGTCAGTTATGTTGCATACCAGAAATGTACCAGGCCAAAAAGGTTTCAAAAGTTCTAGGGATGTTCAATTAATTAAAAAAGAGAGGGGAGGTACAATTGTATTTACGTTAACTGGAAAAATATTGACTTAGTCCTAACAGTATGTGCCAAAATGGCATTCTAAGGGCTTAAAGGGTTAAAATCCTAGCATTAAGCTAACTTGTTTTAAGAAACCATAAATCCAGATCCTGTACCTCACTGATGAAGCATGGGGAACTTATTTAGTTTTCTTTTTCTGAATATGCCTTTGCCTTTGCATCTTCTCTATTTTCCTTTAATGTGTGCTGAAAAATGTCACTGTGTCTATTTCTCATTACAAATATTTCTAAAAAGTATATAGTAGTTCAACATTCCCGTTTACTGTTTCTGTCATTGTTTCACTGAATAGATGGTGCCAAAGGACAGGTAGGATTGCATGGCTTGCTTCAATTTTGGACGGGCTATCCAGCACTACCAGTTGATGAAACAACCATTATGCATGTAAAGTATCTGGCAAACAATGCTACTAAAGTGCTGGCTGAATCCACTACTTGCAATGGAACCCTGCAAATACCAGTTGTCCATGAGCAGTACAACACGTTCAAGGAGTACATCAACAAGAGTGTACAATTTGGCAAAATAGGATTTGGAAAAGTTTGAACACTAGGATCTTACAGCTGTGGCTTTTTCAAGGAAAAACATAAATGTAACATGTAGTGTTTTACATTTGGTAAGATAGTGTCAGTGCAGTGTCACAGTTGCCATAAGGCAGAGTTCAGTTTACATTTTTTTATGGTTCGTTTGTCACAATTTATTGTGAGCCCATAAATGCTTAAAGAAGCCTCTGGTTTCACATATATGTTGAGTTACCATTTTTTTTATATTAGCATGTTCTTCCTAAAGGCTTTGGACATTTCAAATGTTTAGTAAATCCATGTTTTGGTATAGTTTTAAAGTTGTAGTTTGTTATACATTTCAAACAGCACCCACATGCTGTATCTTGTACATGGAATTCCACAAACTCAAATGAATACAATGCAACAAGAAATAATAAAGTTGTGTTATAGGTTTTCTGTTTACTCGTCTATTTTAAAACTTTAGGGGGAATCTCGGCTAAAAAGGAAACTTGGCCTTGAGTTACCGGTATTTCGAGCAACCCAGCATAAACTTACCTCAACAGCCAAGGTTTCCTTCCCAAACAAAAAGGTGTGCCTTATAGGTACATGTAATAGTTGTTGATTCATTACAAATACTGTACATCTCAGTACATGTATTAATTATGCACTTGTATCTTGCTTTTTTAAACCCAACAAAACAAAAAAATATCAACTTTTGATTAGTAGACAACTGATTCTTGGCTACCATTGGCAGAATAAAACTGTAAAACAGTAAAGAACAGTACATGTATGTAAACTGTAACTTTAACAAGTGATACATATAACTTTGATCTAAAAAATCAACCTAATCAACCACAATTAATGTAGTACCTGTTAATGAATGTAAACAAGGGAAGATCAGTGATGCTTTCCACTGCACATATCCATATAAAATGCACCAGCTCACAAATTTCTTTTACTATATATTGTCCGTATGGAATATCTGTCTTCTCATTGGCTAAGACACTAAAATTAATTCTGGTACGAATCAGTGCAACCCACAGATGATTCATAAATAAACTGTGTTCTGTGAGACAGTGAATTGTTTTCTCTGAAACAATAATATTACACTCGGTTTTTGTGATATCTGAAATAATCGAGGTCTTAGGTGTTATCAGCTGGAGCCAATTACATTTTCCTTGCCTTTTCTTATTCTGGTCATCACAAAAACCTCATCCAATAATTGTTTATAATTCTTTGTGAGAGGCCTATTCACTACATGTACAGCATACATGTTTCCATTTGTTATTTTGGTTTTGATTTTAACATGACATGATGTACCTTAATTCTGGTGTGCTTGCATAAGTGCCAAAATAAGTTGCCGAGTTTCCAAGTAGAGATCCACCCATAGTTATCACTCACTGACAGAGGTTGAATATGAGAAATAGCTCCAAGTTCTGTGTCAGTTAATGGAATGTTTGTATCTGGTACATCAACACTACCCAGGTCAAACTCATTTGGTGCAGGTCCTGTTGGATCTTCACCATATAACTCATCTCGTTGGCTGTTGTCATCAAATATGTCCCTGACTGCAGTACTCCCAGAATTTTCTAGTGAAATAACACCATTTACCCAGATTTGGCAAGGAGTCCAATGACCTTCTGTGCGTACAGGATGATTATTCCATGCTTCAACTAGGAGATTTAACTGGTGGTTTATTCTTGGAAGAAATATGTAATGTAAACAGAACAGATCTATGACACTTGTTGATTCCAGGATACCATTTTCTTCCATTTGGTAAAACAGAGTGTAGAAGAAGTGACCAACTCCTATAAAGACATCTCTCCACAGTCGCTCAATCCTTTGATTGTGTACAGAGAGTCCAGCAATCATGCTTCCCTGTTCAACCCTCTGTGCCTTAGCATAGCTCTTGCTACGTCTAGATTTTCACCCCTTTGTCTGAACGTACTCTAGAGGGCCATCCATATCTCTGCACAGCTGCTAAGAAGAGGGAAAGCACAGTCGAGGCATAGTTATTTGTAGCACAACTTAAATACACTATAAGTCTGGAAAACCCATCGATACCTCCATGTATGACGAACCTCCAACGGATGAGACAATGCAGTCCATCAATGTGCCAGAGAGAATTAGGTCCTCGGACACTGTAAACACGCCTTGTGATAGTGTTAAACCACCTCATTGCACTCCCTGCTGGGTCAGTTCGAACCAAACTTTCCCTAACACGCTGACGCTGCACAAAAATATTTCTACTTCAAAATGTCCCAGCATCATACTGATACCAGAATTTGGAAATCCTTGTCTTAAACCTCGAATTAATTCATCTAAATCTGAATCCGTGATGGCTGTATAATGATGTCGACTGGAAAATGACTCCAGGTTTCTAGTTCTTCGCCAAAGAGTAGTTCTAGAAACTAATAACATTCTTGATATCTGGGACCAATTAAATCTCATTCTATTTCTTAGAAACTCCAACTGATGTGTAGAAATTTCGTAGGCCGGACGACCCGCTCTTTGATTTATAGGACCTGACAAACCTGGCAAAGTCCTTATGGGGCGAACTGTCGTGCAAGAACTTGCTCTTATTGCCAGCATCTCCCATCTGTTTAATAAGTATTGAAGTTGCCTCAACAGTGATTCAAGCTCTGGTATTCTGACATCATTGCCTTGATCGTCTGGGTCCAACGACTCTACCAAACGACGAACTGAATCGACAGCTACCTGAAGGCGGACTACCAAGTTTTCAGCCATGTTTCGATCGGCGTGAGGATAAAACCTGGAGCAATCCCTTAATAGACGAGAAACCGTCTCCAGAAGATCCGTTGTGGGAGAACTGTAAGAACTAGTTGACAAGATACATATCACTACAAGAGCTAGAGAGGAAGCCATGTTTGCATTGCGAAAGGCACTTTTCATTGCCACGATACATGAAACCTATTCCGTTAGAGGCACTTTTCGTGCCCTCTTATACCAAGTCTGATTTCTGAACCCCGCGTATATGCACATTTTTGCATGCGTATACGTGGGCTTTGACAGGTACGCATATATACGGGTTTTTAGCAACGCGTATAGACGTGCATTTGATTTTGCACATATACGCGTATTAAATACGCGTATATACGCGATATAAATGGTTGTATATGGGATAAAAGCCCATACATAGCGATTATAAACGATTATACGCGGCAAAAAAGCCCACGTACACGATGTCATAATTTTGAAACGGATGGCCAACCATAGAAAAAGGATGTTTGAGATGGTTGCGACGTGTTGTTATTAAACACCATGAAGCGGTATCCTTTGTTGGAGAAAACATTTAAAAAGTTGAGAAATAGAGATTTAACGTCATAACTAAGAATGAAGTAAAGCCATTCACGCGCCTTAAAAATAAAAAAACTTACAGAAATAATCTAGAAACAAAACATCTAATTTTCACATGTTTTTTCAAACGTTTTGTAAAAAAACATCAAAATTATCTTGAAAAATTATTGATTGACCTGAGAGCAAGCTCTCCATTTGAGGGATTTCGTGAAAAGTCACGCGCACGCCCCTCCCTGCTTTGCCGCTCGCTTGCTTGCGCGTTCTCGAGCGGCTCGGCTGGAGAGCTAGCGCGCGGGCAATTTAACAATTATTCCTCTCCTCCTCATGGCCTCTGACTCAATAGCCCACTAGCTGGATTTTACTAATTATTGATAGACTTGAATTTGCAGTGAAATCTATGCCAATATTATCGATGTGAAGTCCTCAGCAGAAGGATATTTGATAGACCTTTTAGTGATAAGCTAATGACACCTATTCAGACCGGGCTTTTTTTATACTTCCTACAACCGGGGGGGAAAGGGCACTTCTGGAGCTCCCCCTCTATAACTTTAAAGCCGCTAATAATACGGCCACCAAAATCACACAGAATAATGTGGTTGACAAAATGATGCGATTTGACGCTGGCAAAATCCAAGTTCCATTAATTTTTCCCCTCAAAGGGAAAAATACTAATAAATAGAAGTTGGAAAACACATTTATGAACTTTAACAATAGCAGTGATGTCATGATGACGTCAATCACTGTTAAAGAAGGATCTGCGACCATCTGCCGTCTTGGATCCGCCATTTTGAATTCATGAAAAGTATTCCATTTTACGTAAAATCCGTATAATTCAAAGTAATCATGATAGAAAAATTCCTCTTTATAAAAGATTGCTTAAAAATCCGCAAGTTATGAAATTTCGAGAGAATTATCACTGTTAACTATTTGGTCATTTTAAAGTCATGGTTTTTTTCTCAATAACAGTTATAATATGATTAATGAAATGTTGCTGAATTAAGTGTAATGTTAAAATTCACTAAGTAAAAATAAAAATCAATCCTTTTTATAGGAAAAAAGCAAATTTTGAAAAACATGATTGTCAAAACTCGGTTGCCGTGGTAACTTCAATGCTAACGTACACGTCATGACGACTTTAAAATGTTTCCAGATAATTCTAAAGTAAAGTCGCCACGCTTTATACCGGTTTTGAAGTTATTCAAGTTTTTAGCTAGGGGAGCTCCAAACGTCCCCCGGTCTGAATAGGGTTAAAGGTAATAAATTATACTATAGCATGCTCATGATATGTGGTTTCTTGAGACACCATTGCGTACGTCACCTTCACGATCTGCACACAATGCAGGTTTTTCGTCTTTGACGTCCCCAACAAAGCCTTTAATAAACTGCGACCAGGGGTAGATCGCATGCGAAAAGTCTTTGCCACAACCGTGTGACATCCATTCTATCTCCTCTCTATCAAGGGCTTTTTTAAAGATGTTAACATGGCTTATCAGACCAATAAACTGTCCAGCTTGGGGATCTTCTTTTGCCAAATCCTCTGTCAGGCCAATAATAAATTCACCTCCTCCTGTCGAACATAAAGTGGCAGTAAGATTTTTAAAAGCATCGTTTACTTCCTCGCTCGGAGAATATTTCTTTTATCTCCTAGATTATGACGAAAATATGTATTGCCTCGTTCTTAGAGATAAATGTTATAAATAGGTATTTCTTTCGAAAAATCATCTTTCATTCTTCAACTTCCGATATAAATGTTTTCTAAGCAATTTCGAAGAAATCTTCCAATAATTCAGTTTTTGTCGTGAAATACGAGGCACGAGCGATGTAGAATCAAGTCGGGTTATTAAGTTTCAGGTTCTAATCAGTACAACAAAGCCATAACATGACAGCTGTGCCTACCAGGAATCGTTTCTCCCTCAGAAAATTCCCTTTCTAGAAGTATTGACAAGTCGTTATGTAAAGTGAATTTTCCGCCTTCAGAAGTCCATACCAAACAAATATGATGCCACTTGCCGTCATTTGCTGCTGAGTCAGTTTTGGCCCTGGAAAAAAGGCAATATTACTGCGATATTTTATGGACAATAAGAACAAACAAAATAAACATTGCTCTGACTGTTAAGAAGAGGCAAAATAAATAGAAATAAAGTACACCTACGACCTTTTCTCGCCTAAATAAACACTGAATCCTCGATAGTCCACAAGTGCAATAGCAGGGATGTATTTTCCGTTAGTTTCATATCGGACTCTGTACCATATGGGAGTCCCTGCACTCGTATTATCGGAAGTCTTCATCCAGAAACAGATCGTGAAAGCAATGAGATCTGGAAGATCAGTTATGTTGACATGTCCATTGTGATTTTCAACGAAGTCCAGTTGGTAGTTACTGTCCTTCATAAGGCCTATAGAAAGATAACGCCCAGATTAAGCCCATTTGCAAGAGTACTTTTTATTATATTCCCTATTCACAGTGAAGCTCGATCGCGATGCATACAGTACATAAAAACTATAATGAATGCGTTCGAGTTTTCTTAGCTCCAGATTAGCTTTTATGCCGTCGAGCATTATTCAAAATAGGGAAACTTAGATCATACATATTTTTTACAAAGTTAACATCCAGGGTAGTGTAAGGCCCCGTCCACACGTATCCGGATATTTTTTTTCTTTCCGGATTCGCGCTTCCGTTCAAAAGTATCATGTGAATCCGACATACGAATCGGCAACTTTTTTAAATCCGCTCTCTAGGGTGGAAATTTTTGAATTCGCTAGGAATCCGGAATCGTGTGGACGCTAAATCCGGATGTATTTTTTTTTTTATCCAGTGAGGTAACAAGATCGAGCCCATTTTTTTACCGTAAATATTCAAGATGGTACTGAGCGCAACGTTATCTCTTCTTTACTTCTTGGACTTCAGTTTCAAGTCTAAATAACGTGTCTGCAGTTAAACCTAGCTATGATTACTGTACACTTCAATTATGCTAAACGGCGGCTCGACATTCTGAGGCTTCTTTCCATGTCGGACGGATGAATTGGACGCCGCAAACAAGTTAAACGAGCGAAATAGCCGGCTTGGTGGGACACTTTTGCCACTGAAACAGTTTTGAAGAAGATTGGCGAGGAATTTTCGCACGAGCCCAAGATCGCTTTATAGCGAAGCTCCACGCGCGCGCGGAGCCCCATAGCTAAGAAAATTTGGTTATCTATCCATGTGAGAAAATTTGATAGTCAGGTGACCCGCTTCTCGACTGGTAAGCCCGAGTAATTATCGTATTTGATGTTACATGAAGTCGAGAGTAGTTTATGCGGCGAGTCAATGCACGTTTATAAGATTTGAGACAATGATCTGATCTAGTATCAGGCTTTGTTAATATACAGAACTTTAAAAGCCTTTTAAAGACATTTTCCGACCGCAAACAGAAAGAAAACGTTCCGAACATAAATATTTAGTTATAATTTTGATTGTAAAAAAAAAGCTTTGAGCTATCTATTTTTTTGCCTCGATTTTATCTTGAAAAAATAGCAAACACCGGGAAGCCGGCTTAAAGGGGCTATGTCAGCTGGAGAGCATGCGCTCTGAGGTTATGCAAATTACTTTCAACTGTCAAAATTCTATTGTTTTTAACGCGTGACTTTCTCCATGTGCGCTCTGAGGTTATGCAAATTACTTTCAACTGTCAAAATTCTATTGTTTTTAACGCGTGACTTTCTCCTTGTTCTCTGTCACGTCCAAGGCTCCGAATTTAGAGAGGTTAACAAGCGAAATGGGTTTAGATAAGGGATATTTTCGATAGAATTTACGGAACGTTTCTTCTCTGGTTATGCTAGATCAAGAATAAAATTGTGACGACAATTTTACTTGTAGTTTTGGCGTAAAAACGCATGCCATTCATAAAATAGTGCGCAAACAAAAATTCAACAACAACATATTGTCTTATTCAACAAAATAAATCGAAGTTGTATTTTACAAACGAGCTACAAAAGACGCTACACCGAAGATAAAGACCAAGACTGTTTCAAATCATTAACAATTAGACTTATCTGTCGCTAGTGATTTTATAATTTAGATGCTGATAGAACAAGAGACATCAAGTCTTTGTTTTGATCTTAGGGAAACATACATTATCGCGCAAAATTGTTCGATCATGCCGGATCACTGCGACGTCGAGAAAAACAGAACCAAGCATCATTGGTATACTACTCCACTATAAGCAGTCCGTTGATAAAAAGGAAAAGTAAATTCTGCTATTTTCCAAAAATATGCTCGAACACAAACAGTTCAAAAACATGGCATTTACAGCATCTAACTCGTACTAAGGTGCCTCTCTAAGTCCGTTGAGAACAATCTGGACGAGCAAACGGTCGTGTTTATCTTTGCCGTGAATCCATATAAATACAAGAAGGAATCTAGCCGAATTTTATAATGTTTCCTTCGCCAAGAGTTTCGTTTGGTCACGAAACTCATGGCCTGATGCTCTTGTAATCGTTTACCAAAAACGGCCGCCGCCAACTCGATAGCCGCTTCATTATATGTCCACATATTTTGAGCACAAGAAAAATCCAAGAGCCAGCAACCTCTAAAATAACTCAATAGAAAGGTTCTGTGAACTATAGGGAAGATTCCATCAAAGATTCCATCACTCATCGTGGAGTAGCCGTCATTAACTCTGCCATTACAACGGCCGCTGATAAGAGGACACAGTAAATCCACGTAAAAACATTCCACAGGCAAACAATTTCAAAATAACGCCAAAAAATTATTCTGTAATCACCATAGAACGATTCTTAATACAAAACTTCGCTAGCTATTGAGCGATGGCTGAGATTTAGACAGATAAAAACAGCCTTCCAAAATCTCCGACAGAACTTGAAAAAGACGGGCCAACTTTTTCAAGTTTGTTTTCATTGGCTCGCGCATGCGTGTGGGGTGACATAGTCCCTTTAAAACAACTTCTGCAAGGCTTTATACATGACTCAGGATTTTCAGAAACACTTTACTCTCAATACTCTTCTTCTTGAATGGAAACTGTTGTCTCTGTAAATGTTTCATCTAATCATATTTCTTGCCTTGATTGTTAGAATAGTTAAGCTGGTAGTTTCTTTCGCAAGTTTTAATCGCAGTGGGAACATCAATGCGGAGTACTCAAAATGCCGCCCGTATCAAAAGATTACACATAATTAAAACATAAGCTTAAATAAAAAATAAACATAAGCCTAATAAATTCTTTATTATGTTGAAGTGCAACTGTATTACTGTCCATCAAACACTCGACAGCTCGTAATACTGCAAATTTGGTGCTTGTCAAAAGTCAGAACCGGCTGGCCGTATGAGTGAGTTTGGAAACTTTTAGAAGTTTTGTCCTAAAAGCTCATTATTACCCTACATACTAACATACTTGGGAGCACATTGATCTGCTGAACAGTCCCAACATTGTCGAATTCTCTTCATGAAAACGTTTAAAAATGTGAACAGTTCTATAATTTGTTGTGCAAGGGAAGCGCGTACGTGCTTCGATCGTTCTGAATATTGAATGAGTGCAGTCAATTTTGTCTTGAAAAATTGTGAAAAACTACAAAATTTTAGGTATAAATAGGGCAAGAAATAACAAATTCTGTCTGAGGTCTATACGATAAACAAACAGCGTCTGATAGTACTGTTTACATCATATTTTTTTTTCATCAGGTGTGATGTATAAAAAGTATAAAAGGCTTTTTTACGCCACCAGATTTGTCCGCAAGATTTTGTAAAGTAAACTTGTCGAACACGAAAAAGGCGGTTTGCAATCTGACCAATTTATTTTTTCTCTAAGATCACTTACAATTAGCCTTTCCCTCAATATTAAAGTTAATTGATTTGTGGATGACAAGTTTATTGTTTGTTTTAAATTAGAAATTTATTTACAGGAGCTTCGCTTTTAGCCGTGGCTAAATCTATTTAGTATGTGTTAAAACAGTGGATAGTGTTTTTCGCGGGCTCTGATTGGTTGCTCAATCTCGGAATATCCACTCAGTGATCTTTTTTAAAAGTAGAAAAAATCTTAGGTTTGACTTTTTTTAAGGTAAGAAAAGTCTTCGAAGGATTCAAAACGGCGTTCAGTCCATTTACTATAGCTGAATTTTCTGCTCGATGGATTGTTTACAAATCCCGTTTATTATAAATAAAAGTCCTTATTGTTTTTTAAGCAAAAATACATGCAAAAAACCAAGAACACTTACATTAAAAAACAGGAGAAAGAATTACAAGGCTTAAAAAAATCCATGTAGAAGGCATTGAATTTAACATTCAAGATCAACATTACATTAAATAGCTACTATATTTGAAAAATAGCCTATTAAAAAAACTACTTTTAAAACGCTGGGTATTAACCCGAGGGAGTTGACTGCTAGGAACTCGGAGGCGCGCTGAACTTTCTTTCGTTTTGGTGAAGGAAGGGTATTATTCGAGTAGAAACGGCCGTTTCGTGAACTCCGCGTTTCCTAACAAGAAAAATTTGGCCCAAAAATCGGAGTTTATTTATGTCAAACAAATTTGAAAGCAAATGTTTGCAGAAATTCTACGTTTCAAGTAAATAGGACAAAGAATGCTACAGGAAAACGGCCCCTTCAATACCTCGAGCAACCAAACCGCCATTTTTGTCAGCACTTCATGCGAAGAACGACACAGCAAGCCTTTCTGGCTATAAACTTGGCGAGTCAACAGAAAACAACAAAGCTCTACTTTTCTTCTCAGATAAGGAAACAATTCAAACTTTTAACGGTTCGATTAAACCCATTTCGCTGTTGTTTGCGAAGTGATAAACTTGTCAATTGCCCCTTAATAAGTGAATTTGCGCTGCCTCAAACTTTATCGCGCTTATTCCATCTTCTTTAATTCGTCAAATGTTGGCAATTTTTTTGACGTTAAATTCTACAGGACTGCATCAAAGTTCAGGAAAAGAAAAAGAAAGTTGTCGTCTTTTGTTCCCGTCCTCGACAAAACGTGAAATCAGGCAGTTTCACGTTGTAGTCGTGCAACAACGGCAGAGAAATGTACAAAAAAGTGTGATGCACGTGCAAAGTTGTTGTTTTGCTTGTCTAAACGTATTGCTTTTTTGCCGTTCTTGTTGTCGTCTCCGTCGTCGTTGCGTAAACTCCCTAATATTCAGCCACTATTCAACTCGACTTCAAAGAATAATTTTTGACTATTTACTGATTCACCTCCAGTTCCTCTGAGCGAGCGACGCCAAACCGTAACAAACAAAAAAATTTCACAAATAATCAAACAAGCCGTTCTCTAAATACGCAGAGAAGGTGGCGAAATTCGATTTGGAAGTTTTAATAGGTAAAGCTTTGTCTGTTTGACTTGAATTTATCGATGAAACCGATGAAAAAGGTTTATGTTTACAAATGCAAATTAAATCTTGCGTTACTTTATTTAGCGGATTGTTCATAAATAAGCTTAAAACTAAATTTAATAGTTTTTTTTTTACAGAATGGTTTTAAATACAAAGAGAATTCACAACTCCTTTCAGTCCTTTTGACGAGATTTCCCCGAACGAGCCATAGGTGACCCAAACTCGGTGCTTAAATTACCGCGCGTTTCGATACCGCTTTGCATACAACGAACGATTAGAAGAATTTGTATGAGAAATTCAATGTAGCTAAATAAAACGTAGAAATATAGGCATAAATATAGAAATAAATTGTACTTACGTAAACTTGGGCCTGTTGCTTTTTCTCTGTAACCTGGGCTCAATTCATAGCCATTTTATACGCTTTTACGGCACGTTTTTTCGGTGTTGTTTTCCTAGCGAAGCAAGGCAGGTGACTGTGTGTAGTCGCAACTCACAAATTTCTGTCGCATCAAAGAACCGCGCACTGATTCACCATGAAAGCGCCAAATCCTTTGGGCATTGTCAGTCTCTTATCTCTTCCCCTAGTCATGGGTATTGCGATGTGTTTTTTGTGGAAAATATTTTAGAAAATTTTTGGTTCTGGGCAATCTGACATGCGCTCAGGAAACTCGATGACTACGTGCTGCGTGGTGAACGCGAACATCTTAAATACGCTCATCAATTTGGATAATTCCAAACACTGCTCACGCGCAATCAATAGACTATCTGAGGGTAGGAAGATCCATGTTTTGTCACACAGTATTGACTACCCGGTTCCCCTGAGTAAAAACACGGCGCAATACCCATGATTAGGGGAAGAGATGAGAGACTGACCATGCCTAAAGGATTTGGCGCTTTCATGGTGAATCAGTGCGCGGTTCTTTGATGCGGCAGAAATTTGTGAGTTGCGACTGCACACAGTAAACTGCCTTGCTTCGCTTTATGTAGGAAAACAACACCGAACAAACAAAGAACCGCAAAACCGTATAAAAATGAATTTAGCCCAGGTTACAGAGAACAAGCAACAACAGACCCAAGTTCACGTAAGCACAATTTATTTCTATATTCATGTCTATATTTCTACGTTTTAACAGCTATATTGAATTTCTCATCGAAACTCGCGGTAATTTATGCACCGAGCTTGGGCTGCCAATGAGCGAGCTAAATAAATGCCTTCAAATGTTTTATTTGTCGGCAAGAAAACTCGACTGCCGTTCGGTCGTTGCGCGCCAAAATTGTTATCGTTGGCAACAGTAAATGAGTTAAAAATCATCATTTTTGTGCTCAATTATCTCATTGTTTTAGTATATACCAAAATACTTATTCACCTCATTGTCGGTGGCTAGGTTTAGAAAACAATGGGACCATTGTTCTCAAGTTCTCATTTGCATGGTGAAAATAATAGTCCGCAGTCTGCGTTTTACTCTCTCTCAAATGGTCGATAAAAATGTAAAGTACACCGACCGTAAAAAGTCCTATTTTGTTAAAAAGATAAACATCTTACTACAAACTTCAAAAGCATGATAGCCTCATTAAAGGTTATATTCCTGGCTTCTTGCGTGACACAACTTGGAGTGAACGTAATGATCATAGGAGGGTCAGAAACCTTTGCTAGGTTACAGATGTCAGTGAATCGGAAAAAATCTTTTGCTATTGTGCGAACTGTTCATCTTCATTATTTCAGTTCATGCAGGTCAGTTCATCATGTTTTAAACTTATCTTGCGTGGGAAGATATAGTCAGACTCGGATAAAGCATTACCTGTGTAATAAACATAATCACTGATACGCAGGTAAAATTCTTCAAACGTACTTTATCCCAAAAGCTTTTTTTTTGCGTGTAAGAGGTAAAACTAGAAATATATAAATAGACTCAAACTCAAAGGGAAATTTCTAACGGTACAGATGTTACCTTGTCTTTATTTGAATCTTTCTACGATGTTTCAGCTCGATTTGAACGGCATATTGACCGAGATAGGTGTAGCAGAATCATCAGCTCTGCCATGAAACCCGCTCAGAAAACAAATCCAAAGTTCATTCTTTTGCGGAACTTAAGTATCTCCCTGCTTTTGACATGCTGAAATCACCTTGTTGAGTTTTATGAACCAGTGTGATGCATGTTTTTGCCATTTGCGCATATGACGTAAATATCGCGATCTTAATTATTCAAAATGGCGCAGAAAATGCAGACGTACGACAAAAAACGTAGCCTGTGTACAGACGCCCCCCTCCCCTTTCTGTACACAGGCTACAAAAAAACGCTTACTGATCAAGGTTCTTGAGTACCACAGGACACCCAAGTACCACAGGGATTTTCGAGATTACGTGTTGCGTTATCCTAACGTCGAACGCAATAATTTGATACCTATCACCTAGGATTTCATGACAACACGAAGGTCTATCTCAAAAAAAAAAAAAAATTGAAAATTATAGGGAGTAAAATGTCTCCATTTTTAACAACCTCTTCTTGAGTTTCTCCCTCTGCGTTGCAAATACGATTTAACTTGCTTGGTAGAGGCTGCCATATCCAGACCCACTGCTTGTTTCCATGGTGAGACACTTTGCTTAGAATTTTTCCATCCACGTAAACCTTCGTAAAACTGAGGATATCCAGTGATCGCTAGAAAAGAGTAGAGAGAGAGTCGAAGAATTTGACAGCAAGACAGTATCCAGTATAAATATAAACAGTATCTACAGAAGAAATGTGAAACATTCATGTAAATGGATGAATCAAAGAGGCCCTATTAGGGGGGAAGGGGGTCTTGTTATCCCTTATGCCTAAAAGTTTCACACAGACACACACACACTGGAAAAGTGAAAAAATTAAAGTGCTAATCGATTATAATTAATGGAGATCCAGGACACAATTTCATTATCCCATTTCACTTATCCCTTATATCAAATGTCCGAAGCCTAAAAAAGATCAGGGAATCATTGTTAACAAAGAAAACTGTAGAGAGGGATTTAATGATTTACTAGTACGGAAATAGATCGAGAGCAATTACTTACTAGAACACCTTGATCACCTAGTTGAGTGGTGCTTCCGTCTCGATTGATTTAGCTCCACACAACACGTCCTCCGATTCCATACATGTACATGCATTGTGCATTCTTGTAAACGAAGGGAAACTCTTAACACCCTCCATCAGTCGTACTAGTAACAGAGGCTCCGCTGAGCGTGCATCGCGTGCTCGGACGCTCCGCCATTAACTACTGCTAGTAAAATTTGTATACCAATACGCCTGTAGTCGCAATGCAAAATACAGAACTTACTGTAAAGGGTAAAAGCTTCCCTCGTCGTAAGTGGCCGCAAGAAGACCATCAGATCCCTCAGCGAGCCACGGATTCTTTCCATTGAGTCCTTTTTGAGACCAAGCTCATATGCCGTGTGATTTGTCAGGTTGAGGTCAATATCTTGACCGGTATACGCAGACTGTTTCTCTCCTGCGTACTCACCATTCAAGTACAACTTTCCTATCCGGGTAGAGCGATCCCAGACAAATATCACGTGTGTCCAGATTTTTGCATAAATTTCTCTAAAATATAATAGTAAATTTATATAGCTTAGAATCATTTAAAATCCGAATGCATTTATATATGTCCTACTCGAGACTACTTCTATAGCACTATACTATTCACATTGAATTTTTCCCAGATAAATGTGGAAAAGACAAATAATTCGTCCCATTTCAAGTCTATCAACCATCGAAGAAAAAACATGACAATTAAATACGGTACCACTAATTAACCGAGAGTGAGAGTGTTCACAACTACAACACGGACTTTGTTAGACGGAACACTCACAGTAACACTGATTCCATCACTCAGACCAACGTAATCTCTGGCCCTGTAACGACAGGTCATTACAGGGAAATAATGCCCGCTTAGCAGCTAATCAGAGCGTACTATTGTAGCCATATAATAAATGCCCAATCATCTTTTGATGGGCACGCAGCCAGGGGGGGTGGGGGGGGGGGGGGAAGGTGTCTCCAAGGAAATCTGTGGTACAGTCCGCCTGCCAGTATGACGTCACGTCTTGCGTCAGTAACTTTCAAAATGGCGAGCAAAGTGTTAATCGAAGAGTCGGATAAAAATTTCGATTTTATCACGGAAATACTGTTCCGATTTCTTGGATTTGGAGATTTTAGGGTTTCTATTGTCATAGAAGACTAGACTTAAGTACTTTTTTGGAATGAAATGTGCAGTGGAGTAATGAATTTCAAAGATTCCTTTCTATCGTCGAGCAAATTTTACGGGCAATTATACCGACCGGTCATGCTTTTGAGGGCCAGTACACAGCTAGATTGAGGAGTTTAGACACAGCAATAGGAGGTTCATCAAAGGATGTATTATACTTTAAATTGTGCATATTTTCAGCTCTTTAGAGCCAGTGAAACCCCATATCATTCCTCTCAAAGTTCGCTTAGCTGTAGAGTTGAAAGAGGAAGCTAAATGACAGGTATTTGGGAGAGACTGTGAGCATTGAATACTGTTACTTTACCCCACTTTAATATGTATGTAATTCTGTAATTAAATCCCGAAATCCAATAAAAGGTTTCGTTTAACTATTTTTGGGCGGCAACTGACCCAGTGGAGATTTTAGAGTAATAATATTGGTGATTAAGACGATGACTGTACAAAGGCACTGGCATTTATTTATTTTTTCCAAAATAAAATTCCGGACTTAATGAAAGCTTAAAATATATATTGATCCAAGGGTATTACCGGCAGGGTCAGCAGTAAGAATAAAGAAAAAAAGGCCAAAAGGAAAAATATTTTTGAAAAAAAGAGACCAAACAGAAAAAAAAACGGGACAAAGAAACAGAAAACAGCGTCGCCGGGAGTCTGCACGTTCAAGGAACTACTTGACCACTGCACCACAGTGACACACATGATTTGAAAAATTAATTTTGTCATATCAAAACAATTTTTCTCTGCCATAGACGCTGTTTGAAGCTGGTGGAGCTGTATTTATCATGAATTCAAATATAAATTTGACGAAAATTAGCGGCTTAAGCGCGTATTTCAAAGCTATTTCGCATTATTTCGGGTTCAACGGGCCGACTCGATGTAGATAATCGATCGAACTAGCTTTACTGGATTTGGTGGAGAATTAGGAGATCAACAGAGGCCCACACTCGAAAGGAATGATATGAAGTTAGGCCCGTTTAATTAACAAAAGAATAGATGAAATATAAACATGTGTGATCTGTGAATGGAACCTCCTATTCTGGAGACTACACCTTGCTTATTTTAGGGAAAAAAAATTAAGTTTTGATGATCTTGCAGGTCCCGTGAAATAGATGGCGATCCCGCAACACGGCCGGCAAAACAAATTAACAAAATTATACAATCACGGACACAAAACATCAAAACGGTTTACACAAGCAGATTATGGCAACATCAAAGCTCACACACATTCGATCAAATAAGCGATATATAGCGATATTTACTATCTTCTTAGCTTTTCCTCGACCTCGCTCGTCAAAATAAATGTCTTATCCCTTGCTAATTTGGACAAGCGACCCGAGGCTCTTGCCCGTTACTATGTGACGTCATACTGGTAGGCGGAGTGTGTCTGTTTTATCGTCTATCATAAGGTTACTCCTCACTCCCTGGTATTCAATAACAGGTGGAAAAAAAACCCGTGTAAAAAGTCATTAGAACGCTTTTTAACTAACCGATTGCTCGCCATACCAAGCAAATCCTGCAAAAAACCACTTCGTCTCAATTGCACCCAAACTTTTCTGTAATGCACAAACAGTCTAAACTGCCATGGTGATGACCAATCGGATATGAGATGTCTTTCTTTAATGTTTGAATCGTGGACGTTATATCGAAGGGCGATTGAAAAGCTGCTCTTACTGAAATTGATTGCAGGAATTTCTGCGTAACCAGATATTCCGTCAAGATGCAAAGATTTAATTCCGCCGTTGGTTTGGTATGAAGCATCACCTTCCAATCTAAAATCATATGGGATAATAATATAGCTTAGAATTCTTAGCTTGACCAGAGTTTTTAGCACATGACATATTTCGATACTCAGATAAACAAAATGTAATGACTTAAGGTGGCTAAACACAGTGATGTGGGCTCCAGTCATGTCCAATACTGCCGCACTGTTACGGACCGTTAAGAGCAGTTAACGGACCGTACGTTCTGCACAAACCGTCACTATTACTCACGGTCCGTATGCTGAGCACATACGGAGCGTGCATCTCATTATTACATGAGGGCACAATGCGTTACGGTTCGTTCGATCCGTACGGTCCAAAAACATACGGAGCGGGCATCTCTTTAATACATCAGGGCACAATGCGTTACGGTTCGTTCGATCCGTACAGTCCGTAGACATACGGAGCGTGCATCTTATTATTACATCAGGGCACAATGCGATACGGTTCGTTCGATCCGTACGATCCGCACGGCAAGAGAGGCGCACTCCAACTGTAATATTCCTCGTTCTATAAACCATAAACCAACACAAGCGCAAAAACCTAGAAAGGCGCACTCCAAGTGTAATATTCCTCGTTCTACAAACCATAAACCAACACAAGCGCAAAAACCAAGAAAGGCACACTCCAAATGTAATATTCCTCGTTCTACAAACCATAAACCAACACAAGCGCAAAAACCAAGAAAGGCACACTCCAAGTGTAATATTCCTCGTTCTACAAACCATAAACCAACACAAGCGCAAAAACCAAGAAAGGCACACTCCAAATGTAATATTCCTCGTTCTATAAACCATAAACCAACACAAGCGCAAAAACCAAGAAAGGCACACTCCAAATGTAATATTCCTCGTTCTATAAACCATAAACCAACACAAGCGCAAAAACCAAGAAAGGCGCACTCCAAATGTAATATTCCTCGTTCTATAAACCATAAACCAACACAAGCGCAAAAACCAAGAAATGCGCACTCAAGTGTAATATTAATTCCTCGTTCTATAAACCATAAACCAACCCAAGCGCAAAAACCAAGAAAGGCGCACTCATGTAATATTCCTCGTTCTATAAACCATAAACCAACACAAGCGCAAAAACCAAGAAAGGCACACTCCAAGTGTAATATTCCTCGTTCTATAAACCATAAACCAACACAAGCGCAAAAACCAAGAAAGGCGCACTCCAAGTGTAGTATTAATTCCTCGTTCTATAAACCATAAACCAACACAAGCGCAAAAACCAAGAAGGGCACACTCCAAGTGTAATATTCCTCGTTCTATAAACCATAAACCAACACAAGCGCAAAAACCAAGAAAGGCGCACTCCAAGTGTAGTATTAATTCCTCGTTCTATAAACCATAAACCAACACAAGCGCAAAAACCAAGAAAGGCACACTCCAAGTGTAATATTCCTCGTTCTACAAACCATAAACCAACACAAGCGCAAAAACCAAGAAAGGCACACTCCAAATGTAATATTCCTCGTTCTACAAACCATAAACCAACACAAGCGCAAAAACCAAGAAAGGCACACTCCAAGTGTAATATTCCTCGTTCTATAAACCATAAACCAACACAAGCGCAAAAACCAAGAAAGGCACACTCCAAATGTATTATTCCTCGTTCTATAAACCATAAATCAACACAAGCGCAAAAACCAAGAAAGGCGCACTCCAAGTGTAATATTAATTCCTCGTTCTATAAACCATAAACCAACCCAAGCGCAAAAACTAAGAAAGGCGCACTCCAACTGTAATATTCCTCGTTCTATAAACCATAAACCAACACAAGCGCAAAAACCAAGAAAGGCACACTCCAAGTGTAATATTCCTCGTTCTATAAACCATAAACCAACACAAGCGCAAAAACCAAGAAAGGCGCACTCCAAGTGTAGTATTAATTCCTCGTTCTATAAACCATAAACCAACACAAGCGCAAAAACCAAGAAGGGCACACTCCAAGTGTAATATTCCTCGTTCTATAAACCATAAACCAACACAAGCGCAAAAACCAAGAAAGGCGCACTCCAAGTGTAGTATTAATTCCTCGTTCTATAAACCATAAACCAACACAAGCGCAAAAACCAAGAAAGGCACACTCCAAATGTAATTTTCCTTCTTCTGTAAATCAAAACAACCCAAAAACCGCGGTATGCACGCTCTACGTTTTATGCTTGTGTCTAAATGTGATGTTCTTGTAAGTCAAAAACCAAAACAGGCGCGCTTCAAATGTAAGAACAAGCGTTAATAAGTTTATAATTAATATAAGCACGCACCGAATGTAAAGGCAAGATAAATAAGCACCAAAAATGTAATATTCAAACGTAGTATTTCTTTATATAACCAAGATAAGCATGCTCTATAAAAATTTAATGATCCTTCTCTATACGCCAGAAATAAAGCAAGCGCACTTTAAATGCAAATGTTCTTCGCTTGCTTTTCTTTTAGCTTTGCTTTGCTGCACAAAACAAATGTAATATTCATTATAAAACTGCTCCTCGTTCTAATGTCACAAACGAGGGCACGCGCGCTTCAAATGTAACAATCGCCTCGTTTTATATAAGCTGTCAAATTTTTGGCAATAAGCACGCAGTACTTTGTATAACCATGACAAACATTCTCTATATCAATTTAAGTTTCCTCTTTCTATACGCCAAAAACAAAAGCAAGCGCACTTGAAATGTAACTTTTCTACGGTAAAACTTTAAGAACAATCGTCTGCAGTTTATGAAATAGGAATGTTGATGCGAACATATTTTCACAACGAAGTGTAGTCGTCAAATACTACTTAAAAAGTACTCTTCTTGGTTAGAGACTTTTATTCTTTTGGTGGCTCCTAAAAGAGCCTTTTTTTGTGTCCTGCATTGCAGGGTTTTTCCTTCTTTTATGATTTTTCTTGGATTTTCTAGGTTTTTCTGCTGCGTCTTGTTGGTGCTGTGATTACTGTTTCGGTAGTCCATTTAAATACAAAAGTTTGTTGTGGTCTACGTCAAAGTAGAACTTCTGCCTTTGGCAGGTATCTGATGGTCTCTCCATATTCGTTTACCCAAGACATCTTCCCACAATAGTAGAGTTATGGTTTCTCAGTATTGTTCAACAGTGGGAAAATGGTTGTTTGAGACCACGCTTTAATCTATATGTGTGATAGTAGCAACCAATCACCATCGACTGTTTACTAACTTTAAGCATTTAATTTTCTCACACCTTTCTGTTTCCTTATAATTTTTTCACATCTCATTGTTAATATATCATCGGGGCATTTATTATTCACATTTTATTTTTTCTCACATCCTCTCTTATTATTGTTACGCATCATTTTCCTGCGCACAATCTGGCTAGCAAAACGTCATTTTCAACGTGAAATCGGCGCGCGGATCAAAAAAAAAAAACTCTCATCTCCTACGGGTCCATACCATCATAATTTTCTTTCTTTTTACAATCACTGACATCTCAAAGTTGTAAATAATTCCAAATATTGACCTACCCGAAACACAAGTGACAACATACTTTTTTTACAATTAACCTTTGCAAGGATGTACCTGCTGCTAAATACTACTTAACCGACAATCTAGTACATGTAGATGTTCCAGTTCAATTTTGTGTTGTGGATCAATTTTATCCTTGGTTTAATTCATATTTCCCAAATTTGTCTTGTGCTATAATGTTTGAAAAGGAAGAAAATACAGTTCAAATCAAGAGTAACATTTCACCAATACACATAAGTTATAACCCATGATATGGCTTGAAATATTCGTTTCGGGTCGCCAACTTAGACACCGTAAAAGGTACTCAAGTAAAAACGCGTGCTGAAAAAGGGCAAAAAATAAAGAAAGTGAACACTGTAATGCAGTTAGTTACCATAGAATTTTAGCCAAGAGATTGTAAAATATTGCACTTTGGACACTGAGTATACATAACAGTCAATGTAAAATTACCATAATATTTGCAATTACACCTCGAGTTTACAGCATCATAGTACTGAATATCTCTCTTATAATTTATCTCCTAAGTTATAGGGACCCAATGATCGCCAACGTGAACCTCGCGCACTTTATTGACCGAAGAGAGCTCTTCACAAACCGTATACCCCTTTCGTCGGTCCGTACCGTCCTTACAGATCGAAAAACGGTAAATATATCCACTCTTGCCATGAATATATTCTAAGTCCCACTGATGAAATGCGATTTACGGACCGTAAAACACACTTTACAGACCGTATACCCCTTTTGTCGATCTGTTCGATCCCTACAGATCGACAAACCGTATATAACCACTCTTGCCATGAAAATATTCTAAGTCCCACTAATGAGATGCGATTTACGGACCGTAAAACACTCTTTACAGACCGTATACCGACTATACCCCTTTTGTCGATCCGTTCGATCCGTACGGATGGACAAACCGTATATCATGCCACTCTTGCCATGAAAATATTTTAAGTGCCACTAATGAGATGCGATTTACGGACCGTAAAACACTCTTCACAGACCGTATACCCCTTTTGTCGATCCGTTCGATCAGTAAGTAAGTCCCACCAATGAGATGCGATTTACGGACCGTAAAACACTCTTTACAGACCGTATACCCCTGTTGTCGATCGGTTCGATCCGTACGGATCGACACATGGCTTATACGGACCGTTACGGTGGGGGTGTATTGGACAAACCTCGATGTGGGTGGTCAGCGGTAACTCGCGCGATGGCGCGCGTTTTATTTATACAAACAAACATGGCGGCGAAAAAATCAATGGTACACAGGAGAGGATTTCTCAAGGTCTGTTTATTAAAATTATGTGATATTTGGGAGAATTTTTACTTCTATCGTAGTTTGATTAATGAGAACTTTAAAATGGAAGTTGAACAGACGATTTTTGTGCCACATTTAATAATTACAGTACAATTATGTTATTAATTATCTCAAAACCTGTCTCTTAAAATTTGGTCAAATAAGTTTCAAATGTTAATGATTAATTATAGTAAGCTGTGTGCTAGTTTATAGGAAAATCTAATGAGCGAATTTTATGTAAACTGAGCAAAAGTGAAATTTTAAGGTTGTATTCAATCGTTCGTGTTGCCATGGAAACTACGAAAACGTTAAATTTTGCCAGTCAATCAAAATCTTTCATCAGTATATTTTTCACTTGCCAAGTTTCAGCTTGTGAGCTGCAACCTTTCTCTTGCCATGATTTGGCAAATGACATATACTCTCAAACTGCCAAAATTGTGTTCAGCCACCTTAAGTAGCAACTGCGAATACATTTCTGTTCTATGTCTACTTTCAGCTGTTTCAGCCCCCATTTTCTGAATATTCCACACTAACCCCCTGATTTAAATGATATCTTTGAAGTATGCTGGTGAAAAATTGTGTACCTATGCGTCCTTTAAACCGTTTGCGTGTTTTCGGTGCTCACAATGAAAGTCGTGTTGCGCATTTAGTATGGCAAGTTTTAATTTTATTCTCAAAAAACAGTGAGGCTATCCTAATCTAAAGCATACCTTACATTTTCGTCGCTTCCGTCTAGTTTCCAGAAATATTGCGTTTTGAGGGGATTTTTTCCATATTCTGGAAGAAATATTACTTTTAAGAAAAAGACAAACTGAAACGGCATACATTTAGTTACTGTGTAAGTAAATATTCATAGGAGCTAGGGGCCAATAAAGTAACATTAGTTTACTTGGCCAAGCTTGGCCACTAGACACCAAAAATAATATTCCAACCACTAATAATTAACAGCAACAGAAAAAGAAAAATTGTACCGGGAAACGTAATGTGCGAAAGGTTCGAATATAAAGTATGTGATATTCTTGATTAACTGGTACATTCCAATGGTGGTGTTTGAGAAACTATATACAAAAAGAGCTTTTTTATTTAGTAATCGACAGGATGTACTTTTAGGAATTCAGAATCACATTGCAACTGAACAATGCTCCTTAGAAAATATTTACACTGATAAAGATCATAATGCATTGGGCTATTGAAAAATATCAGCCGGGCTGAAATTGACCGGAATTAAGTCTTTTTCTTACTATCTAAACAGTGACATTACATGAAAGCGAATCTGATCATTGCAGTTCAGTAAAAACAATCTACGCGGTTGTTGTTCAACTGGGTGAATCACACTTGCCTTGCCAGGGAATTACTTCACATCCTTCGGTTTGAAAAGCTATGTCATCCACGGCAAGGAATGCCTGTTTCAAGGACGTCTGCCCTTCAAGAAGGACCTAGTTACATCCGAGAAAAAGACTAAACGTCAAAGACTTCACCCTTGTCATGATACTGAAGTGTTTTCTAGGTAAGACAAAAGGCAACATAACTTCCAGCCCCAGCCACCTGTCTTTCAATAGTTGTTTCTTCGTTTTGGCAGGGAAGCTTGTTATAACTTGCAAATAGAGCAAGCCTCAAATGCTTGCCCATCAATAAAAAAAAACTTGGAAAAACACGCAATCAAACAAAATTCTTGGCAATTTGGTCCTTAATTTAAGGCATGTTTAGCCTCTTTTCTCCGTTAAGTGAAACCATCACATCGTAAATGATGCTTGTCAGAAAATTATCGGCACGAAAACATCCGATGAAGTAAACAGGAATCAGTTACATTTTGATTTTGGTACAATCAGGTCGGCTGCCTCCTTCTTTTCCAACTTAGGATAGGGTTTCGCAGTATCAACCCAAATTGAACTAACTAAGTTTTTTGTAATCCAATAGCTTTTCATTAGAGATTTTTATTTAGCTATGGTATTCACCTGGTATGGCCTTGAGCCAGAGTCGATTGGCAACCGAACATACATCCAACGTCCAGCTTTTCCTTGATCTTGATGAGAGTCTGAACTCCACAAAATGGCTTTGGTTTCATTGATTATTAAAGACACCTTAAGAGAACCAGATCCGGTGGTTTCAAGATAATACCAGAGCTGCACACAATTCCAACCTGCTTCAGGCAAAATGCGTCGACTTTTCAAAGTCCCATTGCATCCTGATTCTTTGTCAGTCCATGAACAACCTTGCAAATATGTAAATCCTCCTGCAGAATATCACGTTTAAAGGTATTTACAGGGAAATGCTTAATTTGGTTTATTAAAACGCAAGGGGACAATATACGTACCGAGGGTGTTTTGCCAATCCGTTTGCAAAAATTTCAAAGGGAAAAGTTTACTCATTCGCCAGTTGTCACTCGGCTCCCAAACGCAATGATCCTGCTCAAATAGACATCCGGGAAGCTCTGTTAAATACAGCAGTTGAAAATAAACCGGTAACGTTAACACATTCGTTTAACCTGTGTCTTCGAAGATATTAAGTGGTTTTAATTTATCACGACCAGGACCTTCTCAAAGCCTCCGGAGATAATATAGATGTAAGACACTGGGTCAGTAAATGATACTTTAGAATTCAGTGAATTCACCATTTTCGCACTGCTCATAATGCGCTCTGTTTGCTGCCCAAAATCTTGCACATGCATATTCTTCTCGGTTTCTTTTCTTTCTTTTCTTTCTTTCAAGGACGATCAGCCCAGAAGAAATTGGTAATAATGGTAAGGAAAAAATTGGAGGGTGGGGGCAAACACTACGTACTATGGACAATGCGAAAGTGTGAATCGTACTATAAATCATAACATTAAGATAAAATTCGCGCTTTTAACTTTTTTCAAGTTCGATTGTACTAGGTTCAAGCCCTAATTGAGGCTTTCTTCGTACGGCCAGACGTTAAGTAGGATTTAACTAAGTTTAGTAATTGTAACTAACCATTCCCCTTTATGATGTCACATATATTTTCGCCAAGTAAGGATAGATCATCAACGGCAATGTCTCCGTAAATTCCACTACCAACAACCCCCTCTAAGATGACCTGGAAAGAGGAATCAGATGAGTTTAAGGGTGCCATATCTCAGTTCAACGAACACATTTATTATTGCCATATCACTCAACAAAGAGATCTGTTCTCGCTTATAAAGGATTTTTCATTCTATACAGTAAGTTAAATTGAGTGACGTAAGCTCACTTGCCGTCCTACGCACTGACAATACAAATTTTGTAGTCAAGTTTAAAATGGTCACCAGGGGAGAACCAGTCAATTCGTGACTGAACTATCTGCCCATAGCCCTGCGTATTATGATCGAGAACTATCTTACTTCATATCATCAATCCACAGCAACAACAACAACGTCTGACTAGCCCTCTCGTTTTCTGATTGTCAAATCTCGGTAATAAAAGATCACCATTAGTATGGATAGCAATTTTTAGAACAATTATTAACTTAAAGTTATTTGTTGCAATATTACCCCTACCTGGTAGCTCTTCAAGTCGCCTCTGTATCCAACTTGTCCAAAGTTCCATTTGTCACCTTGTTCACCTGTCGTATTCCAAACCAGCGTTTTTGTTTGATTTGTTTGAATGTAGACTCTCAAGCTTCCGACATCCTTTCCTTTCATGTGATACCAAAACTGTACACAAATAGATTTACCAGGACCAATTATACTGCTGAACAGAATGGCTCCCTCACCTGCCTTCTGCTCCGATGCTTCCAGAAATAGGTATTTTCCTTGATAGATAATTAGATAAATAAAAAGGAATAACAGAAATAAATACATAATTAAACTTAGAAAGAAAAAAAAAAGACTAAAGAGTCAATTAAACCAAGTGCACCAGAAACCTTATCAAAGCTTTTGTCTTTTACACGGTGTCATAATAAGAACGTTTAGTTTGGAAGAGCGGTCAAGTTCAGTTGATGTATCAGCCCATCATTTACATTTAGCATTTTCTTTATTGCTTTGTTTCTAATACTGTTGTATATTTATTTTAATTTTTTTTTAAATATAAACTTAAAGCAGCTTGCTGTTTATGAGATGGTTTGTAGCATTTGGTGGCGCCTTTAAAGGGAATACGAAGAGAAAACTGAAATGCTTAAGAATTAGTATCACTCAAACCAACCTTCAGGTAGAAATGTGGTGTGGTCATAATCCGGACCAGTGTTTTTTGTGGGTGTTGAGCCAGACCCAACGCGCCAGTTATCTTGTTCCATCCCGCACAGTCCATCCTCAAAATCGCATTTAACTAGCACAATGCATAAGGAAGACTTCGTAAATAGAGAGAGTAGTATAGGAGGGACCGGTTACTCCTCTTTTTTGGGCAGGAATTCCATTAACTTGGTCAGGAATAAATTAACGCCAATGACGTCATAACCTTTTGTCTTGATCTCATGAATAAAATGCTGTGGTATCTCATGAACTTGCGGTGGAATCTCATTAAGTATATCCAGTTTGACGGGTTTATCAATGATGTCATGTTCTATTTTTATCTTGTGGCGGTCATGGTTGGTATAACCGGTTTGACAGGTTTTAGTTATTTTTGGAAAATGATGTCATATGTATTCCGGGGTACTATTTAACGCTAAAACTCGGATTTATAAACAAAACACACGCACCTATACACAAAGTGTAGCTGAAAACTCTCTATTTCAATTTTGTCTGACTATTACAGAACTGTTTTCTCCGTTCTATCTCGAGGAAATGAAAAACTATTGAAGTCTCAAGGTTTCAAGCGTCGTTAGTTAGGTAATTATGCGAGTTCACAAGACCAAAGTTGAATACAAATTAGCTCTACAGGAAAAACCTGAAGGGACCATATTGACGTATTATTATAAAACAAATAACTTAACAAGGATCAATTGATTAAGCACGCGACTAATAATTGCTAGCAATAAAATCAGACACGAGATACCGTTTAAAACTAAAAGAGTCAAATACACAGCGATTTGAAAGAAATCTGTTAAAATAGTCAAAGAAAGCAAGCTATCTTTTTATTACCACGTTTCCCTCCTCAATTTTTTTCCCTCCACCACAATTTTAATATTTTCCCTCATTTTTATTGTTTTCCTCAGCAACTACACCGCATCTACTTCTTTCACATCGTTCTCAAGCAAGCACAACTTCTGTATAGGACGAACATAGACAGCATCCTTGGTCTTGACTTTCACAGTCCGTACTAGACCATCTGCACCCGGGTACGTCTCCAACACTCTACCGAGATTCCAATGCCCTCTAGGAGTGTTGTCGTTAACAAGAAGAACCAAGGCGTCGGGTTTGATATTAGGCAGCACTCTTCGCCATTTAACTCGTTGTTGGAGGGTTGGGATGTACTCCTTCAACCACCTTTCCCAAAACAAATTAGCCAAAAATTGAACCTGCCTCCACTTCTTTCTGTAAATGTCAGTCTTCTCAAAGACTCCAGGAGGCAAACAGATGAACTTCCTCTGCATCAATAGGTGGGCCGGTGTTAGCGGTTCGAGATCGTTCGGATCGTCCGAATTCGCTGTGAGGGCTCCTCCGTTAAGGATACACTCAACCTCAGTAACAAGTGTTCGTAGAACCACATCTGTCACAGTTTGCGCCCCCAAAATGGACTTCAAGACTGTCTTTGCACTTCGAACCATACGTTCCCACACGCCAGACATACTTGATGCAGTCGGGGGTTGAAATATCCATTTACAGCCTCGTTGTATCAGCTCTCTCTCTATCTGCCCTTGGTTCCATTCCTGGAGACTCTTCTTCAATTCTCGTTCGGACCCAACGAAGTTAGAACCGTTGTCACATCGTAACTCTTTCACGTCTCCCTTTCGATTTATAAAACGCCTTAAACACATGATGAACTCATCAGTATCCATAGAATTAACCACTTCAAGATGCACGCTACGGGTGGTCAAACAGGTAAACAAGCAACACCACCGTTTCGCGGTCCCTCGGCCATGTTTCACATAAATCGGACCGAAGAGGTCCATACCAGTGAACGAAAACGGTGGCTCATAGGCTGTAAGTCGACATTTGGGAAAGGGTGCCATCTGCTGGGTCATAGGTTTGGCGTTAAGTTTCTTGCAGGTAAGGCATCGATTAAGGACCGATCTAACCAATACACGCACTTGAGGGATCCAGAAATCTTCCCGCAACTTTGCAATGACATGTTCCCGTCCCAAGTGACCAATAAGGTGGTGAACGTGACGTACAACCAGCTTGGCGACCGGATGGTCTCTGGGAAAAATCATTTGTTGGCCGTGTGTACAGGAGGTCGGCTTGAGCTGACCACGGCCATTAACTCTCAGGATTCCGCCTTCGTCAAGTTTGGGATTCAGTGACGCAACCTTGCTTGACGGCTTGACCGCACCGTTGGACTTCAAATCTTTAATCTCCTGTGCATACGCCAATCCTTGGACAATCCTCACAATTGCTGCAGTTACCGTGTCAAAATCGTCAACACTGAGACGTCCAGTTTTGGCGTTCTGTTTGTCCTTAACAAATTGTACAAAACGCAGGAGCCAGGCCATTCTGCGCCTGAGGCGGGACCAATCTGAACAGGTAGTTAATAACACTCGGAGGGGCGGTTCTTCACAGCTTTCGACGGCCGTAGGCCTTGTATCTTCCTTCTTCGTCACGGACGGATTAGGGGAAAGTTGGACGGAGTGCACGAGAGCTTCCTTCTTTAACTCCAGACCTTCATCGGGTACGAACTGGCACATGTCTGTGGGCCAACAAGTTTCCGGCTCCCACAAGAAGTCAGGTCCACGAAGCCACCTATGGTCAGCAGTTAGCGAAGACGGGCTCATTCCTCGCGACACATAGTCTGCCTGGTTTAAGGATCCTGGCACATGATGCCAATCCTCTACAAGTGTGTGCTCCTTTATTTCTTCCACTCTGTTAGCTACAAAGGTCTGAAGTCTTCGTTTCTCGTTTCTCAGATAGTGCAGCACTATTTCACTATAAGTCCAAAGATACGTCCCGGAAATGTTCAGTTCAAGTTCCTCTCGCAACATCTTAAACATCCGGGTTGCGAGTACAGCTGCTTGCAATTCCAGTCTTGGAATACTAACAAATTTCACAGGTGCATTTCTGGCCTTACCAATAATGAAGGCGCAATGAACTCGTCCATCGGGGTACTCGCTTCGCAGATATGATGATGCGCCATAGCCAATCTCTGACGCATCTGAAAACACATGAAGCTGTAACTTGCATTGACGCGGGTCACCGTCCGACAGGAAATAGGACCGAGGGATGGACAACTCGGACAACAAGGGTAACTCAGTGCTCCATGCTCTCCACTTAGACAGAAATTCTTCGCTCAGGGGCTCATCCCATCCTATGTTAGCCTTCCATAGGTCTTGAATCAGGCGTCGTGCAGAGAAAGCCACTGATGCTGCGAAACCCAGAGGATCAAACAATGAACAAACAGTGGAGAGTATACCGCGCTTTGTTTCAGGGCGAACTAGGCTTCTTATTTCGAACCCCAACGTATCATCTCCAACAGACCAACGTACTCCGAGTGCACGCTCTATAGGTAGCTCGTCCAGGTCAAGGTTTAGATCTGGCTTAAATCGCTTATCATTTGGGACAGCACTTAGTAGTCTCTTGGAGTTCGACGTAAACTTGGTCAAGTTAAATCCGCCTCGAGCGAGCAGTTCTACCATGTCATGGGCTAGGCGAATTGCGCACTGTTCATCATTCTCAGAGGGAAGAGCATCGTCAACATAGAAATTTCTTTTTACAGCTGTAATAACACTAGAGCTGTACTCTTCGGCATTGTCGTCGGCCACACGGCGCAAAGTTGAGTTTGCAATACAGGGGGAGGAAGCCGCTCCGAAAATATGCACTTGCATGACGTATGTATCAGGGGGATTATCATATCCATTTGTCCACCACAGTAACCTCAAGGAATCCCGGTCTTCCTCACGCACACGTATCTGATGAAACATCTTTTCGATGTCGGCAGCGAACGCTATTTTTCCCTGGCGGAAACGTAGGAGAACACCAACCAAGTTGTTGGCTACATCTGGTCCAGTCAGCAAGTTCTTATTAAGCGAAGTTCCCTCGCATTCAGCTGCTGCATCGAGGACAATGCGCACCTTGCCTGGTTTGGTAGGACTGGTTACAGGGTGATGCGGAAGATACCAATGTGTTTTAGACTCTTTGTTTAACTCTTCTTCTGACAACTTGCGAGCGAACCCACTGCTGATATAACTATCCATAACTTCGCGGTACTTAACGGCCATTTCTTCGTTGCCAGGTTTCGTAAGACGGCGTCTCAGGCACTCTAGACGGTGCTTGGCCATGGCTACATTATTCGGAAACTGGCGTTCTTTCTCCTTCCACAGCATACCGACTTCATACCGACCGTCCACGCAGTGGGTGGTGTTCTCAATTATCTTCAAGGCTATTTTGTCTTCCACCGAGAGGGGTTTCTCATTTGATTTCAGTGTCCCGTAATCCTCCAGATTCCAAAATTTTTCAATGAGAGAACGCGGTTCAGGGTCAATCGAGACAAAATTTGCTGAAACCCCTTGACGACAATTGGCACCATAAGGACCACAAACGCACCAGCCCAAGGGATAACGACAGCCATAGAGCCCTTTCTTCTTATCTTCAGGGACTCTAACTTCCTTCTGTAAATGTGCATAGGGAATATTGTTTCCAAAAAGTATAGAGACTCTCTTGATGTCAACCTCCGGGAACTCCACATCACGTAAGTGCGGGTACTCAATAGTGTCAATCTGCTCCGAAAGAGTACAGCGCGACTGGTTGAGGTTAGGCAGGACATAGGCCTCCGAAACGTCAATACTCTCCCCGGAAGTATCCACCGAAGTCAAGGTAAAGGACACACGTTTCGACTCTACCACATTGTCACTACTTGAAATCGTGTTAATTCCGATTTGCGCGGGTGTTCCTTGAATACCAAGGTGATCAACTAAATCTTGTTCAATGAGGGTGTCAGTGCAGCCACTGTCTAAGAAGGCGTAAGTGGATACAGTTTTACCATTCTCAGCAGATATTACAACAGGTATAACGTTCAACAGCACTTTCGCTTGCACAGTCGCAACGGCAGCGGACGATATTGGCACCTTTCCCACAGACTTGTCAGACTTGTCTCCGCTCGCGGCTGGAGTGACATTTCCCCTTTCGCTGTTTGGGGATTTAGGCGTCGCCAATGGCTTGTCAGACTTATCACTAGACTCTCTATTACTCCGTGGGATGAAGCGACGACCACCATGATTACTTTCAGAGTGCAGAAGAGGAATGTGTCGACCGGAACATACTGAACCTGCTGGTGGGTCCGGACAGGAGCCAGAACCGTGTCCGGGCCTTTCAAGACCACAATTAAAACAAAATCCACAGGATGCCGCATACTGTCTTCGCACTGCCACGTGTTTGCACTGTTTGATAATAGGGCATTCTTGGAGTTTGTGACGCTTACTTGATTTGCAAATTCCGCAGTGTTCAGTGTTCTCAGAAGCAGGAGTTTTATGATCAACGCCGGTAGTACTGATTGTGGTGTTCTTTACTGGAAGCTTCGGAGGAAGTTTGGTATTCTTGTTTTCCCGCTTAAATGTCTGCAACCCGAACACCGGGTCATTTCTGATAGACGCTTGTTTGTGCACAAAATCAGCGACGTCCTTTAATCGAGCGGATCTTCCGGACTTCACGAGCTCGTAGTTCACGGTTTGCCACTTCAGGATTAAGTCGTTAGGTAAACGGTTCACGATGCGCCTGAGGTTCGTCGCTACGCTCGCCTCGCGTTCAACGTCTCCCTTGAGGATCCTGGTGGCTGCATTTAAGTTCTCAGAGAAATTGAGAAGACCAGTATTGTCGCCGTACGCCAACTTGGGGCCAGATGCGAGCTCTTCCACACATGCTTGCGTCACTCTCACCGCTTGGCCAAAACGTTCCTCCAACGTTTTCATAATCTCATTTAACGTACAACCTCTATTACGCTTCACAACCTCTAACGCTTCTCCCGCCACGAATTTAGGCAGATACTCCACTTGCTGGACATCAGTGAGCAGGTCGCTTTCGAGGTGCGTACGAACTTGTTCACGAAAAAAGGGGAACTCGGCTGGATTACCACTGAACTGTGTCGGCTTTATTCCGCTAAGATATTGTGCTTTCCACATTGCGGCAACATGATCACGGGGAGCCTGGTCCATGCTGGAGACGGTCTGCGACCTCCCGAAGTTAACACGTTCAAGGGACTGGGTCGAGTTAATCCCCGCAGAGGGAGTGGTGGTGTTTAATCCCTTCACAGACGATTCATTGTGGCTCAACATAGTGTCTGACGGTCTTGAAACTGCTGGATACTTTGGCTCCGTTGATTGAGGTGTTCCACTGGATATCACATACACGGCACTCGATTGACTGTTAAACCCATCTCTAGAAACATACTCAGACGTGACTGGGGTGGAGTGTGATTGCTTGTTAACAATAAACGTAGAAGTGTTCAAGGCACTAGGCACAACAGGGGGGAGTTTGCTTTCAGTCAAGTTATCCATTTCAATTTTCCATTCAAGCTCAGCCAATGTTGCTTCCTCTTCAAGGCGCCTAAGTTCCATCGTTTGCTTATATTCATGAGCCACTCTTGCTGCTTCTGCGTCTTCCTTTGCCCTAGCTCTTGCTAAGTCTAGTTTCATTTTAGACACCAGTGCCCTCTTTAGTGATTTCTTCTGTGAAGAAACTGATGATGCCTCAGAATGTTTGGTAACATGAGTAGCAACGCTGTGCACTGACTTATTGTCATCTTGTTTCCGATCCCAGACTGGTAGTCCGCGGTCCATTCCAAGTTCGTCATGCCGGGGGTCTGGTCTTCTAAACAAACCCTCACACTCATTGATAATATCGTCCACTTCACGTTTCAGAGTAGAATAACGTTCTTGTACATGTTCTAAGCGTTTTCTCTCGTTAATTCCTGCAAGGTACCTCCCATGAAGTCCCTCGAGCCTGTCCCATTTTTCCAAGAGCAAGTCAACAGATTTCTTAGCTTCCTCTGGACTCAGTGTTACATGAATTTCAGACTGAATTTCTTTCAATAAACTGTCTATTTCCTTGCTAATATTTGACCACTGCATTGCCGTACTCCTCTGGTCCCGTGAGTCCCTTTTCCGATCCGATTCCAAAAATTCAACGCGAGTAGTCGGCGGGGGCCTGGGACGAAAATGATAGCCATCGCCTTCCCGCGAAGCGCTCAATGGCTGTGAAAACACATTCGTAGAAACACAAGAAGGTAAAGAAATATCGCTTCGAGTTGAAACCGCAGGTAACTGAATCGAAAAATCGGGCAATCCACGATCCATTCCAGACCCAGCGTAATCCAAACTTATACCACGACCACTGTCGAAGCCAACGTTGAATCTATTCGAAGCATCCATCGATCACACTTGAAAACATGCAATTCCAATAGAACTTTTGTCACTGATGTTGGGGATAAGCACAGATTTCTTCGACTCAAACGGTGAAAACTAAAACAAAAATACAAAACATGTAGGTAGAGAGCAAGATAGAACTGAAAAACGAACCAAATACTTACAAGTTCTGTGCTCTCTCTACCATACAAACAACGCAACAACTATCACAGATCAACACACTAGTCACATGGAAAAGGAAGTCACGTGACCAGTGCTCAGGTCCCTATCAAAAAAACCTAACAGTTTTCGGATAATTTTCATGTCCGATTTTTAAATTAGATTTGTCCCGAACAGTGACAGATATCCGTTTTCAACAAAATGGCTGCCGCGCGATCACCATGCAGATGTTTTAAGACAAGAGTTCTGCATTTCAAGGTTTAAAATACACTGTTAAAAGACAAAAAATGGAAAGAGAATTTATTAAAGATCTAAAGAATGCTAGCTTTCTTTTTGTGTAGGAAGGGAAGCTTTTCATCAACAAATCGTCCTTCAAGGAATTCAACCTCGTTTTCTTCACGACGGAGCGCATGGTCTGCTTTGAAACGCAACCAAGGCAGTGAAGTTTTTCAGGTATATTTTGCACTTTACGTTTTTGAAAGGGAATTTATGTATTTTTAAATGTTTCATAGACGTTTTATAAATTTTTCTCTTGGGCGCTTAAGAGAAAAATTACAAAATGTGCCCCGATTTGAGATGGATTTTGAGTTGAATTTTGCCATGTGCTCAGCCGGTTTCACTTGCTTGAACGGATCCACGATCCAGATAGTGTTTTCCGAATTGCTTTAAAGGATTAACTTTTTGGACTTTGAATAAAAATTTCAAGAAACGGCTTATCTGTCTATTATTTTGAGTTTGTTCATTCATAAAATTAGCTCAAAACACGATCGTGACTACAACATCCAAGCTGAATTTAAACTTAAATGCTTCTCACATTCATTACACGCATCACTTTTTGCGAAGATGTCAGGTTCAGGTTTTGGACACTTTTCGATACGAAGCTAATGATTTCTATTCGAAAATAGTTTTTACTGTTTATTGTAGACTTTTAATATAAGAGTTTTAAAAGCCTATTTGCAGCATAAGTTTACTATGCAGAGGGTCAACGAGGCATCGTTTTTGGAAGTGACAACTTCAAGTAGTTTCGAGGACGTCAATGGGTTTCATAATGTTACGTTTGGCCCGGGTGGTAAGGCAATAATATCCTGCTCAGTGTTTCGGTAAGATTCCTGGTCTCAACCTTTGAAAGCTTTCTCGGCTTTCGGGAGTTTTTCCCCCGTTTGTTGGTCATTTTTTTAAGCGGGCGCGGGAAACTGAAGTAAAATTACATCACGTTGTTTACGATATTTGATTGCTCAGTTATCTCTTCTTCTCCTTCCAAATATGGTACTTTCGAAAATGAATAATCACGAGCATCGGACAAAGTAAACATATGAGAGTTACATGTTTCAGCCCCTTATGAGTTTCTGTTAGGAATTAATGAATGAGGCTGAGTAGGATGTGAAGCATTATGCAGATTGAGGAGCGTGTGACCGAGGTGGATAACACCCTCCGAGATCCGCATAATTCTTTATATCCCACGAAAGCCGAATTCGTTAATTGCTATATTATTCAACATTCAAAATAATTCCTTGTTTAAAAACAAGCTAAAACATTCTTACCTTCGTCGATGCTAAGTTCATCTAGATAGGGCATGCTTAGAAGATAAAGGGCTGTTCAGGTCTGCAAATATACTCCAAATAGCAGATGTTGTCCGTCGAGCTGTCTTCTTGCTATGTTTCTAGACAATAGTTCGTCGTGAGACGGTTAAAATGTTCCACCAACTGTTCGACCATTTTTCTTTTCACAACCAAAACAACTCAACCTCGTCCCCAAGTCTTCTCGGTTAACGGTGCATTAACCTGCAACTGTGCTGCACTTTTGACGTCATCGGTTGATTAATCACAAAATTCTTCCAAATTTGGTCAACAGTAGCTGGTTATAGTGAATTATGCGTGTGCTTTTAGCCAGTCAGAAACAGAGAAATATTTTGAATGAATGATAGTAGTGTTTATTTGTATGATATTTCGTCCCGATAGGGTACCAGTGGATTACTCAAATTTCATCAATTTACCTGCTGCTTATTAGCAGACATACATTATTCACGTTATGAACAAAACGAATGTGAGAGAAGTAATTGGGTTCATTTCCCAGTATGGAAACTAAGCTTTGCACTTGCCTTTTATAATAATCTAATCTTAAGCGACTGTTACGCTGCACTGTTACAGGTAAAAAGTCGTCTTCATTTGTCAACAAATATAGGACAAGATCATCATTTCCATACCTTTGTTTCCACCACACTGGTAAAATTTTAACGAATTCGTATAGTTAAACCAATCACAGCCCAGATTAAGCAACGGACAGTGCGAAGACCCTGAAGAAACAAAAGTATTGTCCAATGCATTTATTATTTGATTATTACACAGTGTCGTTTATTACTACAACTTTTTATTAAACTTTAAAATATTTATTTATTATTTATTTTATTATTCATTCATTTATCATTACTGCGTATTAAACATTTAAACAGATTTTGATATTTAATTTATTTGGTTTTTTTCTACCTTTCCCTTGCTTTTGTAATATTTGTTATCTAGAGCTTATTAAAAACAATAATTCTATATTGTAATCACCTCGGTGTTAACGTCATGTACAATTGCATAATGCATCACCGTATATTGGTATTTCAAATCCCAGTAACTATATTACCTGCAACCGATGATCGTAGATCGATCAAAAAATGTCTTGCTCCAAATTCAAAGTTTTGGTTCATTTTTAAGGAAACTATCGTTTCTATTTCATTTGACATTCTGGGAATGACCACTTTAGTATTTAGAATCACATTTTAGCAAGGGAAATATACCGGTATCTGCTAGTAGGTATTGCCATCTACAAATTTGGTTGCAACAGCTATTCTATCCGGATTCTGTCCCGATCTAGAAACAAACTCAGGATATTGGCAGTAGCTTTCATTCTGAAATCAGTCAAGGCCCTTAGCTGCGCACTAATCTGTGCGTAGTCATGAATATCTAAAGAACGACCTTTCTTTGCTAAAATATTGAAACGTTTACCGCTCACACTCTCTGAAAATACCTTTAACGCTAGATTCAGACGTGTAGACATCTACACCAAGTTTATGTAACGCCGGTTAAACGTTTACTAACTAAATTATACTAAGCTTAAAGACAAATCGCTGTTTACTTTAATGTGCAGCAAAAAGAGCCATTACCACATATAGATGGCTCATCTGTTCCATCTTGACAGTTTGTATCTTCATCGCACGTGAGAGACCATGGTACGCAACCACCTCCGGCGCAAGAAAAAGCATCTTCCGAGCAGCTTTGCCCTATATTAATGAGACTCTAAAGTAACAAATATTTTAGGAAATTAAATAAATAACTTTTGAGTCTGTTGCTTACCACATCTTGCCTCGTCTGTTCCGTCCTTGCAGTCCTTTCTCAAGTCACATAGCTTCTCCACACCAAGGCATTCTCCAGTGGGACACTCAAATTCAGTTGGGAGGCATTTACAGTTCTTCTCGTCTGAATTGTCCACGCAAGCCTTGTCTCCATCGCATACTAGGTCTTTGCTTACGCATTCTCCATTGTCGCACTGAAAACTACTTTTGCTCTCGCACATGAATCCTAAAAAAAAATGAAGTTTGAGTGATAGTTGATCCGTGAAGCTCCTCGAAGTAAAGAAGCCGCCACTATTATTTATATATTTCAATTACTCATCTGTCCATATAAGTGCAAAGACTTTACGCCGCTGGACAGCAGAACGTACCCAAAACAAGGTTTTAAGAATCCCAGTTATGGACAAAGTGGAGACTATTAAGAAAGAGTATACTTACCTGGTAAACTACGAAGAGGTAGTCTCTCGCACTGCGTTGTAGCAATACTAATGTTTTTTATTGTCACGGGGTTAATCCCAGACGGCTGTTTTCCGTTAGCAACAATACGAACCTACAAAATAGAAGGAATGATTGAATAAATCAATCTTACGACGGAGCGAAAAGCGAGATTATGGGGTCATCTTCTGTGTAAAAACCTGCGAAGTTTTTCTTTGCATTCTAGCTATTATTTTGAGCGCTTACCATTTATACGGAAATTTCGGTGAAAAATTTAAATCGTACTGACATTTTTTTGGCACCGAAAACAGAAACGCTATTGAGTTGTATACCATTTACACAATACCGGTAAATTTTTCACTTTCTCTCGACGGGAAGCCTGGCACTGGTAATCCGACCAAATGGTACAGAAAATTTCGGTCGTTTCAGTAAGAACAGGGAAAAGGTAATACCTCGAAAGGTATTACTTTTTTTCCGGAAAATTTCCTCCGGGATGAACCGTTCCATTTGAATTCTCCCCGGAATTTCCGGGTTTTCCATGTAAATGTAAGCGCTCCTTGGCTCTATTGCTCTTTTGGGTTGACTTCTACCTGGGTTCTGGGTATTACTTGTTTTACGTCACTCGTGAGGTTTTCAGGTTTTACACCGAGTATGAGCCAGATTTTGCTACCGGAAAGACATTGTACCTTAAAATCCTCACTTGGTATGAATGACACTTGGCCTGTCAGCCAGGTCGGGCCCTGGTATCCATGGAGACTCCACACTCGGGAGACATTTGCTGATGTCAGCAGTATAAAACTTACTGATGATCCAGAATAAGAGGTAAGATAAGAGAAGGACAGGCACATTCCAGTTTTTTCATAAAAAGGATTTTTCGAAATCCACGGGCTCTCTAGAACAGCATCTTTGCCGTCAAAACGGGGCACAATTCCTGAATACACATAGAATAATAACACATCAGTTGCTTCCCAATGTTTTCAAAGTGCAACCTTGATATAACGAATCTCTTTATAAGAAGTCCTCGCAGGTCTAACGAAAGATTTTGCTTACACCTGTAATAGTAAAATATGTGATGGGTGATATCTGTTGATTCACCTAACGCTACTTTGTTAGCAGATCAGTTATACGACAATTTTCTCTTTCAGCTAGTCAAGGATCCAATTCGCAATAGGAATATTTTAGTTTATGATCTAAAAGTTAGTCTGCCCTTTTCTGACCATAACTTGATCTCTATGCTGTTATAGAGGAAATCGTTCCCTGAACGGAAATCGCAGAAGTTAAACTATTCCTTCAAGAAGGCAGACTGGGATCACCTCAGAATTCTTTTACATTACACTCCATGGCATTGTGCTTTTATGGATACTGACACAGATCGTCTATGGGCTGCATGGTCTGATTTGTTTTTATTTGCTGTCGACGAGTGTATCCCAAGGCGGACAGCGAAGAGAAATTCAAACGCACCATGGATAAGCGGGTATTTAATTAAGTTGTGTAGAAGAAGAAAGTACTCTATAAAAGGGCAAAAAAAAAAAAAACCCGTGCCCTGACTCACTGTGACAAATATAGCAAATTTAACAATTATGTGAAGAAGGAGTGCAACTCTGCGCGTAGGCAGTTTGTAAACAGTCTGGCAGATGAATTAAAGACCAGTAACCAAAGCCTTTTTGGAACCTTGTTCAATCAAAGAGAAACGAAACTTAACGTCACAACCTGAGTATTGCCAACTGTATGAATTCTTTTTTCTCATCGGTCGTTTCTGTTGAGGATCACGAAAACTTTCCCGACCTCGATTATATTACCAACAAGAAATTATGTAATATCTTTTGTTCTGCCACTGAAGTTGAGAAATTGCTAAGAAATTTGAATATCTATAAATCCTCTGGGCCTGACTGCAGAAGGACCCTTGTGGTTGACTTTTGGTCAGATCTCAATCTTTTTAACCCAGACCAATTTGCGTATCTAAGGGGCAAATCTACGTTGGCACAATTACTTAGTAATTGTTACAACGACTGGGCAAAGGTTAAGGAATCGTTCGCGGCAAGTGGATATCATATGCATCTTCTTAGATCTCTCTAAGGCTTTCGACAGTGTGCCACATGAGCGTTTGTTGCTGAAACTGCAACGGCATAGAATAGATGGCTCTCTTATTACTGTGGATTAGAAATTTCTTGACAAATAGAAGGCAGTGTGTCGTGTTAAGGGGCAGTTGTTCAGAATGGTCACCTGTAATTTCAGGCGTGCCCCAAGGAACATTACTCGGCCCCAATCTTATTTATCATTTATATAAACGATATTTCGACAAACCTAACATAAACAGTCAAAATCTACGCTGATGAAACCAAAATCTATCGCACGATCAATGAGCCTGATAAGGATATCTCAGCCTTGCAGCTTGACCTGAATAGATCGATTAAGCGACTGGGCTAACAAACCGGCAGTTGCGCTTTAATCCCGAAAAATGTATTCATGCGTGCAACGCACAGTAGGGACAGATCTAGCCTACGCCATGTTACTCTCTAGGTGTGCAACTAAAATCTGTTGAAAGTGTCATGGACCTAGGGGTCACAATAAACTACGATCTATCTTGGGGTAAAAACGTCTCCTACATAGTAAACAAGGCGAACAAAGTGTTAGGTGTAATTAAGCGATCACTCGGAAACGACAATCGGCATGCGTTTTCTTGCCTCTTTAAGTCGTTGGTAGGACCTATACTCGAATACGCCGCCCACGTCTGAAGCCCCTACCAATTAAAGGATATTGAATCCTTGGAAAAAATCCAAAGAAGAGCATCACGGTTGGCCTTAAAGCAAAAGCGCGGAGAAATGAGCTAAGAAGAGCGCTGCCGCTTAATGAATTGGCAAACTTTGGAGAAACGTAGAGAGTTCTTATCTCTAGTTCAGTGCTACAAGATAGTTTTTGAAACAGATAGCCTTCCTTTTTCGGACTTTTTTGGAACTTACTATGTGTAATCGAACTGGAGCCAATCACTATTATAAGCTCTGTGTAAAAGTTGCCATCCTAACCTGCTACAAATATTCTTTCTTTGTACGGATCGCAATGTGCGGAATAACTTACCTAAAGATTCTGTACACGCAGGATCGTTGACTTTATTTCGCAACGGATTAAGGATTTATATGAATATTAATTAATACGATCATTTGCAAATAGGTTCAATTATGATATGCAAATAATGTTTTTTATTCCCGGTTTTAGGTTTTAGTTTTTTTCTCTGTATATAGTGTTTTAGATTCTAGATTTTACCTTTTTATCTTTTATTTTGGGGAGTCTTTCATAGTAACCTCTAGTTATCCCCTTTTCAGAGCCATTTGCAACTTTCGTTTTTTTATTTCTTGAATAAAGTATTGTATTGTATTCTATTGTATTGTATGTGGAAAAGAACTTCGTTATAGTGAACAAATTTTGCCAGTCCCTTAGCACTTCTTTATATCTGAAGGTTCCACTGTAGTATAAGAGTTAGCTAAGAGTTCAAAGCATATCCATGCAAGAAAAAACACAATAACATATTTTTTCCGAAACAGGACTTGGTGACGAGATAATAATTAGAGAACCGCAGCGATAACTGGCCTGTGAAAGCCAAGCGATCTCCATCGCCTCAACTAGCGAGGGTGAGGGAACAACTTTGTTGCATCAAAACTTAAGTCTTTCCTTTCACAGTCACCAACTAAACTGCGCAAGGTATTATGCGCAGTATGGTGCCCTGTGACTTGCACAAATTGCTTAAGATGGTTTACAACGTCCATAACAATAGTTTACTCTTCAGCTTCCAAAAATGAAAGTAATATGAATTGTTAAGATCGTAGATGTTTGGGTGCACGCCTGATCGTCTTTAAGCCCCCTTCAATTGTTGGCACTGCATTCAGCTGCCATTACATCGTATTTGGCTCGAGACCAAAGGCTAATATGTTCATGAGATATTACAGAATCAACAACACAAACCTTTGCCAGACGGTGAAAGTGTCCAACCATTATCTTTACTGTTCCACGAACAAAGGTCAGATGTGAAACTGCAATTTTCAACTAGGATAGCTAAAAAATGAATAAAAGTGGAGTCTTGTTCTGGACAATGAATACTTGAAAAAACAACAATATTTTTCAGTTACATGCAGTCAGGATTGTCATACCTGAGATATGAACTTCGTTAATTTCCCTTGAAACTTGTGATGTGCAGGACAAGCAATCGACCAGGCCATGCGTTACCTAACACACGACGATACGCAGGTCATTTGTAAGGCAAATGCTTGGCAAAAACGTCATCATTTATCCTTGCGTATCCGGATATTTTTGAATCCGCAACTTTTCCTTTGCGGATTCTTCGCCCACACGTATCCGGTGTAATCCACAACTTTTTGTATCCGCTCTTCAGAGTGAAAATGTTGAATATACACGCTATGAAATCCGGATATTTTTTTATCCAGTGATGTCACAAGATCGAGCCAAGTCCTTTACAGTGAATATTGAAGGCGGTGCTGTGCGCAATGTTATGGCTTCTTTACTTCTTGGACTTCAATTTCAAGTGTGCAACCAGCTGACGAACTGAGAGTGAATCTGGATACGTATAGACGGCCAAATTCGATTTGAATACCCGACATGTGGACGTGGAAATTTTTGAATCCGCAAAGAACAATTTGCGGATTCAAAATATTCGGATACTTGTGGACGGGCTTAATTATATAAAACATCTTCATCATCAAGCAGGGGCACCCAGCGACTTTTTTTCTGTAAAGTAACTGTTCGAAGGAGCAAATATTGGTAACGTTTGGTCTCCTCCGTTCTCTCTTCCCTGCAATTTTGTCTTCCAGTAACAATTTTTGGATCGACCACGCACGCTGTTATCACGTGTCTAAAATACTGGCATTTTCTTTTCTTTAATTATTGCTGGTAATGATGAACTTGTTGTATTTGCTACCTTTAAAACTTCTTGTTTGGTTTTATGTTCCGTCCATGATACTCTTAACATTCTTCAATACGCACACATCTCGTGTCTGTTTTATTATATAAAACAAATACGATAAATTCAAATTGCTTACATTAATTTGGTACGTTCCTTCTTGTAGAAAGGTATCAAAGCTAATGTTGAAATAGCGTTCCTGACAATCCATTGGCAAGTCATTATGAACCAAAATCCTTTGCTCACCAAAGCTCACATAAACGCGAATTGGACATCCAGAACAGTTCAATCCACGGCAGCAATATTTGTAATTGGCTATATGGTTAAAGAAGAGAAAATGACTCGAAAGTGTAAACAGGTTAATCAATATACGCGGACGTATTATCCGGAACTTTTCGTTACAAAAAGATTTTTAGCATTTAGAAGTATAGTAGCTGTCCTGTCCAAATTAACGTTAATGGTTTTCCACCACTAAACAAAAGTTTTGCTGCAAGAACAAATATAAGAGAAATTAGCGATACGATCAAGTTACAACTTTCACATACGAGTAATTACTGTTATGCGAAAACAGCTACCTAAAAATACCTTGAATGAGAAGTTTTTGACCAGTCTTGAGAGTAACCTTTTTAGGACTAGACGATATTTGAAAGTCTCCAACACCTGTGTGAATTGCAAATTGTATATAAAAATAAAACATAGTGCGAATCCTTCGTAATCGGAATAGAAGGGAAATCAATGTTTTACAAATAAGAACTGCGGTCAAGATATCCATTTATCCGATCGGTAACAAAGAGTGTTCAGAAACGACATAAACTACTAAGATTATTTCAAGCCTTTTCACCAGTGAACCGCCCGCAACAGCGAGTGCGGAATCACGTCCCTTGTACATCTGTTTTAACGGCCATAAACAACTTTGGCAGCTTATTCGTGCACGGGGAAGACACTTTTCGCACCATACCCGAAAAACAAAATTTCAGTCAAACAGATCAAAAACTGAGCCAAAAAAAGGTAAAGTTCACTAGAAGTTTAACTAGAGACCGCCGTTTAAGAGAAATAATCCGTGGACAGATATGCGCAGACACGGACAATTTCCGGCTTCTAAAGGTGCCCTCGTTCAGTAGTATCAACTGCATGAAATTATTTACCTGGCCGCACCCAAAATAAGTAATCCTCAGTTATTGGGCTTATGAATGTCCCATTTGGTAGCTTCATTCCTACGGATGCACAATCTTTTCCTCCAGATTGCTTCATTAATAACTCCAAAGAGTACGATTGGCATTTACTCAACCAGATCTCTTTGGATGTTTGCTGAGAGGGAAATCTAAAGAAACTTACAAATATCAGTGGGTAAGAATGATAAAGTTACCAATAAAAAAACATATCTTCAATTATTAAGGTGGCCTTAGAAACGTGCACGACGGTCATCTGAATTGATCGATTGCGCAATATGAAACAAAGGAAGTGTTGACAACATAGTGCAGGACCGTATGTCGGGAACCATAAGAAATCCCTGGAACTTATTACTCGCACGTGATCTCGCTAATTCATATGACATTTTATTCCGACAAACGCAATTAAGATAATCAAAATATGCTTTTGTCCCCAAACGTTAACCGGAACCTCCGTAAATACATCATCGACTTTATTTTAAAAATTACAAATGTATTTTCAAACAGAGCAACTTCAGGACACTGGGCCACTTTATTTAAATTTATTTACATTGTGTGGGCCGCGCCGAGACGTTTCTTTGTAACTACCACGTAAAATAATCAAACCAAATCGCAACCAAAGTCTCCAGGTGATCAAAGCAAAAGGCCGCGCGCGGAGAGAGCGCGAGACCACAAAAGTATTGTTTTCGAAATGTAACCGCATTAGCACAGGTTCTCCGTGAACGGATCGCAACAACATTGTTCTAAATAAATACCAAAAAGAAAAAGAAAAGCCTTCTTCCGAATAAACGGTTACTTACTGTGCTTTCCAGTTTCCAGGACGTACTAAAAGTGCCGGAAATGGGAATTTTGCTACGCGTGTTATATTTGTAACGAGAAAACAAATTTAAAAAAGTATATCTGTTGGAGGGTCTCCTACAAGAAAATCTCCTATTAAAAAACACTTTAAGACACACATATAGCTTTGATAGCTTGTATACCCCTTAAGAGCGGATGTCAGTAAATATCGACCAGAGGTCTACAAAAGTGAAAAATCACAAAGTAGTAAATCACAAAGTAGCACTAGGTAAGCTATTAACATAAATGGAATTTTTACTTCGATCCGATAATTATTTTCCACGTACGGGGGGATTATTGGTTTCGCGGCTCTCGGACCGGGTTTTCCAGGCCCGAGACCATGTGTCGCAAAAAAATCGTTTTAAAATTCAAATCCATTGTAATGCCGACAACAAATAGCTTATTCAGAAGAGTACATAATTGCACACATTCTAAGTGGTGATATACTCAGTTTGAACGAAAGTGTAATATTTTGGAGATTTTTCATTATTTTCAATATTTTGATCGTTTTCGTTCAATGAAAAAATGGCAAGTTTCAAAGCCCAAAATCGTCGACTGGTACCTCGATTTCAGTAACGAGTCTTATACCACGTTAAAGAGCGTTATCTCTTCTTTCAAAATGTGTTTTCAAAACTACGGGCAACTTAAAATAAAATGTTTGAGGCCCAAAAATACTAGTAGTACTTTTCTGAAATTTGAGCTTTCCAGACTCAGCGGGTCGATGCTAAAAACTCAGAAAAATGCAATAAGAAATCAGTTTGAGCAACAGTGATTTAACGTTATCAGCTATCAGAAACCAACACGTGTTTATCGAGCGATCTGATAAAATTTAAAGCCGTTTTGCAACAAGAAAAGCAGAGTTTAGCCATCTTCTGCTACCAAACACACGAGTGACGTAAGGTTGTCAAACGGCAAAGCACAATAATAAACTTCAAAAAGCACAACGTTTCTGCGTCCAGGAATTAGACTTAAGCGGACAGAACAATGCCTACGAGTGTATGTTTCATACCTTAGCATGGGTTTCCTAGATACTGGAAATAAAAAACATCAAGGACAGCATCGGCAAGAGCATCTTCGGCTGCTCTCAAACGACGGAGATTGCGTTACTTTTCACAGATTGACCGCTTACCACCTGTTTTTGGGCTCGCATTTCGACGGAACGCTTGCCTCGAGAGGCGCGCGGCACGGATCTGAACTCTTCTTCATGAGACATTGAGCTGAATTTATCGGAAATATGCCACCACCATCAAAAACATGAGCGTTTTTCGGGTATTTGTCGTTTTTTATGCGAAAAATTCGGGTAAGCAGATTCTCGCAAAAACCATTTGGCTTAAAAAATGTGTTTAAAAGCCCACCCTGGATTTGAAGCAAAAAGTATTTCCTCGAAATAAGCTAAAAATACCCAATTCACGCGGTGAAAAAATGGATGATTATGGAAGGATTATCGAATTCTTGCCTAACCTGAGGGATTTCCCGTGATGTAGGATTAGGGCTAGGAAAAAAGCCCATAACCTGCTCCTGTCGTTGTGAATTTCCTCAAGATCAAAAATTTCAGTAAGAACCGAAAACAACAGCTTAAAGGAGGTGCACACACCTTGAACTAGCCAGGGAAAAGGGGCTTCTGATTGAGCTAAACTGTCATTGATGCACGGTGCAATTAGGTAGACCTGTTACTATCCCCCGCGCAACCACATGGGGAGTACTTTGAAGCGGTCCTGTCGGGGACTTTTAGGGGTAGGGAGGGGGCGGGGCAAATCGAAAATAACTTCTCTTTGTTTTTGTGAAGTACATCATTTCTCGCACGGCTGACAAGGTGACGGCGGACTCCGTACCTTTGGAAAGGCCCTTTTGAGACATGTCCTGGCAACATGCAGGGCATCACGAAATTAACGTCAACAGCTTGAATCAACTCCATGAACAGGGAGAGGCGATAAGTCCCATCTTAAAAGATGCTTGATGTCTAGACGTGAATAGTTTGTCCACGGTCATTTTTCATTTTGTATTTCGGGACCATTTGACAGCGTACGAGTGAACCGGAGCGCAGTGACGAGCCCTAACCCCACCCCATTGCCTTTGCGGTCAATAAATCATCGCGTTTTTCATTTTTTTTATGCGCGTTCGAGAACCTCCAAAGGGAATATTGAGGGTCTATGTACAGTTTCAGTTTATTTTACCGACAAAAGATAACAAAACAAAGCAAAAGACAAGTATACAGAAACACGCAGAAGCAATGTGGTGAGGAAGCCCAAAAAGAAACCATAAGGCTTAGGTCATCCCCTTTTTGTTCGTTTAGCGTCGAATAGGTTTCCTGGTTTTCGGAGGGTCGGTCGGTGGGGTGAAAAAAAAATCACAAGAAATCTGAAAAAAGGAGGCCTGAAACACCAGCATCATTGCCGTGGAGACTGAAAACAACAAGACATGGTCACCAAATCGACACAAACCCAATATGGCGGAAAATTTGATGGTCAATTTCATAAAAAAAGGCCCAAAAAGGGTAAAAAGCAAAGAGGATATACCACCGAACGTTTTATGCCTCGAAATGATGTTATAATGCTAATTTTTTAGATTAAAAGAATTGATATAAGTCCAAAAAAAATAAACCTTGTCGTTTCTTTTTCTTGCTTTTTTAAAAAGTGCCAGAAAACTGGGTCTTTTGGACGACACTAAACGAAGAAAAAATTAATATAGGAATTAAGCTCCCTTAAAGTAGAGAAGTATAAGTTTACAAGGACAGGATCGAACGTATACTGAGTAACTAAATGATAAAAATTTGATCAAAATTAAATGAAAGGCTAAGAGCCTAAGCGCTGTCTGATAACGAAACGGTAAACAAGAAGTGCTGCCTCTCATTTAAAAGAGACGTGAAATACTGGGTGGACCACATCCTGAACTCCCGCGAAAACTGCAAGAGAGGAACGCTCAGGGCTAAGGAGACTAAACAGTGGCGTAGCTACTTGTACGCACGGTTTGCAAGTGCGTACCCGAAAACGTTGAGGAAAAAAAATAGAATGAAATAAACATAACTAAAAAAAGTCGGTTTCCGGAGAAGCGACGACATTAATTGGAGAACCGAATCTTGGATGATTTATTTATATAGCAAGCTTGATGATGTAAAGCGTGAACGCGTTGTTTTCTCCACGACCTGTCTTCGGAGTAGGCGAAGTAGGGCACAATTACGTCAATGTGTGGTGCTTTTGTCGGTCAAAAATAATGTGACAAAAAGGGGTTAAAAGAGTCATTTGTAAACTGAAGCCGGAGGTACTACAAGCTTGATTTTTAATAGCTGAATTAAAAATAAACGGTTGACGTCAATGAACATAACAAGCCGACAGAATTATAGAAGTTTAGAGGTTGTGTCATTTCATAAACAGCAAAAATGCTGGGGTGGGGGAGGGGTAAGAAGATGTAGAAAAAGTTGGGCGTACCTCCTGAAAAATCCTGACTACGCACCTGCTGAAGCCTGAAACTGAACAACAGGAGTCTTGACGAAACGTCCTCAGTTATCACCTGTCCGGGGTCGTACTTTCAAGGAAACGCTGATCAAGAATCACTCATGACGGAATGAAAACTCCTCGTAGCTTCCAGCGAAAAAAGGAGTGACAACAGTGGTAAGCGGTCGTTCTGTGAAATGTAACGCAATCTTTGCCGTTTACGATCTTTCGGCGCTTGGATTTGAAACGTTGTTGTTTGGTATGTTCTCCCGTGTGGATACTTGACATTTCCAATATATGGAAACACCATGCTAAGGTACGAACAACAGACATTCACAACATTGTTTTGTACGCTAAAATCTGATTTCATGGACGTAAAACGTTTTGAATTTTAAGACTTCTTAATATTAGTGCTTTGCCCTCCCTTTGACAACTTCACGTGACTGGTGCACTTGGCAGGAGTTGACAGCTTAAATCTGCCTTTCTTGATAGCAAGCGGCATTAATTTATATCAGATCGCTCGATAAACAGGTCTTGGTTTCTGAAAGCTGATAACATGAAACCACTATTGCTCAAACTGATTTCTTACTGTATTTTTCCAAGTTTTTAGCATCGGCCCGCTGCGTCTGGAAAGCTCAAATTTCAGAAAAGTATTACTTGTATTTTTTGGCCTCAAACATTTTATTTTAAGTTGCCCGTAGTTTTGAAAACACATTTTGAAAGAATAGATAACGCTCTTTAACGTGGTATAAGACTTGTTACGGAAATCGAGGTACCAGTCGACGATTTTGGGCTTTGAAATTTACTATTTTTTCATTGAACGAAAACGATCAAAATATTGAAAATAATGAAAAATCTCCAAAATATTACACTTTCGTTCAAACTGAGTATATCACCACTTAGAATGTGTGCAATTATGTACTCTTCTGAATAAGCTATTTGTTGTCGGCATTACAATGGATTTGAATTTTAAAACGATTTTTTTGCGACACATGGTCTCGGGCCTGGAAAACCCGGTCCGAGAGCCGCGAAACCAATAATCCCCCCGTACGTGGAAAATAATTATCGGATCGAAGTAAAAATTCCATTTATGTTAATAGCTTACCTAGTGCTACTTTGTGATTTACTACTTTGTGATTTTTCACTTTTGTAGACCTCTGGTCGATATTTACTGAGATCCGCTCTTAATTTTCCAGTTATTGCTCAAGTGATTTCATAATTATACCTTGGTGTCAAACTCACAGAATCACGGGCGTGCCACCTAATGTTTCTGTTGCATGAATAAAACTCGCACTTAGGAGTTTAGAACACCATGGCATTACAATAAAACTCGCTTACTCAAGCTTAAACATATTAACCTTTAAATTTTCACTTGGTGCGCAAGTAATTTCATAATACTGTGGTGTCTAAACTCACAATATCACGGACGCGCCACCTAGAGTTTCTGTTGCTTTAAAAATCGCACTTAGGAGTTTAGAACACCATGGCATTAAAATAAAACTCACTTCCTCAAGCTAAAACATATCAGATTTATCAACCCTTAATTTTCTTCCGTGCGTAAGTGATTTCATAATACCGGGGTGTCTAACTCCAGAATCACGGGCGTGCCACCTGGTGTTTCTGTTATTTTAAAAATCGCACTTAGGAATTTAGAACACCATGGCATTACAATAAAACTCGCGTACTCAAGCTAAAACATATTAACTTTCAAATTTCCACTCGGTGCGCAAATAATTTCATAGTACCGTGGTGTCTAACTCACAGAATCACGGGCGCACCACCTAGAGTTTCTGTTGCTTTAAAAATCGCACTTGGGAGATTAGAACATCATGGCATTGCAATGAAACTCGTTTCCTTAAGCTAAAACATATAATAATAATAATAATAATAATAATAACAACATGTATAAGTGGTTTACATCTTGCCTCCTGGCACCCATGGACCAACACCTTGAACATTATGGCCTGATGGAAGGCCAGCAAAGAGGAGCGAAATCAGGGTGTTTCGGTACGATCGATAACTTGCTAATCGATAGAGCAGTAATGCTGGATTGTCACAGAGGCAAACGGAATTTAAGTATGGCATGGATTGACGTGCGCAAAGCCTACGACTCCGTCGATCATGATTGGTTATGCGCAATGACTGACGTACACAGGCTTCCCGTCTAGCTGGGTGAGGCCTCCACTGGAATCAGAAAAAGTGCTCAGTGGTACACGTGAAGAGGGGAGCCCGAGTGCTAGACGAGTCTGGTATGAGGATGGACGAGACAACTACCATCACGGCTCTTGGGGAAGGAAAACACTACAAATTCCTGGGGGTGCTAGAGAACGTTCGACAGGATGAACGGCTGACCCTGGCTTGCGCGGCTAAAGAGTATCTACGCAGGATATCTATTATATGGTCCAGCCCCCTGTATGATTGTAACCGTGTGCAGGCATGTAATCAGTATGCACTCCCGGTCCTGCGGTACCTAATGTGGACACAGCATTGGCCTCTATCAGAGTTAAGAGATGTGGACAGAGCAGCTCGGAAGATCATAGTTGACAACGGTGGCAAGCACCCAGCTAGCCTGACTTCTTTGTTATATCTACCGAGGGAGAAAGGGGGTAGAGGCTAATTGTGATAAGGAAAGCCTTGGGCGGGTCCTGAAGCTCCAAAAACGAGCAGCTAGAGTAATCCTGAATGCCCCCCCTAAAGCACCATCAGTTCCCTTGTTTAATCGGCTGAAATGGTTGCCTTTTTATAAAGACGCTTTCATATCTAAATGTATCATTGCTTATAAGCGATTACAAGGTGACGTCCCTGTTTATCTCAACGATCTACTTAAATTAAACAGTAACATCCACAGTAGAAAAACCAGGTACTGTAATTTTAACCTAACCTCTCCGAGGTATAATCGCGAAACAGAAGGAGGCAGAACTTTTAGCGTAACAACTTGCAAAGCGTGGAACAGCTTATCTTTGCCTGTAAGGCAAAGGGACTCAGTTGACTCTTTAAAAAAAGCATTGTGGAATGAATTTTTTAAACAACAGCAGAATTTTGATCATTTTTCTATTTAAGTTACTTGATGAACTGTGAGATTATTATAACGCTATATTTTATCTTTTAAATAATTTAGTAGATTCTATAGTATCTGTATTCTTAATTGGTTTTAATCTTGTATTTTTTCATAGCTTAGTATACTCATTTATTATTTTATTATTTATTATTTAGAGGGCCACAAGTTTATTAGCCCCGGCTATTTCGTGCTAACCCTCATAAAATAAAGTCTTTACTTACTTACTTACTAGAGGCCTGCGATCAGTCGAACACGAGTACAAGATCACTAAAATCAAATCGCTACTGAAATTGTATCAGAACCCGGACCAGACTGTGGAAGCAGTTAGAGAATTTGAAGAACACGCCATGGCATCAGGCCACCAGTCGCTCGTAAAGGAAGGAGCTAAGTACGCTGAAGAACTCAACATTACACTTCAGCTTGATACCCTAAATCCCGTGTGTGTGACAACAGAAGGAAAGGTGGTAACTGCAGCAAGAGCTGGGAATCTGTTGAAGCAATCTCAAGAGAAGCAGTTCTTGGAGATCGCTAAAGACAAAAAGTGGCAAGGAAAGTTATTCCGTATCAGATGGGAAGATGAGAGCCTAAGCATAACCAGCTTCTTTGCATGGTTAAAAGGTTGGGCTACATGCCCTACACATACCATCGCGGACATGTATGAATTGTATGAGCAGTTGCTACCTACGAAGCTCTACACAAAGGAGAAGACGCAAACCTCCACCGACGGCGAAGTGCTATGCAGGTTATGTGGGAAGGTAGCTGAGAGCGTTGCACATGTACTAGCTGGATGTTCCTCCCTGGCGCAAACCAAGTACCTATACAGGCATAACGCAGCTTTGAAGATTCTGTTTTTTGAGCTCCTGCGAGAGCATGGGTTAATGGAAGAGGTTCCGCCATGGTACTCACCGGTGATGCCAAAACCAGCCTACCAGGACACCACGAGTGAGGCGTTTTGGGATATTCCCATCTATGCAGAGCACAACGAAGTTAGAGCAAATCGGATCGACGCGCGACTTGTCAACCACGAGAGGAAAGAAGTCTGCACAATTGAAATGAGCTGCCCATGGATTGAGAGTAGAGCTAAGAAAGATGAGGAAAAGAAACTCAAGTATGGGCCCATGATGTGGGAGCTGAAGCAGAGATACAATGGTTACAGGGTTGAACAGTACAACGTAATAATTGACGTACTGGGGGGTTACTCTAAACACCTAGAGAAGTCGGTGAGGAAGCTACTTGGAGCAAGAGCACGGAGCTTACTTGAGCGGATGCAGAAGTCGGTCATCTCAAACACTTTAAACATTGCCAGAACATTTAAGATAAATACTTAGTTAGGGCGCTATGGACTTCAGTTTTTAGGTTTTTGTTTTTCCTCTAGAAATCTAGAAACACAAGCTTGCTGACGTTTTTACTTAGATTTTTTAGAACATTAGAGTGTGATATTATTATAACTATGTTTTTAGTAGAGATAGCGAAGGTTTTACAGAGTATCAGAATTTAATAATATTCTAAATTGGCTTTTTAAGTAGAGAGATTTATATCACTATGTATAAGCTTTTAGTGGAGATAGCGAAGGTTTTACAGAGTATCAGAATTTAATAACATTCTAAATTGGCTTTTTAAGTAGCGAGATTCATATCACTATGTATTTTAGGATTGTATTAGGTTTCGTATCGACCTTTTTTTACTTCTAAGTATAGCTTCTCAAGTGGTGTAGGTTACGCTATTCGCCCTATACTACTCATAATGTGGACATCATTCCAAAGTTTCATACTGCGACATAATAATAATGATCGTTTAGTCAACCTTTTGCAGCATAAACTGAATTACAAGGCGGGTCATTAAGTACATACAAATACTTCGCAATTATGAAACGTAAATATAACTGTTAATGTTAAGACATATCACATATTAACTCTTAATTTTCCTCTTTGTGCGAAAGTGATTTCATAATACCGTGGTGTCTAACTCACAGAATCATGGGCGTGCCATCTGGTGTTTCTGTTGCTTTAAAAATCATCGCACTTAGGAGTTTAGAGTACTACGGCATTAAAATAAAACTCAGTTGCTGCACTTAACAGTAAAGTTTTTTTTTAAAAAAACATAGTCACCCTTGAAACATGTTAAGGTGCTTCTTATTGATTTCTCTTCAGGATTTTCTCCGGCGTTCCATTCCTTGTTCTTAATTTCCATACAGTCCTCTCGCAAGAATCTTACGATAGCAAAAGTGAAACTCACCTCTTTCCCCTCAAGCAGCTTTTCATCAAAAGACTCTCTTAACAATGATTTCCATTCCCCTACCTAATTTTCTAAAATCCTGCAATACATAGCTTTTTCTTGACTGGATAAAGAGTTAAATAGTGTCAGCGGCGATATTTGATAATTTTTGGCGGGCTTTGGACACGTTTTGGGTCTTAGTGGATGCCGATTTCACTATTCGACCGAATCCATTTGATCGCTTGGTCTCTGTGTTTTCTGCCGCTACTAAGACCTCTTTAGGAATTTAGGCCGAGTTACTACCAACAATAGTATTTCCGCAAACCCGTCATTAAATAACGGAATTTTGTTTGTGTAGCCCTTTTGCACAAGCTTTACATTAGCAGATCACGCGTAATAGTCACCAAACAAATGCAGTCGGATTGGAAGATCAAACGTTTTCAACATCAAAATGCCTACCAGACTGCCGATGAATATTACCACTTACACGTTTATCGTAATATCTTTTGGCTCAGAAACATTTTGAAGGCACAGGGAGACTGTCTTCTTTTCGTAATGTCATCTAAACCTATCCAGACGCACACACTGTCCTTTACGATCATCTCAAGAATGCAATGCTGGCTTCATTCGATCATAGGTCAAATCATAATGTCACACTACTTCCATGTTAAGAAAAAGTCAGTTATTATTTCCATTGTTTTGGTTAAATTTTTAACCGTAGTGCGTTGAATGTACAAGATTCCATCAGAGAGATGCCATAACACACCAGCGCGTGCGTGACGCGTGTGTGACACGCGATTCACTGCGGAAACGGCAGTTTAGCGAGTAGCTAGACTACGAGTGGTCCCTCATTTGTCCTTGAGGAAAAATGGGGGACTACTCGTAGTCTAGCAAGTTGCCTGCGAACGGCATACGTTTCTTCTCGCTCATTGCCTCTGCAGCGACGTTTCGCGAGGAGAAACGTCCCTCAGCGCCGATCAGCAAGGAGGAACTCCGCCGTTCGCAGGCTACTTAGCAAGCTCACACCAAAAAATTCGTTGAATCTGCGTACACAAAGCCTCGGAGATCAATGATTGCAATTTGCTTTGGCATCCATCTTTCCTTTACGATGACTAATATGCCGTGTGTTCACGGACCGCGGGTTTTACATGATAAACATTTTGAATCAACGCTTTTATCTAACAACATTCGTCAGATTCTATTTGAGTTCCGCGACCTTCAATACACTCAATGTAATATGGAACTACGCTACATTTTAATACTGGCGAAGACCAGAGACAACACTTGAGTCGTAGGCCACGCGCGATTATCTGGATAACTCGTGAGCTGAGAACGCAAGTCTCTGTAATCTCTTCTCTAATTACTCTATCGCCAGATACCGCCTAAATCTTGTTAAAAAATGTGACGCTTTATCGAATAACTGACCGCTGATGATTGGACCAAACGGTAAAGAACCTAATTGCTTTTCGTAATAGGAAGTTTATTGCCTGTCATTCAAAACCTAGCGTCATTAACAACGCCTTCGTCTTGTGGTGTGCAAAAAAAGTCATATGCGGGTCCTCATGAGTTCCGATAAAAAATTATCGAATTGTAGCCCTTCATTTTATCGCCTTACAATATATCAATAATCTTGTACCCAAAAGGTCATATAAAAGGAAGATTAATCTCAAGAATCTTAAAATTTTTAAAAAATCTATCGAGCAGTTCAAAAATTATTCGCTAATTTGTTAAAGAAGACCAAAATGTTTACAAAACCGCTAACAAGAGCGCTTCGATAAATACTAATCAAATCCTTCTTTCTAGCAATGCGCTGGAGCTATCTCCATGATCTTTCACACACCTTTTCAAAAAGATCGAAACTACTATGAGGTGAAATTGAAGGAAAAAGCTTCCGTGAACGATTTGGAAGACCAATTCCCAGTGCCGAGATATACTGCTGCAAGTAAAATAGGTAATAGCGTCATTTCGTTGCTATGACAACTCCAATGTCGTTGCAATCCTTATCTTATCTAATACAAATGTAGTGTCAATTTTTCCAAATCTTTGTTTATGGCGATGTAGTTTATGTTCAAACTTGGGAGGTATTGACCCTAAAAACTGCACCGAGTCACCTTAAAACACAAAGAAGTTCATAAGCTCATGAGGAATGGTTTTGGGATATCTGGAAAACATCATCGGTCCTAGGGACCCAAATTCAACAGTAAAAAAGTTGTTATGTTAATATAAGGCAAAAAATATTGAGTCTTGTCTTTCCCGCGGTTGGTGGCTAATTTAAAAAAGTAAAGACAAAATATGATTCTTTTTAATTTAGCCACAATCAATGTATTTGTTCTCCACGCGCAGTACATATACAACTATGCACGGATCGCATTCTAAAGTAGATAAAGGGCAGTTTAAAAACTCGGTATGAACGCCATGAAGCGCGGTTTAGTTTCCAAGATAACATACCCTTTTCATCAAACAACAAGGTGTAGTCTTACTTGTTCCATTGATTGTGGTGTGTCCCATGGTCCAGTTTTATTAGAAGTTGCTTGCCAGATGCTTCGTTTTCCTCCATTTGTTCAAGGTGTTCTTCCCTCTCTGTTCGTAGCGAAAGCTCGCAAGTGTCATCACATGCGACGAAGAAGGTGTAGTTGCCGCTTTCAGAAACCTCACGCGAGATAAAAAAAAAGGGAAAAAATTAAGATAATTGACGTGCGAAGTAGGGTTACTCTCTGTCACCGAATGCGCAAGGGATGCCCGAAAGAGGATTTGCATTTTACGGGAAAAGGTAAGTATTAAAGGGAAAGGGATGTTTAGGTTAATGTAAAGAAACTGCTAGGAAAATACTCACACATGCCCAGAAAGCAAAACTAGAAACACAAAATGAAAAATTATCAATGGAATCCTTTAAAGAGGATACTTAGTTGAACGTCTGTAACTATTTTTGTGCACGTTATGTGATACGCCGCAAAATGTAATAATCGACGCAAAATGTAATATTAACGCAAAATGTAATAACATTGACGCAAAATGTAATAAAATTTTCAACGCAGAATGTAATAATCTTTCAACGCAAATTGTAATAACTTTTCTAACGCATAATGTAATAACGCAAAATGTAATAATTTCCGAAATAACGACGTGCATGCTATTTCAAAATCGGTATTGTGGCTCAGTAATCAGTAGCTGGTCCAGATCTTCATGTGAATTATTATTATTATTATTATTATTATTATTATTATTATTATTATTATTATCATCATTATTATCAATATTGATATTAATAAAAGTAATAATATTTATTTTCTTCTTCTTATTATTATTATTACTATTAATGAAATAACGGTTGAAACGTCGTGTTACTTCCGTGCTGAGCTAGTCTCTCTCGATCGCAGCCGTGTTGTGTCTCGTCACGCAACAATCTTCCCAAACAAAGGAGGAGGAGCATTGCGTGACGAGACAAAAATGGCTGCAAGAGCTTGCTGTACTGTACCACAACTGTAGCAACTGAGAGACTTGGTTTAATTTCAGGTGTTGAATTTAATTCAGTCAAATAAAATAGCTGTTGTCGAAAACAAGTAATAGAATCAACTTTCAAAGCGTAATTCAAATGCATTTAAAATATAAGATATCTGTCACACTTTTTTTCATGAGAACCAGACAACTTTGGCTGTAACTTACTTTTCCTAAGTTCTCATTTAATAGAGGCTGAATTGTTCTTAATGCTGTTTTGTAGGTCCAAGTTTCTTTTATGTTGAAGTTTCCAAGCTTTGCAAAGTCAAATCAGTTTGCCTTATAAGGCAGTTGTCGTTTGCCTAGAACAGATAGCGCAAAATATTTTTAGTTAGCCCAGTAACGCATTTTTGATTGCAGTAGAGCTAAGCTGATGCACAAAAACATTGAATTTGCCTGGCAAGGCAGTTGTGATTAGAAGACAGGCCATCCTCTTTTTTTTCTCCTTTTAGCGTCGTCCGACCGACCCAAATTTTTGGCATTTTCAAAAAAAAAGTAACGACCTAGTTAAACCATTTTTCACTTGAAATAATTCTTTTAATCTGAAAAATGAGCATAGTAACAGCATAGAGAAAAACAGGAACAAAGACATAAACATTTTTTACAGTATATTGTGTATTTTGTTAATCCAAATATGTGAATGTTAACTTTTAACGTCGTCCTGGGGTACCAGGGCCTCCTATTCCGAGACTTCTTGTGATTTTGTTTTTTGCGTTTTTTTTTTTCAATCTGACCGACCGATAATATAATATCAGGAAACGCATTCGACGCTAAACGAAACCTTGAATTTGCTCAGCAACGCAATCGCCATTGGCTTAGAGTTGACGGCGCCAAATCTTGAACTGGGAGATCCATAAAAAGTGCGCATTTTCGTCTTTTGAGGGCCGACCATTTTTGACCACTTGAGGGGGGAGGGTGTATGGGTAATTTGGTTTGGGTTAGAATTTTTGGATAATTATGGGAAACTGTCTACATAACCCTCCCCGGGCGAAATGTTGGCTGAGGGGACGGCTAGGTGGGCACTGTATTGGGACCTGTATTACGTTCAAATCAGCGGAAACAAACGTCCCATTCGGTTCCCTAAAGATGATTACATCTCCTCATTTCAACTGTTTCATTGTAATATTAGCAATAATAATAATAATAATAATAATAATAATAATAATAATTAATATTAATAGTAATATTAATATTATTAATAATGTTAATATTAATATTAATATCAACAATAATAATAGCTTATAATTTCATTGAAGATCTGAATTCGCTACTACCGATGACTGAGCAACAATACCGATTTTGAAATAGCATGCACGTCGTTATTCGGAAAATTATTACATTTTAGGTTATTACATTATGCGTTAGAAAAGTTATTACAATTTGCGTTGAAAGATTATTACATTCTCCGTTGAAAATTTTATTACATTTTGCGTCAATGTTATTACATTTTGCGTTAGCGTTACATTTTGCGGCGATTCTTATTACATTTTGCGGCGATTATTACATTTTGCGGCGTAACACGTTGTTATTTACAACATTATATCATAACAATTTTAGAGAAAAAATAATAAGAAACGTTATGCACCTGCAAATACGCTGTAAGTCGTTGCCCGTAATTTGTATGGAAATTGAAGGGAGCGTCAAACTGTCGGAGAATATACACAACATTTGGATTGCTTGGAAACCTGCTGTCAGCTCGCAGACTCGCACCAGACGGAATATTGTACCAAAGTTCTTGAAGAACGCCATGAAGACTGTCTTCGCTTTCTGTATATTTTATAATGGTTGAATATATTTGTCAATACCAAGCGAAGCAAAGACGTGCTTTTTAGAACCAATGTTTAAGAAACTAGTCGTAATTTTTTATACGCGCATTATTATTTCTTCACGTCAGGGTTGAACACTTTAATTGTCTTGCAAGGTTCAAAGTCAACATCAAGACCTCGTTTTTGATGCACAACATGGGTGATAGCACGTCCAAATGGTTAGCTTTTCAAACCTGCAGTTTGGAGGTATTTTATAATTTACAATGTTTCTTTGGATTTCTTGGTTTTGAACCCGAGCCCCGGGGTTTGAATTTGTTTATGATAAACCGGGAACAGAAAACGTTTACATTTCTCACCTATTGCCGTTATCATCACCTCACACAGGCTTAAATCGTCTACACCATCTTCATAAATAGTTACATTTGAAGCAGAAATCAACGGTTCACAGATCATCAGTGTCTTTTGTCTATCCTTCCAGGAGTAAACCTTACAGTTTGCTTTTTCGGTTTCCACGCTGTTCCTCAAAATGACATTATGTTTGGGCATTTCTGCAAGGCAGCACCCCAGCCTGTTTATGATCCAGATTTTGCTGACAAATCCTCGTCTTTGCAAAGTTACGGCCCACCAGACTGGCTGACCCTGTGGTAAAGAAAGTTTTAACAAGGTCGCACAGTATTAATGTTGTGGTTCAATTTCATTCTTGGTCGAACCTTATTTTTTCGTTTCAAACTGGATACCATATATTACCATACCCAACAACAAAGGGAAATAAAATTTAAATCAAAGGTAAAATTAAACCACAGCATTTATTTTGTGAAAGCGAGGGGGAGGTTCGTGGAGTGAGTCAGCATAAATTAAACAGGAAGTGACTGTACTTTGAAGGACTTTCTATCACTCTTTTGACAAGCCGCAAGGCCAGAATATTGGAGGCTTCTTAACGTCTAGTAGCTTAATTACAAATATAGAGAATTTAACTACGAACAAAGCTAGATGATCCACTTGATAAGCGGGGTACAACTGAAATGGATTCTTACCGCAAAAGAACTTACCTTTTGCCTTTTAACTGTGAAACAAGACGCAACGTTACCGTCGACGGCGTGGAAGGGCTTACCTCTGCTGTTCGCCTGGGATGAATGTACGGATTGCCAACCGACCAAAAATCTTCCTAAGCATGATTGAATAATAGGAAAAGCAAAATTACGGAATCTTCTTCGAAGGAGGGTTTCCAAAATTTGCGTTGTGATCTTCTACGGATCTAAAACGAACTTAATAAAAAAAACCCTGAAGTGACTTTACCATAACGAAGGACTTACGTTCATCTGTTTCACAAATGAATCTGCGTCGATATCCACAAGACCCATGAACGAGCTTCCATTGTAGTGAACTTTTTGCTAGCAAGCCACACTCTCCACTGTTCGAAACATCCGGATACCCAGAATGCCAAATGCTAGCTGAAACACTGCTGCCGTCTAACCAATTCCATGTGCGAAACTTGCGAATACCGAGAAATGCGAGGATGTTATCACCTGGGTACCTGTTGGCTATGTTAGTGAGATGATCTCCAATGATTTTTCTTTCAATTTCAGAATCGACGACTGCTAGGTCACTTCCTTGTTGTAAGCAGGACTCACGAGCCTTGACCCATTCTTTAGCAATGGAAGTCCCCGCAAACACTCGGAAACATGAATCAGCCACCTCGAACCAACCGGAATCGCACGTTGATCCTATGAAATTAATCACCAATGTGATCGTTTATACTGAGTGAGCCTTTTGCCAAAGTCAACCTACAAGTAATTCTATGATCCTTGCGGACAGAAAAAGATATTTTACAGACTATATATCAAGCTGGATTTTTGTAAACGTTAACGCCACACAGACCTTTCAGTTACGCACATTTTGCTGTTTAAAAACATCTCCAAAATAGCCAATATAAAAACTAAGAGTGCAACCATTGCTTTTTTCTGTTCTCTTCCTTTCTTTCTCCTCCCTCTTTCTAATTTTCCTTTGCCTTCCTTGGTGTGATTTCCGGGCTTTTCGGGTGCGAAACGCCGCCTTTTGGCCATTTTCCACTCAAAAGGCTGCAAATTTTGCTAGGTTCGTTTTATTAAGTACTAATTTATTTTCCAACCTTTTTATAATCCCTCCTCTACTGATTTAATGTCAATCAGTCGCATATATACTAAATCTGTCTGGCTGTTTTTAATGTTATCAGTACCTGAGGTGCTCTTTGGCTTCTGGCAGACAAATTCTTGTTTTAAAAAGCAGGGAGTGTCGTTGACTCTCCAGCCTTTTCCTTTCCACTTAGAATTCCACTTTTCTGCAAAAATCAGGTTGGTGCACCAACCATCACCTGAAGGTTGAGAGGGTCCCCATAGTAACGACTGAACTGGAAACAGTTCTTTTCGGACAGTAATCCAGCGCTTGGTAGAAAAAGCCCCGACGAAAAAGTCTACTAGGGCCCCCGTATAGTCATCGATGAATCGTGAAAGTGCGTGCAGTTTGACGGCGTTTCCAAGAACAGCAAGTCTTCCTCCACGGTTGTGGCACTCAAACCTGGCGTCTTTCCATGTTTCGTAAGATTTTACATGCACTCTAAAACATGACTCGCCCAAATTAAGCCAGCCAGGTGGGCATGCATTTTGTTCTGTAGCTGAAAAAAAAAAAAAAAGAGAATCGATACACCAGTTTCTGAACAACTGACCAAAGCTTCAGGGTTTATAATTACTTGAATAATAAATCTTTATTATTATTATTATTATTATTATTATTATTATTGTTGTTGTTTTTGTTATTATTATTATTATTATTATAAGCTGTATAACTGGAGTATCTCTTTACCAGCCCTGGCGGTGGTATTAAGGTCACAATTAAAAGAAAACTAACCGTCTTATAATATTTGGAAAAGATGGGTTTTATGCCTAAGTTTACAGACAACTTAGTATAAGTTCACTTATTAACTTACGGTCTAAGGACACATTTGCAAAGAAGTACTCAATAACTGTTTGACCACAGCAGTTTTCGAATTCCTCCAAGGCAATCCCGTAAGGTAATTTTTCTCCTCGGTCCAGAAGCAACACCTTTTTGTAATGTGGCTGATATGTCCTTGAGGAAAAGAAGAAGTCTCGAGGAAAGCAACTGAGGTCATCTAATGAAAGCTCTTGGGTGACGCCTTTTGCACAATGGACAGTGTTTGCTGGGTACACAAAGTACATCACATCGGTTGAAATGTTTCTTGTTTGAAGAACATGCACTGTAAACTGATACACCCATCCAATGTGAGCTGGAATTCTGTCCAATTTGAAGTCTGTAGCATCTTCCTTTATGAAGGCGTATAACGACTGGGTAACTGGAAAAAAAAAAGGAAAAATGTTACAAATGTCGTTTGCAATAAGTTTTATGAGTTTGATCCATGTTTCAGTGTCAGCATATTGGGCTATTTCAAAAATGCGGTGGTAAATATACTCGTACATACCAAGTCGTTGACAGGATCCATTTCTGAATGCGATGTTATCTATGGCTACATCACTTGTATAGGAAACGCCCCGTACTCCCTCCATTACAATCTATAAAGATTAAACCCTGAAAGTTAGTTAGTGGACATATTCTGGTACGCTTGTCGGTAACTAGTCTAAACTAGGCTAAAAAGAGCTTACGGAAAAAGAACAATGCAACAGTATACTGACCCCAGCACCACATTGTGGGAGTAACTGCTAAACCGTACTTATTTCTGATTGCGTTAAAGCACTTGCGTAATATGTTGCTAAATCAGCAGTGATATCCTTGTTATCAGAATCCTTTTACAAAAACCTGCATAGGTGACGTCAAGCGTTGCACTTTACAGTCATTTAAATTCATTGCAGCACTAAGAACTATATGCTTTTAACAATAGGATACTACTGTATCAATAAACATCCCGCCCATCAATCTAGGAATTCGAAGACTGGATAATCTTGGCTAATTTTTAATCGGTTTTCTGACGGTTTTGTTGCAAGGTGTTAGAGTTCCAGATGTATAAATAATAGAAAGTTAATTTACAGTGTTCTCCTAGTCTCGTATATTCTGTCATGTACTCTTGCTTGCTCAAAGATGACTGATGGCTTAAAATCTCTATCTAAAAGCAAGTAAAGGTAGTAGTTTGATTCTTTTGCTATCTTCCCTGTAGGCAGTGTACAATATCTTCTTTTACTTTACTTTACTTGGTTAACAGATTCTGCATCAAGCCAGCGCAGGGAGAGACTAATTGAAATTAGGTTATAGCCCGCTTTCTCAATTTATCAGTCAGATAGATTACCTGGTAGAGAGCGGAAGAATTGAGGAATATAACAGCTTCGAGCCATTGATTGGGATGATTGCCTGTTTTAATCCATTCCACTGTTTCATTGCTGTTTGTATTCATGTAGATCACCAAGCTTCCCATGGAACTTCCATACATATGATACATGAATGACATGCACTTTGCACCTTGCATTACAGGACTTAAAAGCCTCACTTTGTCACCATGTTGCCGCGGAAACGATGCTTCAAGATATGCGTAAGTTCCATTTCCTTTAGATTTTGGAAGAAAATACTTATTGTATTGACGCTTTCGATTTTTACATATCCATTGCCTTTAGTTAGTTTTTTAGAATATCAAGGAATCACAATGATGATGATGATGATGATGATACCTTTGTAAAGTGTCAAAACTGTAATAGCGGTGTATAACCACTAAGTGGGAACACTGATATAACAAAACAATTACAGGATTTTTAGGCTTAAAGTGTGATACAGATTTCAACTTTTAACTGAACTGAAGACACTGACAAGAAGTTATGGAAGTGAAGCGTGGCGAGTTCGTTGTCGATCTTTCAGCATTATTATTATACGCTTTGTTGTTAATTTTTGTGTAGAAAGTAGCTCTAAGTTACTGCAGTTCAATAAAATAAGTGACTGTTTAAAATAATTCTCTTCAATTCGATCTTGGTGATTATTCAAAGGAATGTTACGTACCGTTAAACTTAAGGGGTCGATATCAAATAAAGAATTAATACCTGAAACATCAGAAATAGGTCCTGTGCTCCCACTAGGTGTTTGCCCGGACTTTAAAGTCCAGTTAAACTTCGATTTTCCAGAGTTGTCATTTGCCCATTCGCAAAACGTAGAGTCGTCAAAATTGCAGTCTAGCACTTGGCATAACGCAAATAAGAACGAAATTAGACCAAGAAAAAGTGAGTATCAATAACTCGCTGTAATCCGAGCTGATGCAAACTGCTATATTTTTTTCCAAAATTAAGGAATTTTTAATTTAATTTTCTTACCCGTTTTATCCAATTTTGTGGGACAAGTTAGGTTCTACTTATTACAGAACCAATGACAGTGCAAAATGTTTTTAAGGAAGGAGAAGGTTTAAACAAAACCTCAAGTTTGAAAAACACGATTCCGCCTTCAAACATTGGGGGTTTTGATTGGTCCTGCATTGATATGAGACCAATCAAAGTTAAAACAAGTGGTGGAACCAAGTCAAAACATGTCAAAAAATTGTCCCGTCCGTAATGGCAGCGCGATCTTCAAAGGGTGTGGAAGGCCCATTATGACACATCGTTATTCCAAAATTTTTTACTATGGCTATATTGCAGCATAATGTCAGTAGTCAAGGTTATAATCGGTTCGACTAGAGGAAAGGGATAAGTTTTAAAAATATCTGTATCTTCTGCCTTAATCCTTTTACCCGATAAATCCAGTTATCTTCTTTTCCCTGGATTAAATTTGGTAAAATGGTAGACTTTTTAATGTTACTCTCTTTATGACCATCATTTTGGTATTAAAGTGAGAATTACTATACAACAATAGAAATAACACTGAAAGCAATCTTGATACATAATTATTGTATGTAAGCGCTTAACGATGGAGAGAAAAAGGTCACTCGCTTTTTTACTGCTACAAATTAAAACACATTTTAGGCCGATGTTCTGGGATCTCAAAGAGCACTAATTCTAATAGATACACATATGGGACATACATGCAGGAAAGAGTCATAAAACATAATGGATCATGGGAGAAACTCCCTCGAAATTTTTATGACATCGAAAAAATTAGGAAGGTAAGGAAGGGCATTTCAAATACCTTTGGCAAGTGCACAGTTTCCTTAAAATGCTTTAAAAGCGAATAATTGGCTTTTGATTTTAGGTTGTCATGCAAAATATTAGTGAAAATATTTGCGAAATGCCTTTTACTGGGAAGGTATAATATTTTGTTTTCTCTAGTGTATGCCATGCGTTATGTAAACCAAATAGGATATAGTTTATAAGTTCATGATCATGTTCGCCTTGAAAGATAACTGCGACGCTGAAATTGTTATAAAACTTGTTAAGTGCGCTTGTCTTTCAGCGAAAGCGAAACGCCCGACCATGTGTCATTTTGGTGACGGTAATATAATTTTACCTAATCAAAAACTCACCTGAGGGTGGATAGCTTGAACTGTATCGTGCGAATGAGGATTGGTAAAGCGAAATGTTAAAAAGTAGAGTAACAATAATAAGCCAGCTGTTGAACGAAGACATGTTGCCAACTTTTCCCCTTTTATCTCTGTAGTATCTCTGCAGTATGAATAACATATGAAAATTCGGTTAATAAGTGCTTTTGATTGATAGCTGGACTTAAATGAACTGTTGAACTCGACGAATTTTATGTTCAACATGCACACAAAGACAGTCTTGTATATTGCATTTCGTTATCATTAGTAATGCAAATGAAGAACCTTTTGTCTTAAATTTAAGTTGGATTTACAGGCTGTTATACTTCCACCGCCAAAATTGTCTAAACAAATAATAATAGAACTCTGCTAGAAATAAAGATCGCATGAAAACTGCCCAACTTGTTCAAGGTTTCTAAGGCGGGAGAATGATAAAGAATTAAATCGAGTTATAATCATTCTGAATCTACTTGATAGGGTATAGTCCAAATAAATGGTACAGCTCATTTAACATGGGATTAAGTTCCGTCTTATTCAAATAGGCAACAAACACGTTCTATACAAAAATATCAGCGAAATATAACAAATAGATAATAATAATTTTAATAATTTGGAATACACGCTGTTAGACTTCCGCCGTTAAAATTATCTAAACAAGCGATATTAGAACTCTGCTAGCAATAGAGTGGCATGAAAACTGCACGACTTGTTCAAGCTTTCTAAGGGCATTTTAAATCTACTTAATAGAGCATTATAGTCCAAAATAAATGATACAGTTTATTGAACGTAGGAGTTAGTACTGTCTCTACAAATCGGTAACAAATATATTCTAATACAAAAATAAACCAAATGAAAATTACCAGAAGGGTACATCGATAGTGACGTTAATAGTAGTGTGGCAGTTGAGATGATTTGTTCTGCAATATTTTGCCAGATTGCCCGATTGATAAGTTAGTTAAGTTTTGGAATGAATTTACGACAAAGTTCTTTTCGGCTGTAACGATTTTTATTAAAGGTTAAAATATAAAGCTAGCTAGAGGCTAGTTACTTTTCTTCTAATACATGGGTGACAAATTACTCTTTAATTTTGGGGCAAAATTACAAAATAGCTATGGCAACTTTCCGTATGCCTTAGTACCAAAATGGCGTCAAGGTTTTAAAATGTCTTGAATGAAGATGTCAGGGCAAAAAAAGGCCCTTTGGAAAACCTAAGCACAAGAAAGAGCACAGTGCGTGGTGTTCTCGATACGATAAGCAGTGAAAAACCCACGGGGGCGTACCGTAATGATCACATGACTTTGAAACTATATTCGTGTTCACTCTTTCTCCTCTGTTGCTTCAACAGGATAGAAAATTGGCCTTTCAACCGTGAGCCTTTTTCGAACTGCCCTATCAACGGAGGAACGTTTCTACATACAGTGTAGGTTGTAATTTCGAACACCGCAATACTGAATCGTGTTAAAATTGTTTTACCAAAGGTGGAAAACGAAAGACTGAGTTTACGTATTCCTTCATGATATACTTCGAACGATAAGAAAGTCAAAACTAACCCACAGTCTGGTAGGGCCGAATAAAAGACAATGTATGAAATTCAAGAACAACTACAAATGCTTCTGTCCTGTTTACCTATCAAACGCCTGCCCTAGCTGACTGTAAAAATCTCGTTTACTTAATTTTCAAACAACGGGACTTGTGTGTTGCAATTGTAGTTTATTCATTTTTATCAGTGTAAGGGTAATAGTCACCATATTCAATGAAATTTGCACTGCCCTTCACTTTTCAAATAGACTTTTTCTACAGTACAAATACACTCAGGTGAAAAACCCGGCTTTTCAAAGCCAATCTACTGTATATCGCCCTTTTGTTTTTGTTTTTTTGGGTTTCAGGTGATGTATAACCCTGACCCTTTTCGCCTCAACTTTCTCTCTGGCTATTTCTTTTCCCTTTGATGTTTGGAAGATACTTTCTCGTATTCTCTGCACAGAATTGGCTACTATGCATAATTGAAAAAAATCTTCAGTTTCGAAAATAGTGATGGAAGGAGGTAACAGAAAATCTCACATTTTCGTGACGTATGAATATATCAACTAATATTTCTGAGCACATGACAAGTCGACCCCAATGGATTCCAAATGGTATGGCCTAGGAAACGTATGGCCTAGGAAACGACAAAACAGATAAAAGGTTTATGGCGCCGATTAGAATGCATTTAAAACCACTCTAGATGGCTTCAAATAGATTTCTAAAGTATTTAAGTAAATGACGTCGTTGGTAGCCCCTGCGTACAGACTTCAACTCCATTAGTGAAAGCGATAGAGCTAGGTGTCCGCATTTCATGGCTAAAAGTGTGAGTTAAGCATTTTGGAGCCAATGGAAATATAGGTGGTAAAGAGGGGTCCATAATGAGAGGTTCGACTGCATTTTGTTTCAAAGCTAGTGGAAAAGAAAAAACGCGATTCCCTGTGAAACCTCGCCCTAACACATAGTAGGCTGTATCTGCCCATTAACATGGTCATTAACATGGTCAAATTGCGATCAAGTTGTGCCTTTACCTTCATGCAGAAGCCCAGCTATGAATATTGCTTGACCAGACTGGCTGAGAAATTTGCGAATTAACGCAGTTTCTTTAAAAGTTTGTAAAATATTAAGACGTCTTAACTTTCCTCGAGCAAATTTAATCCATGGCAACGAATGACAAGTTGACGTAGAAAACGCAAATACGCAAAGAAAGAAAGAAATCTCCCGCCATTTTTAACAACTTCCTGTTTGTTTCATAGTTGTAGTGAAAATATACAAACTTTCATAGTTGTTGTGAAAACATACAAACTTACGTCAAACATATGTTTTGTCACCAGTTCGCCTAGTACAAAGCTGTTTCATTTTCGATGCCTTTATAAGGTTATTCAAATTTTAAACGTGGTAAAGAACCGGGTAATTGGACGCAAAAACAAAACAAAACGAAATATATTAAGGGGATCTCTAGCCAATTTAAACAACTTTCCTTTTGTGTTTTAAACAGTGCGTTGAAATTGTCTTTGTTTGCATCTACTAATTAAGTTGGGAACCATGAAAAGTTCCGCTGTTTGAATCAACAGTCAAATTTCAAACAAGATGGCTCAGATAATGCAAAAGGCTCAGAATGATTCAAGAAGTTTGAAGAGCACGTTACCGAGCTAAGCTAACTTTTTAAAAAAATGTTCTTGAAATGAAAAGGAATGTTCTATTATAGTTATAAAATTATTTCACTGTCATGTTATTGCATTGGCACAAGGAAGAAATAATTCTAATTTTCTTCTTCCATACACTCTGACATGCTCTTACTGTAGGTACTTTATCCATGAAGTTTACGCTTGGAGAGGATATTTAGACTAACAAAACTGTTGATACCAGGTTACTCACCTTGTACAGAGCGTTATTATAGCATTGCTTGCATGACGAACTTTCACGAAAATATACCAAGACTAGCTTTAATAGTGTTTTATTAAACACCTGCAGCCAAACCCCAAAAAATTGAGCTCAAATAACTCGTACTCTTATCAAGAATAGATAAGCACGAATAATGGTGTTTTAAAGGTGAACGAAATTTCCCAAGTCGGTGAGCCAACAACATTTTAAGTCAATCGAAGGTTAATATTTAATTTCTTTTTAATATTGCTAATATAAATATTATTACGCCAAAAAAAATGATCATGAAGATTGCCAAGTCCCCACTCAGGATTTTGAAGCAAGTCGGTTGCCACAAACAGACAGCGAAGTCCTGCTGATTGATTGACTGACGGTTTAAATTTAAATGGACACAAGATAGATGAGGGTTGCCATTGTAATTTACTCTTTATCAGTAAGTTATTGGATAATTAAAATTTTTGCCCAGCTACTTGCCTAACAGCTAAGTAAGAAATTAGATGATTTTATTGTTATTGAGATAAACTCTAATTCCTAAACAAGGATGCGAAATGTATTAGTTGCTTGTTCGCCAAAAGGAAACCTAAATGCTTTTGTTAAGAGCAAGAGATTTTTTTTGTCCTAACCACCGTTGTAATGAGGCAAAGAAGGATCCTCTTGTGCAATTTGTTGTGTTTTCAAACTTTTGACATATGTCCATCGATACAACAGAATGTGCGACATCAGTTAGAGCAATTTGCTATCTTTAATTTCTATTCATGATCACACTGAAAATGAAGAGGAGAAAATTATCCCCTACACTAGAAATTTTGAGTCCAAGGAGAATAAAGCATCATGAAATTGCTTAAGAATATAACAATCTTGTTTGGACCCCGGGTGAAGGCCGGATAATGTGTGAAACACCAAGAGAACACACATCTTTACTGAGTTAAGACAAACGTTTTTCTTTCGTCTCACGGAATAATTAAATTGGACGGGTAAACTTATTGCTCTTAATGAAAACAACATTTTCAATTAAATTTGCACTGCCTTTCACATTTCAAATGGAATTTTTCTCCAGAGAAAATACAGTTGGGAAAACAGGCTTCAAAGCCAATCAGCTATGTACCTTCCCTTTGTTTTTTTCGGTTTCAGGTGATGTACAACATTGACTCAATTTATTCTGTCATTTGGTGGATATCGTTAAAGTCACCGCGTAGGCTGTCTGCTTATCATTGTGAATTCTTAAACAGACATTGCACCGAGTTAAGTGGAAACATATTCGGATTGAATTCTATATCTTTAGTTTATTAGGTACGTATCTTGTACTCTCTGGAATGATCTTTCCGGTAAAAAATGTACTTTTTAAAAGCGGGCCAGCCTTGCAGTAAATTAGTAATAAGATGTCTATTCTTGTAGAAATCCGGAAAATTTTCTAAGTGGCTTTTCCATTTATCTAAGGTCTTCCATGTTTTTTATCAACTTCCATTCCCTTTGATGTTTGAAAGATAGTTTCTCATATTTCACTTCCCAGAATTGCCTATAATACATGAAAAAAAAGACCAACAAAATCTTCAGTTTCGAAAATAGTGATGGACGGAGGTAAAAGAAAATCTCAAGTTTTCGTAAACGTATGAATATATCAACTAATAGTTTCGAGAAAATAACAAGTCGACCCTAATGGATTCCAAATACTTCTTATGGCCTAAGAAAAGATACATTAAACAGATAAAACGTTTATGGCGCCGGTTAGAATGCATTTAAAGCCACTCTCAAGGCCTAAAATAGATTTCTAAAGTATTTGAGAAAATGACGTCGCTGGTTGCCCCTGCGTACAGACTTCAACTTCAACTTCAACGTTATTTCAGTGAAAGCGACAGAGCCAGGTGTCCGCATTACATAACTTTCTGTATTATGGAGTTAAACATTTAGAGCCAATGGAACTGTAGGTAGTAAAGAGGGGCCCATAGTGAGAGGTTCGACTGCAGTTTCTTTCAAAGCTAGTGGAAAAGAAAAAACGCGATTCCCTGTCAAACTTCGAAAAAACATACTAGGCTGTATCCGCTGCATTATTACGCAGCAGAGTTAAGATGGTCAAATTGCGATCAGTTTCTGCCTTTACCCTCACGCTGAAGCCCAGCTATGAGTATTTCTTGACCAGACTGGCTGAGAAATTTGCGAATTAACGCAGTTTCTTTAAAAGTTTGTAAAATATTAAGTCGTCTTAACTTTCTTTAAGCAAATTTAATGCATGGTAACGAATGACAAGTTGACGTAGAAAACGCAAATACGCAAAGAAAGAAAGAAATCTCCATCCATTTTAAACAACTTCCTGTTTGTTTCATAGTTGTGCATTAAAAACGGTCATGGTTTTTTTTGGGCGTTGCACACAAAGTTATATATGTTACTGACAACAAGTAACTTTTACAAAGTTGCTTTAATTGTAAAACGACCGGTGACTGTAAATTGCCAAAGTGACAAAATGACAGCGTTGTCATTTTAAAATCTTTTTGATGCCACTGTTTTTTTCGAATAAGATCCGCTCTCAGACGGTCAATACTTCAATTTATTTATTACTTATCACCTAGATTTTCTAACAAAATACAAGTTAATACAGCCTTCAAAAAACTGTCGTACATGTGTTTTATTCCAACGCGCGCATGACTTAAAAGCACTTTCTCTGCAAGAAAATGCTCCAAATACGATCGGTTTTATTCCTTCATCCTTACGTGAAACCAAGTTAACAACATTGCTTGACCAAAAAATTCGATATTGTTGTGAAAACATGCAACTTACGTCAAACATATGTTTTGTCGCTAGTTCGGTTTGTATAAAGCTGGTTTCATTTTCGATGCCTTTATAAGGTTCAGCAAGTTTTAAAGGTGGTAAAGAACCAGGAAATTGGACGCAAAAACAAAACAAAACGGGACCCTTTTTGACCACCTGGTTAATTCTGAAATACGGATTTTTGCTGCATTCGAAATATATTAAAGGCATCTCTAGCCAATTAAAACAACTTTCCTTTTGCGTTTTAAAATGTGCGTTGAAATTGTCTTTTTATGCATCTACTAACTGAGTTGGGAACCATGAAAAGTTCCGCTGTTTGAATCAACAGTCAAATTTCAAACTGCATGGCTCAGATAATGCAAAAGGCGCTGAATGATTCACGAAGTTTTAAGAGCACGTTACCGAGGTTAGCTAATCTTTTAAAAAATGTTCTTAAAAAGAAAAAGAATGTTCCACTAGTTATAAAATTATTGCACTGTCATGTTATTGGGTTAGCACAAGGAGGAAATAATTCTAATTTTCTTCTTCTATACACTTTCAGATGCTTTTAGGCACTTTATCCATGACGCTTATGCTTGGAGAGGATATTTAGACTAAAAAAACTGTTGATACCAGGTTACTCACCTTGTACAAAGCGTGATTATAGCATTGCTTGCATGACGAACTTTCACGAAAATATACCAAGACTAGCTTTAATAGTGTTTTATTAAACACCTGCAGCCAAACCCCAAAAAATTGAGCTCAAATAACTCTTACTGTTATCAAGAAAAGATAAGAACGAATAATGGTGTTTTAAAGGTGAACGAAATTTCCCGAGCCGGTGACCCTACAAAATTTTAAGTCAATCGAACGTTAATATTTTTTTTTTTCTATTGCTAAATATGAATATTATTGCGCCAAAAAAAAATTATCATGAAGATTGCCAAGTCCCCACTCAGGATTTTGAAGCAAGTCGTTTGCCACAAACAGACAGTAAAGTCCTGCTGAATGATTGACTGACAGTTTAAATTTAAATGGACACAAGATAGATAAGGGTTGCTATCGTAATTTACTCTTTATCAGTAAATTATAGGATAATTAAAATTTTGCCCAGCTACTTGCCTAACAGCTAAGTAAGAAATTAGATGATTTAGTTGTTATTGAGATAAACTCTTAGTCCCAAACAAGGATGCGAAATGCATTAGTTGCTTGTTCAGTAAAGGAAACCTAAATGCTTTTGTTAAGAGCAAGAGATTTTCTTTTTCTCCTAACCACCGTAGTAATGAGGCAAAGAGGGATCCTTTATGCAATTTGTTGTGTTTTCAAACTTTTGACATATGTGCATCGATACAACAGAATGTGCGACATCAGTTAGAGCAATGTGCTATCTTTAATTTGTATTCATGATCACACTGGAAATGCAGAGGAGAAAATTATCCCCGAGAACTTTTGAGTCCAAGGAGAATAAAGCATCATGAAATTGCTTAAGAATATAACAATCTTGTTTGGACTCCGGGTGAAGGCCGGATAATGTTTGAAGCACCAAGAGAACACACATCTTTACTGAGTTAAGACAAACGTTTTTCTATCGTCTCACGGAATAATTGAATTGGACGGGTAAACTTATTGCTCATAATGAAAACAACATTTTCGATTAAATTTGCACTACCTTTCACATTTCAAATGGAATTTTTCTCCAGAGAAAATACAGTTGGAAAAACAGGCTTCAAAGCCAATCAACTGTGTACCCTCCCTTTGTTTTTTTCGGTTTCAGGTGATGTACAACATTGACTCAATTTATTCTGTCGCTTGGTGGACATCCTTAAAGTCACCGTGTAGGTTGTTTGCTTATCATTGTGCGTTGCACACAAAGTTATACATGTTACTGACAACAAGTAACTTTTACAAAGTTGCTTTAATTGCAAAACGACTGGTGACTGTAAATTTCCAAAGTGACAAAGTGACAGCGTTGTCATTTTAAAATCTTTTTGATGCCACTGTTTTTTTCCTATAAGATCCGCTCTCAGACGGTCAATACTTCAATTTATTTATTACTTACTACCTAGATTTTCTAACAAAATACAAGTTAATACAGCCTTCAAAAAACTGTCGTACATGTGTTTTATTCCATCGCGCGCATGACTTAAACGCACTTTCTCTGCAAGAAACTGCTCCAAATACGATCGGTTTTATTCCTTCATCCTTACGTGAAACCAAGTTAACAACATTGCTTGACCAAAAAATTCGATATTGTTGTGAAAACATGCAACTTACGTCAAACATATGTTTTGTCGCTAGTTCGGTTAGTATAAAGCTGGTTTCATTTTCGATGCCTTTATAAGGTTCAGCAAGTTTTAAAGGTGGTAAAGAACCAGGAAATTGGACGCAAAAACAAAACAAAACGGGACCCTTTTTGACCACCTGGTTAATTCTGAAATAAGGATTTTTGCTGCATTCGAAATATATTAAAGGCATCTCTAGCCAATTAAAACAACTTTCCTTTTGCGTTTTAAAATGTGCGTTGAAATTGTCTTTTTATGCATCTACTAACTGAGTTGGGAACCATGAAAAGTTCCGCTGTTTGAATCAACAGTCAAATTTCAAACTGCATGGCTCAGATAATGCAAAAGGCGCTGAATGATTCACGAAGTTTTAAGAGCACGTTACCGAGTTAAGCTAACCTTTTAAAAAATGTTCTTAAAAAGAAAAGGAATGTTCCACTAGTTATAAAATTATTTCACTGTCATATTATTGGGTTAGCACAAGGAGGAAATAATTCTAATTTTCTTCTTCTATACACTTTCAGATGCTTTTAGGCACTTTATCCATGACGCTTATGCTTGGAGAGGATATTTAGACTAAAAAAACTGTTGATACCAGGTTACTCACCTTGTACAAAGCGTGATTATAGCATTGCTTGCATGACGAACTTTCACGAAAATATACCAAGACTAGCTTTAATAGTGTTTTATTAAACACCTGCAGCCAAACCCCAAAAAATTGAGCTCAAATAACTCTTACTGTTATCAAGAAAAGATAAGAACGAATAATGGTGTTTTAAAGGTGAACGAAATTTCCCGAGCCGGTGACCCTACAAAATTTTAAGTCAATCGAACGTTAATATTTAATTTTTTTTTCTATTGCTAAATATGAATATTATTGCGCCAAAAAAAATTGTCATGAAGATTGCCAAGTCCCCACTCAGGATTTTGAAGCAAGTCGTTTGCCACAAACAGACAGTAAAGTCCTGCTGAATGATTGACTGACAGTTTAAATTTAAATGGACACAAGATAGATAAGGGTTGCTATCGTAATTTACTCTTTATCAGTAAATTATAGGATAATTAAAATTTTGCCCAGCTACTTACCTAACAGCTAAGTAAGAAATTAGATGATTTAGTTGTTATTGAGATAAACTCTAAGTCCCAAACAAGGATGCGAAATGTATTAGTTGCTTGTTCACCAAAGGAAACCTAAATGCTTTTGTTAAGAGCAAGAGATTTTTTTCTCCTAACCACCGTAGTAATGAGGCAAAGAAGGAACCTCTTGTGCAATTTGTTGTGTTTTCAAACTTTTGACATATGTGCATCGATATAACAGAATGTGCGACATCAGTCAGAGCAATGTGCTATCTTTAATTTGTATTCATGATCACACTGAAAATGCAGAGGAGAAAATTATCCCCGATAACTTTTGAGTGCAAGGAGAATAAAGCATCATGAAATTGCTTAAGAATATAACAATCTTGTTTGGACACCGGTGAAGGTTGGATAATGTGTGAAGCACCATCAGAACACACATCCGACTGAGTTAAGACAAACTTTTTTCTATCGTCTCACGGAATAATTGAATTGGACGGGTAAACTTATTGCTCATAATGAAAACCAACATTTTCAATTAAATTTGCACTGCCTTTCACATTTCAAATGGAATTTTTCTCCAGAGAAAATACAGTTGGGAAAACAGGCTTCAAAGCCAATCAACTGTATACCCTCCCTTTGTTTTTTTCGGTTTCAGGTGATGTACAACATTGACTTAATTTATCCTGTCGCTTGGAGGACATCCTTAAAGTCACCGTGTGGGCTATTTGCTTATCATTATGAATTCTTAAACAGACATTGCACCGTGTTAAGTGGACACATACTCGGATTGAATTCTGTATCTTTAGTTTATTAGGTATGTATCTGGTACTTTCTGGAATGATCTTTCCGGTAAAAAATGTACTTTTTAAAAGCGGCCAGCCTTGCAGTAAATTAAGATTTCTATTCTTGAAGAAATCCGGAAAATTTCCGAATGGCTTTTCCATTTATCTAAGGTCTTCGATGGCCTAAGAAAAGATAAATTGAACAGATAAAACGTTTGTGGCGCCGGTTAGAATGCATTTAAAGCCACTCTAGATGGCCTAAAATAGATTTCTAAAGTATTACTTTTGCGTTTTAAACTGTGCGTTGAAATTGTCTTTGTTTGCATCTACTAATTGAGTTGGGAACCATGAAAAGTTCGATTCCGAGTTCAGTTAACTTTTTAAAAACAGGTTCTTATAAATTAAAGGACTGAATGTTGACTATTATTTATAAAATTATTTCACTTTTATGTTATCGCATTGGCACAAGGAGGAAATAATTCTAATTTTCTTCTCCTATACACTTTGAGATGCTTTTAGGTACTCTACCGATGACGTCTATGCTTGGGGAAGATATTTAGACTAACAAAACTGTTAATACCATGTTACTCACCTTGTAAAAAGTGTTATTACAGCATTCTCTGCTCGACGAAGTTTCACGAAAATATAGGCCAAGACTACCTTAATTAATAGTGTTTTATTAAACACCTGCAGCCAAACCCAAAAATTGAGCTCAAATGACCCTGACTGGCGCCCTTACTACTAACAAGAAAAAATAAGCACGAATAACTGTTTTTTAATGGTGAACGAAATTACCCGGCTAGACGCTACAACATTTTAAATCAATCGAACGTTAATATTAATAACTTTTTTCTCTATTGCCAATATAATGTCTCGAACTACAAATGCGAATATATCAAAAGTTTGAAAACACAAAAAGCTGCACATTAAGAGGATGGTTTCTTTCCCGATAAGGCATCGTGAAATCGCATAAGAATATAACAATCTTTTTCTTACTCCGATAAAGCGAAATATGTTAAGCACCAAGAGAACACACATCTACCAGTGAATTCTTGGTTTTCACATGACGTCACCAAAATTCAAACTAAGAAACTATCGCTTCTTCTGAGTTTCTACTTTCGTGTGATATTAGAGCACCTTAAAACCTTTATACGAACAAATTTTCGGTTCAAAAGGGTTCTTTGTTTCGCGATACAGGACGCTGGAATTTCCAGGGTTTTGCGTAATGCGGCATTTAGCTGGCGGCCGGGAAAGCTCTTATGTGGGTTAAAAATATTACGGATTTTTGGAGATTTTGCTATCTAAACATTCCTTGTCTTAGAATAAATATTGCTTTAATTTTTATGAGTTCCTCAAGCGAAGAATTCACGCATAAGTAGGAAAACTCAAAAACAGATGTTTCTGTTGGTTTCCGCGGCCATATTTGTGCCCCTGAAAGGGACACAAACATGGCGTCTCCATACAAAGCTTTATAAATTTGGGTAACTGAACGTTTTTCCAAATATCTCACATATGATCTATTGCATAGACCTGCTTCTTGGCAAGGCTTTTTCTATATTAATCTTCTTTCATTTCCCAGATTCTTTCTGTATTAAAAAGTTTCCATTTTTATTTCTGCTTTCTCGCGTGAGTGAAAACCGAGAATATAATGGTTACCGTTTACTAATTATATTTCGTAATGATTAGTAATGTAAATGAAGAAACCTCTGTCTGAATTTTTTTGATAATTTGGAATACACGCTGTTAGACTTCCGCCGCCAAAATTGTCTAAACAAATAATGTTAGAACTCTGCTAGAAATAGAGGGGCATGAAAAGTGCACGACTTATTCAAGCTTTCCAAGGGAGAGATGAAGAATGAAATCGAGTTGTGGAATAATCATTTTAAATCTACTTAATAGAGCGTTATAGTCCAAAATAAATGATACAGTTTATTGAACATAGGAGTTAGTACTGTCTCTACAAATCAGTAACAAATATATTCTAATACAAAAATAAAACAAATGAAAGTTACCAGAAGGGTGCATCAATAGAGTGACGTTACTGACGTGTGGCAGTTGAGATGATTTGTTCTGCAAAATTTTGCCATATTGCCCTATTGATATGTTAACTTAAATTTACGACAAGGTTCTTTTTGGCTGTAGTATGTTTTTTAAATTAGGGGTCAAATTATAAAGGTAAGGCTATATAGCTAGGGACTAGTTACTCGTCTAATATAATGGGTGACAAATTACGCCTCTTGTGTAATGAACGCCCTCTCTATGATGTTCATTTTGCATTAGACGCCCTTTGTCTAGGTAATAGCCCCCCGTGACAGTTAATGCAAAAAAAAAGGAATTAGCAAAAAGGAGCGAAATCATTCAATTTATTTTGTTTCTTGGTTGTTGAAAAGAGGTTTGCTATCTTTACGCATTGCATCTTTTCAGTGTCGAAAGATTATCGATGATAAAACAATGACCCTCAACGTGCGACATGAAAGAGCGACATGCATTTATAGAAGGCCTAGAAGTTTATATCAATTATAATACCATACTTAGCATACTGACAAAGAAAATTCTTTACACAAACACTTAAGCACAAACAGAGTCAGTTTGCAGGTTGAGGGATGGTTATTTTAATGATCCGAATAAGGAGCACCTCTGTGATGAGGCAGTCGAATTTTGTGTAGCATTTTGCAAACACGTCGAACTGCTCAAGAAGGCAGGTTGGTGTTGCGGTATAATTGTGTTTATTTGAAAACTGTTTGTATACGAAGAAGATTTCTGCTTGTGACCATCAATGCGTTCAAGCAGATGGCGTGTATCCCGCATGTAATATTGCTAATTATTCGAGACCCGAAACTCTTTGAGAGCCGTTGTCATCCAGCGCCAGATAAAAAAATATCGATTTTCACGGAACAAGTCCCTCTAATTTGGTAAACCATTTTTAAAACAACATTTAAAAGTTCCAACGAGATCCCGTTTTTGCGACAAAATAGGAAAGTTTAAAATCGGCGTAATCCTTGTCAAAGGCCGGATGGAAATTATGGAAATTAGGGCATTTTCAAAACGCTGGTATGAAAAAACGAGAGCTTGCTATATTTCATCTTTTCACGGTTTCAAACTATATTTTATCTTGATCTTCACTTCCTTTCTATTTCTTCCACCCGAGCAAAGGAAGCAATGCAACGTTTCGTGCTTTCTCTGCTATGTCACTGCGTTCCGCCGCAGAGAAAACGTGTAAAGTTCTAATCAGCAGAAAGGCAACAACACGTTGAAATAGGAAGGACACGACCAGTTGTGTTTATTGGGGACGAGAAAAAACTAACGTACAAGAAATAAAGTAGTGGCGGAGAAAAACGAATTACATCACTGTAAACTACGAGACTAAACGTAAACAGCATACTAGAAAAAATTAAGCTCGGCAAGGTGCGAGCGGTAAAACTGGCTGTGTCGAGTGACTAACGCGAGAGGCGAGAAGGCTTAAATACTGAGGTGTGACGTAAAATCCCTAGAGGATCAAACTGCGGCCATAAATGCAAATTCCGAACATAAACACATTTCTCTGCTATGTCACTGCGTTCCGCCGCAGAGAAAACGTTTAAGTTCTAATCAGCAGAAAGGCAACAACACGTTGAAATAGGAAGGACACGACCAGTTGTGTCGAGAAAAACAAAGAACGAGAGCGAGCGCGCGTAACTCAGAGACCTATGCGCGAAGTAGCAAGAAGCTGACGTCGGAGATTTTCACGGCAATATAAATCCTTGGCAGAGTCAGATTTCCACCTGCCGTGGTTTTTAATGACGTGATCGGGAACTCCGCTATTAAGCGCAGCCGAAGCGCCCCCTATCCTAAGCGAGTGCAAACCTATACCCGACGTATCAACACCGATGGCCCGAAACTTAGCCAAAACGACTTCCCTCGCCCTGGTGTAAGACAAACTCGTACCGGAACGAAGGGAATAACCCTTAGAAGAGGATAAGGTTTTGAAAAACAAACTCAACCGAATCAAGATTACGCCTAGCCAGAGCGGCATAACGGAGCAGCATAGCGCAGGGGCATGCGGGGGTACCAGTACTAGCGATAACTAAAGTACACCCTTTACCCAATTGATCAACTTTGCTTTTGGAAACGTAGAGCTCAATATGATCTTGAAAGAAAGAAATGTCAGACCACCTAAGACGACTTAACTCGTCAAAGCGCAAAAAACCAGCAAAAGCAAGCAAACAAAAACAAACGTCCCTGATATCCCCGAGGGATGCTGAGGGCGTAGCAAATCTATTAACTAACGCGACTAAATGCTCAGGCAAAATGGGTACCCTATTCAACTTTCGAAGCAACGCGCTTACAACCTTCAAGAATAGCCAGAAGAAAAGCTGATTTACAAGGATTCGAGACCCCGCAAGCATTATGAAAAAAGCTTATACTGTAGAACGCCTGCTGAATGGAGGAATATGAAGACCCTGATTGAACTAACGAAATTAAATACAAGGCTACGTGTTCCTTTTGAGCCGGGAAGTAAATAACCTCTGGGAAACCACTGGCCCAAGATTTCCAACGCTTGAAACAACCGTGGTAGGTCTTGAACGTGCTAGGAGCCTTGCTGTGGGCAAGAACCGCTGGAATGTGCGTACGCAGGCTCTCCAAAGCCGGATGGTGAACGCGTGATACCCTGGAACTTGTAAAAAAATAAAGCAAAAAATAAGGCATAAGAGAAATGGGGAAACAAGGTAGACGTGGAATTCCGATTGCAATTTATTAAACGTGGACAGCCAATAACACGTTCATACTAAGTATAGGCAATAACAACAATATGTGGAGAAAACAAAAAACCCTAAAATTCGTACAACGTTGCCAACAAAGGCCATAGGTTAACAAAAGATAAGCAAACACGCTTTAGAGCCACCGTCAATAAGGCACTAGCCTGTAAAAAACTATGAAAAAACGAACCGGAATAAACCGAAAAAAGAACACGCGCTATAAAGCGCTAAATATCGCACGTGAACCGCTATAAAGCGACAAGGGTCACACACGAACCGCTATAAAGCGCTAAACAACGTACGTGAACCGCTATAAAGCAACGAGAGTCGTCCGTGAACCCTAAAAAGCGCTACATGGAATAGCGCGAAAAGCTCTGCAATAAAGTACCAATGCCTGAATAACGGCTCTAAACACGCGAGCTGGCGTCCAAATAAATAACAAGTACAGGAGCGCGAAAACCGAAAGCGCTAAAAATAGTAGGGAACCCCAAGTTGGAATCGTCAAAAATACCTGAAGGGTCAGAAAATTCTATGATTCGGGAAACCGAATCCCGAGGGTGACCTAGAGGAAAGAGGTAAGGCCAAAAACTAGCAGAAGGCCATTTGGGGGCGATAAGCGTACCGCGCGCGCGAGACGTTTCCAAATGCGCAAGAAAGACTGGAGGAACCAAATAGTTGTTAACGCCGCCCCGACTGGCACTAAAAGCGTCCACGCCTTCGCAACCGGGACACCAGAACGTAGAGTAAAAACGCTCGCACTTAGCGGAAAGAGAGGATGCGAAACGATCGACGTCAAAAGGACCAAAAATACTGCCAACATGTTGGAAGAAAATAGTGGAAACAACCCAATCATCATAATCAACAACGCGACTGACCGAATCCGCGTAAGAGTTGAGTGGGCGTGGGATCCACTCAACTTCAAGTGAAATATCATGTGCGGCACAATAGGCGAAAATTTCGAGAGCTAAAGCATGCAAACGAAGGCTGTTGCTGCCCTTGGCGGAAATAGACGCCGCATTCTTACTATCCGTAAAGACCTTGACCACTTTGCCCGTAAGGGAAGCGCGAAACGATTTCAGGCCGTAAAGAATGGCTAACAATTCGCTGGCGTTACTATCTAAACCGGACTCCAAAGAGGAAAACGCTTGAAAGAAAAGATCGAACTCCTTGCTATCAACGCGGAAGGCAAACCCACCGCAGGCGAAACTGCTGGCGTCGGAATACACGAGAGTCACGGGAAGCGAATATCTGGTGAGAGACCTCCCATTGAGTCTGGCACAGTTAGAGAGCCAGAAATCAATTTCCTGAAGGCATTCGGAGAAAACTGATAGGACCTAAAATCCAAAGGACAATCCCACCCGCTATGAAGTTTGACGAATGATTGGAGGAATCTGGACATAAGGAGTGTAATGTTGCCATAACCAGGGCTGACGGAAATAATTTGCCCTGTAACAGAGGCAACCGCGCGTGGGGTAACGGAGCGAGACCCAGATTTTAGTGATAGGAGTGCCCTAAGCAACTTGACAATGCGGCGGTGAGGAATAAATGTGCGGCCACGCAAAAGATCCCAGACAATGCCCAACCATTCCAAAACCTGGGTAGGAACCCAAATAGATTTCTCCTCATTGGCGACCACGCCCGCGTTGGCCAAATCGGATCTAACAGCCGAAGCAGTACTCTGAGCTACCGAAAAATCATGGAGGCATCCGGCGCCGTCGTCTAAATACAAGACCAAGGGTATGCCCCGGGAGCGCCAATGCTTAACTAACGGCCTAAAAACCTTAGTGAACACGTAAGGCGCTGACGAGAGACCGAACGGGAGCACGGCGAAAACAAAAAACCTGGGCTCTACAGAGCTACCGAGGGGCCACTGAAAGCCTAAAAATGTTTGAGATTCCTCATGAATGCTTACATGATGATACCCAGACTTCATATCGAATTTAAACATATAACCTGGCGAGTGTACATAATTAAGAAAAGTCCTACTATCCTCCATTTTAAACTTAACTTTAGGAATAAACTTATTGACGTGACGGAGGTCGAGAATAAGGCGGCGCTTTCCCACAGAGTTAACGGATACCGTTAAAGGATTGACAACCGTGGGAGGCGTAAAAACTTCGATAACGGAACCCGCAAGAAGCAGATCAGAAATAGCACTGTCAACAAAACTGGCGTGATCTAAGGCAGACCTATTGTTACAGAAAAAAGCTCTAGGAGGCCATGAAATAAAAGGAATGCGATAACCGAAACGGATGATGTAAAGAACCCAAGGGGAGGAACCGATACTAACCCAAAAATCAACCTTGCTCCTGAGCCTATCCTTATAAACTATGGGCGCTGACCCCTGCTTATACTCAAAACCACGAGAGGACAAACATTGTTCGTATTCAGAGTCGAAACAGTACTTATCTTGTGAGAGTAAGTCAGCAAACTCCTCCTCCACACGGGCGTTGACATCACCCACCTTCGAGCCAGAATGCGAAGCTGAATAGTGCACGCCTAGAGCGCCGGAAGCCTCCTGCTGTAAAGACGCCATAAAAGAATTTCCAGGGACGGTTAACGGCGCCTGTGGAACTAGCTGGCAGCTGGCTGGATGAACAGCCACCATGAAACCTTGCGAGACGGACCGGGCACTCCTTCCACCAGTGGCCTGAAGAACTGCAGTATCGACAAGGCCCTCGGGTGAATTCACGGTTAGTGGTGAAATTGTGTTGGTTTGTCGAAGAGGAAGCGAACGGCTGTGAAGACTGCCAAGAACGCTGGCTCCCGTTGAACTGCCTTGAGTAAGGGGAGAAGAAAGGTTGTGCTTGACGATTTCGGACCGCAAATCCCTCAACATTACGCTTCTTTCTTTGTCGAGCTTGATCCCTCAGAGCCTGCCTCTCTGCAGCGCGAATTTTCTTGTCGTCGTCCTCGCTCAACGAGACGGGATTAGATTCGTAGTGTTTAACGGTCAACCAACCGGCCTCGGACGAATCCGCGATCCGTATCTTGCGGTTACGTTCCTGTAATAGTTCTACGGTTTCGTCAAGAATTGAAAACGCCTCAGACTCGGGAGGTAGATCGGCCAAACGATCCTTAAGTGAAACAAGCTTGCCTTACACTTGACCGTTAAATTTGAAATTACGTTCGTTGCCGGTGTGATTAAACTTGATCTCCGACTGTTCCTTCAAAGAATTAGAAGCAGAAAGGGCAGCTGAGGCAACCTCTTGCGATTTCTGTACCTCGGAAGAAATAACTGATTTGTGAAGGGCGAGCTGACTAACAACAAAATCATTGAAACTAGCAAGATCTTGCTTTGTAACAGGCTCGTCTCCCATACTAGAAAATTAAGCTCGGCAAGGTGCGAGCGGTAAAACTGGCTGTGTCGAGTGACTAACGTGAGAGGCGACAAGGCTTAAATACCGATATGTGACGTTAAATCCCTAGAGGATCAAACTGCGGCCATAAATGCAAATTCCGAACATAAACACATTTCTTAACACCAATGTTTTTGCCATATTTCATATTTCAGAAGGTTATAACATCAAGGGAAAATAAATTTAGCGGCTGTGAGAGGAATCTTTTAAAAAAAACATTCCTCCTGTTTGTCATACTAAAAAATTCACAGCTAATCAACTGTATATCTTCTCTCTCTTCCTCTCTCTCTCTTTCTCTTTCTTTTTTTCGGTTTCAGGTGATATGCAATAACATTCCATAATAACTGGATGTGTCATTGCACAAGAAAACATTTCTGTCTTTTGTTTAATTTATAGGTTTAAGATAAATTGGAAGGCTGGAAGGCTCACACCTGTCTAAACAAGCGTAGAGGAATAAGTATAGAAATACATTACGTTCGACTTTATTCTATTTGTATTAAAATGGGTATGATCAGTTAAATTCCGTTTTTTACCATTTTTGTCTGTTGTGTTACTTGAGTTTTATTTTTTTGCGGCAGACGTTGATTACTGGAAGTTATAATTACCAATCGAGGTCCTCTTTCAAACACAATATAAATTTCGGAGAAGCGATTAAAAATACAAGCAAACAAACATTAACCTACAAATTATTTTTCAGTGCAATAAGTGAATAACATCAGACAGAAATTTTGCTGGCATATTTTGGGAGAGAAAGCATTTAAAGTTTATTAAACGGTTTGAACTTTCACGAAAAGTAAAGGGATACTTCGAAAGCGACTCATCCTATCATCTTTTGAAGAAGGCACTGAAAATAGCGCCATACGACCGACACGATAGCTTCAGAGACATTCTCACTCAATGAATACACACACCGAAAAGTAACTCATCTTAGCATCGGATTTTAAAGATATGTAGGACTTAAATATGGGACTAATACCTCCACGCAAGAACATTATTTTTCGTTACAATTCTGTTTGCAAGTTGTTTTTTTAATGAAATGACCCACCCTCCGCAACCCTTCCCTCAATAATTAAAAAAAGGCGGTCCATTGCAGGGGCGACGGGAAAGGGAAGTGTGATCCGTCCTCCTCCCTCCCCGAGGGTTGTCCAATACACCCGCACTTTAACGGTCCGTACAATCCATCCAACTGTTTGTTTCTTTAAATCTACATTGTTCCTGAAAAGCCCCTTTGGGGAGGTAACAATAAAGTATGTATGTGTGTGTACTGTGTAATCTATGTTACGATCCGTACGGATCGTATGGACTGAAAAATGGCATACAGTTCGTAAAGGGCCGTTTACGGTCCGTAACCTGCATCTCATTAGTGGGGCAAGAGAGGCACTCTATACGGGTTGTCCATTCGTGCGGACCGTAAGAATCGCAAACTATGTTTACGGTCCGTAAATTGCATGTCGTTTACTTAGTGGGACCACACACTGGACAGTGATTTCAGGTTTCTCAGTCTTTTACCGGCTCTTTTATAACGGCTCGTTTTTTGGTTGCTTTACTTTCAGAATGTGTAGATTTGCTCTTTTTAGGTGTCTTACTTTTCAGGTCCTGTCGCAGTGACGAACTTCCCTTCTGTGGTTTTGAGTCCAGTTTTTCACGAATAATACTTTGCTTTGACTTAAGAAACATAGTTGGAACCCTTTGCAGCACCGCCACCTGCACTTCTATTGGGAATTTTCTCTGGCAAATGCCTTCCCAAGCTTCCCTAACATCTACTGCTAAAAAACACTTTTAAGCGAAAATGTAGGTTACAAATGGACTGTCGACTATTTCCTCCAAAGCTGAGTGACCTGTGTGTTTCAACATAACTTGTTTTATTTTTTCTCTTAGAGACTGGAGATGTTTGATCAGTCAGGTGTTATTGAATTCTGCCTTAGTGATCACCAGATGATCTATACATTCTTGAAACCGAACGTTAAGCATCATCCAGCAAAAGTCATATCTTTCCGAAGTACCAAACACTAAAGTCTTGGACCCTGAAGCGCTGAGAGCTGACGTTAGTAGTCGGATGCGTACGTTAGAGATTGATACTTGTGAGAGTACACAGGAACAGTATAATCGATGGCACAACGCGCTCACCGAAGTTTTGGACAGGTATATGCCGATCAAGAAACTATTAAAGAGTCAGAGAAAAGGACTCCCCTTATATCACCAGAGAATGCAAGAAAGCTATCAGAAAAAAATGAGAAAGTACGTGAAACGTCGTAAGAAGCTACAAACTGAAGAAAACGACCAGTTGTGGAAGAAGTGGCGCAATATTGCGACCAGCATTAGAAGAAAAGCCATAAAGCAATATTGGACAGAGAGATCTGATGAACTTAGGACCAATCCCGACGCACCTTCTTCAAAACATTCACGCCATTTCTGAGCGATAAAGGTGGTGGTGAGGCAGCAATTCACTTAAAGGAAGGAAATAATATCGTCCATGACCAGTATGAAGTGACGGAGCTTTTTGCCAGTTATTTTGCTACGATAGCTGATAGTACAGGGATAGGTCTCAATACAATCCCTGAAGCTGACCACCCTGGTGTGAAAAGAATCGAAAATATATGGTCTGACAGTGTGTTTATCTTCCGCCAAGTCCATCGCTCAGAAGTGTTAGCAGCCTTAGCAAAGTTAAACCCACACAAAGCTACAGTTCACGACCTCGTATTACCAAAGGTCCTTCGTATGACAGCAGACGAAGTTGCCTCTCCTCTCACTCATATATACAATGAGATAATATCGCAGGGTACGTGGCTGGAACAGTGGAAGTGGGGAGAATGGGCGCCTGTATTTAAGAAGGATGACGCGCTCAACAAATGCAACTGTAGACCTGTTACTGTGCTGGTAACAGTGGATAAGGTGTTCGATCAGCTACTCGCAGGACAATTCGAACCTCTATCTAACAAAGTATTTGACGGCTTGAATTCAGCATACCGTAAACGATATAGCTGAGAATTTACTACGTTAGTGCGTCTGGTCGAAAACTGGAAGAGGTCTCTTGACAACAACCACACAGTTAGGGTATTATCTACTGACATGAGCAAAGCTTTTAATTGCTTATCCCCGCTGTCCTGCTGCTTGCAAAGCTCCAAGCTTATGGTCTATGTAGCAACTCCTTGGCTCTTCTAAAGTCCTATTTTATGAACAGGAAAAACAGGGTGTAACTAGTGACATGAGCATGGAAAGCAGTCAAACGTGGATGTCTCCAGGGGTCATCACTTGGCCCAGTGTTGTGGAATTTTTTATCAAAATGATCTGTTTTATGAAAACATTCGATCGCAACTGAGTGCTTACGCTGACGACCACCAAATATATATTTCGGGTGAGAAGATTGACAACGTCGTCAGCAGTCGTGAGGAGGACGCGAATACAACTGGTCGCTGGTATAAATCCAACTACCTCTCGGGTAATCCATCGAAATATCAAGCACTGGTTGTGTCAAGAGCCAAGCAGGAAGTCGAGAAAGCGGTGCACATCGATGGCCATACAATTCGGCGGGCTCAAGAGATTAAACTACTGGGGGTGATACTCAGGATGTAAGCCTACAGTTCTTGGAACATATTGAAAATTGCACCAAAACAAGCAGAAGAATTGGCGTGTTATCTAGATTAAGGAATCAGATCCCCACAACAGCAAAACTAACAATCTATAAAACAGCCGTTATGCCACACTTCACATACTGTAGTCTCCTTTGGCACTTCTGTAAGGTTAGTGATAGGCGAAAACTAGAGCGCATGAACGAAAGGGGCCTGCTGACAGTCTACAATGACTGGTCCGCATCGTACGATGACCTCCTAAGAAGAGCAAAAATGACAACACTTTATAATCGGAGGCTTTATAGGATATAGCCATTTTCATGTTCAAAATAAAGCACGGCATGTTGCCAAGCTCAGTAACCGAACTATTTAACACTAGTCACACAAACTATAATCTCAGAAACGCAGACTTCAGAGGGGAATGTTTCAACACTACAAAATACGGTAAAAAAGGCATCTGAAAGACAGACATTGCCTTGTTAATAGATGACTCGTGTAACGACTGTGTCCTTTGCAAGAGTTAGCATTAATTCACCTCACTATTTTACTCCTTTTTAGAGTTACTCAATTTACGATTCAGAGATATTATTAGGAAGTTATTTATAAGAACTAGAATTTATTAGAGTTTTTATTATAATTAGAATTTACAATATATTACTCGAGTTTTATATATATGATACAGTCTCCCCAATTAGTAAGGCACTGTGCCTGAGCTATAAGACATGAGACTTTAATAAAGTTCATTATTATTATTATTATTATTATTATTATGTTAAACAAAGTGTTATGTACAGGAAGATTTAAAACAATTTTTTCCTTACTTCACTGCATTCTTTAGCACAGTAGGGATGACCATATAAGGACTGATCTTGAGGCCAACAGCAAATATACCAGCGTCGAACTCTCGGAGATTAGATGAGTAGTAAAATGGAGCCCCTGAACTGTCCTTGCGTCCCTAAATGAATGGAAGATGCAATATTTACTAGGCCCTGAAATACTTGCAGTATGAGCTCTTTTTAAATTAGTGACTTAATTTCCATGGCATTCTTGACGATTTTAAGGTGTCGTTTGCTGTTTAGTTCTCTACTGTTCGTTTAAAAACCGTTTAGCACAGAGGTTTCTTGGTAAGATAATATTTTTAATCCCTTAAGTTTTTATTGACACGCTTTGCGGTTAGCTAAAAAAATATTGCGCCACTTTCTAATGCTTGCGTAGGTGAAGCACTCTGGAAAGTAAACGTTTCTTGGGCGTCACACACGTCTGTCCTTCCGTCTAGCCTAATTGCAGCCTCTCTTGTTGGGGACAAGAGCGGGGCAAGCGATCGAGAGGCTAGAGGGGACGCGATCAGTGAACATCCCGCGTGAGTAACACGAAGTGAATCTAACGAGAAACTTCAATTTGAAAGCCTCTAAGGTCACATTCCCTCAGACGGTCTGATAATTTGCTTGGGCTTTTGTCTGCACGTATGGTGATTGGTAGTTGATCAGATTTAATACTATGGTTTTGGTGATCTACAACATGTTATTTTTATGCCACCATCGATTCTTGGATGAATGAGAGACGTCAAAGACAAGTTATATGTATCCAGCGATTATTAATTAACGATAGATTTTGAAACCATTTTAGTGTTACCAAAGGACAAAATTACTAGGGGTAATTACATTGAAACAAAAAACGGAAAAGGCTCTTAATTATTCGTTGGTAGTGATTGTGTTACACAATATATAAGTACTTACCAATGATCCCTTCTGGGTTGTCATAGTGAATCTCCAGCAAGTAACTTTTCGGAGTATCTACTGTTCCTATTGGAAAACCAGCATTTTTCGGATAATAAAATGCCTGTGTAGCGAACAAAGAAAAACAAATAAAAGAGGCTGATGGTCACATTAGCTCTTGAGCTCCACTGTGTTAGGCTCTTTCATTTGTTTCCGCAATAGGTAGTTAAAGCCCAGTCTTATCGCTTCCCACTAGTACTATTGTTTTGGTTTTCTACAGAAAATTGAAAGACAGGCATTCCACAGTATTCTAGTAAAGCCAATTTACAATCGTCAACCTCACCACCTACTCCCCAAACTGCTAACACTTTGCCATAGAAACATTTGCGGAATGGCATATTGGCGATGTCTTTACAATCAACACCAAAACCGTAATGACTCTCATTATAGTCACCATGGCACTCGTTACAAGAAAATGATGGACGAATCCTTCCTTTCCCTTTTGAATATATGGCTCGATCTGCAAAGATAAAAACAAAAGATAGTCAAGATACTCGATGAAGATGAATGAAAGAATCACGTCAGAACTTTATGACAATGGCACTTGTACAAAGATCACGCCAAGTGAGTAATAGCATATATAGAGCAATGTTTTACGGTTTATTATCAGAACGAGATACGAGTAAACAATGCGTTCCAAGTCTTAAAACAATGATCTCACGTGCATTGATCGCTCTTCGTTTCACGGAAATTCAGTGTAAGTGTTCTTACTGCAATCAATATCCTCCTGTGTGTAAAAGAGCTGGAACGCAAGTTCCAATCGATTACTGAAAACATCTACCTTGGTTATGTGGTGCTTCGAGGTGATCTTAGGTGCCTTAATCAGTGAGCACCAGTAGGTTGTGTGCTTCTTGGGAATGGTAACCTGTAAGATAATCGTACATTAATTTGGATTGAGTAAACGTGTGATAACTTTGAAATGTTTACAGTTACATTCTTGGCAGTAAATATGTGTTACACATAAAAAAAGACGAGGATAAGGATGATGATGATGACGACGACGACGATGATGATGTTGATGATGATGGTGGTGGTGGTGGCGGTAATGATGGCGGTACTTTTGATGATTGTAATGAAAGCCAGAGAGGGAGAGTTTGGCGCCGGATGATAGCAGCGGTAAATGTGAAGATAATCCTGATTGATAAGTGATTTCAATGAGCTTTTTGCAGCATTGCCAATGAGTTTCGCTAACTGGTCTATTGAAGTTATCATTTATTTATAACTTTTATAATAATTACTAACCCATGGTCATTATCAAAGGCATCGATATCAGCGCTATAATTTCTTTCTCTCGCGTGCAAATCAAACAACATAATTGTAACAAGTACATTCTTGGAGGTCTACGTAGTGTATGTTCTTACATTTTTACTTTGAACTACAAAACTCTTCCATCCTGTCTCGTCGACTTGTTTCTTGTCCATGTTGTTGAGGAGTAATATGCTTCTTGACCCTCTGAAAGTGTGCTGTTTAAAATCGTTTTCAGTCTCGGGATCCTCGGTGTGGTAAGCAAACACCACCTTTGTGGTGCCTTCCTGTGGGATACAATACAGCCTGGTTAATTACTCTGTCTGGGAATTGAGATAAACAGGTTCTTATGAAGGGTATGATACAACAAATACAAGTTGGTGCAGAATAACATTTAGGTTGAGCATTAATATCATCGGTTAATGGCCATAAACAGAATCTAAGACAGTGTCTAAAGAGAGCAAATCAAAGATAGGACGACGTATCTTATCATGGCGTAAAAAGTTGTCAAGACTAGAGCCGTTGTCAAACATCTCCGAGTATCATCCACGGAAAAGAGGAAGTAAATGGGAGGTCAAGTTTAGCATTGCAGTACATATTTGTTTTTTTTATCCATGCCACATCAAACCTGCGAAAGGTATAAAGCCAGCAAAGCTCAAGTATGATTCTTTTTTTTTCACTGCCTTACCTTTATCTTCCTGTCCCTGGAATCGCATGTATCAAACTTTCTCTTAAATTTCAACACAGTTGTTTGGGCAATCTCCTCGAAGCCAGTTAAGATGTAGTTTTGTTCGCTGTCCTTCGGTGGTAACGATTTTGCGTCAGCATATCGATCCTAAACACAATGCTAAAGATAAGTTACTTTTCTAAATCAATAATTGACCTAAATTTGGGAAAATTGTGTTTGCACAATAGTTTACAGCTGCAGTTTAGACCAAAGTTCTCTTAATGACGAAAAAAAGGTGTTATAAAGCTATTCTGACATCCACTCATGTCTAATTGTTAGAATCATTGGGTAATCGTTGTTGGTTTTCACATGACGTCACTAAAATTCAAACTACAAAACTATCGATCCCACTGAGATTTTACTATCATGGTGTATTAGAGCAGCTGAAAACTAATTTTCAAACAAATTTTCGCTTCAAAAGGTTTCTTGGTTTTGTAATAGAGTACGCTTGAATTTCTCAGCTTTTGCGTGACGCAACATTTACATGACGGCCGAGAGAGCTGTCATTTAGGGTTAAAAAGTGACTTTTTTCGAGGAATTTTGCTATCTAAACAGTTCAAGTATTAGAAAAAGTATCACTTTAATGTTTATGAGTTACTCTAGGAGTTAACACGCTTTTGTAGCAAACTCGCTAACAGATGTTTCAGTTGGTTTCCGTCCGCCATGTTGGAGCTCATCCGGATGAGCTCCAGCATAGCTAGCATCTCCATAAAAAGCTCTATAAATTTGGATAAAATAGTTCCTCGGATATCTGGTATACGAATTACTCCTTCGACCCAAATCTTGGCGAGGGTCTTTGTATATTTACCTCCTTTCATTTCCCAGATTCTGGACTTTATCTGTCGAATGGTTTTGATTTTTATTTTGATCTATTTTGAATGGCGTGACACTGAAAACCAGCAATAAGTGAACTATTTACAAGGTCATCATCAAGGTAAGAAAATACCGTCCGTAAATTGCATATTTCATATCCTTAAGTAACTCCCGATGGGAAAAGTTTCGTAACATAGGAGTTAATATCGTCTGTTCAAGCTAGGCTTCAATTGTTGAATCATATAAACCTTTAAAAATGTGTAGGTCCAATCATAGGCAGGATTCTCAGGAAGCTCTGAACGGGTGAGGGACGTCTCTGACGCCCATTCGCCGGTCCGTCTTTATTTAGGTACCTTATTTAGGAGAGTATTGCCCCTAACCACACACCCACGGTAATATATCACGTAGTGCGACAACTTTTTTCACCCAAGCTATGTAAGTGTTCTCACGACAAGAAATTTTGTTTCCAAAGCTGCTATTGCGTACTTCTAGGCTAACCTAACACTTTGAAAGTGTGTAGCCTGCTATTTATCCATATTTATTTTTCTCACACAAACGGACCCCTTCGGCTTTCAAGTGTTAAGTGACTGCAGGGGAACCTGCACTAGGCAAAGTTCAAATTAGCTACTTTATGGGAGATTTTTATAACAACAACTGCGAGTACGAGAATTTTAATCATAAGTGACACTGGCTTTTTGGTAATTAGGGGACGCATGGCCTTAAAAGCTCTTCATAACGAAGTAGGAATGTGAAAGTTTACTGTCCTTGAGCTTTGATGTGCTTCAAGTGCTTCAAAATCAACATCTCCATATTTTTAACCTACCGTGAGATATCCTTTGGAATCCTTCACCCAACCGATAACCACATCACTACCGACCATCATGCCGTTACCTGAAGAGAAACCGAACCCGACCCATCCAGTAGTCGCCGCCTCAACAGCGAACGATATGGTCTCCTTGTCCCAGTCAACTGTCCAATACAGTTTCAATAGTTCTGCAGGATCCAACACCGCGTGATGGGCATATTCAGATGAGAGGTCAGCGATGCTTATGGAAAGTAAGGCCGAAAAGGCAACTAGCAGCGCAGGGGACATTCTTTCAGGTGCTCTATCTCGTAATTGAAATGTTCAAATTATTGTCATGCATGTGAAGTTGACGCATGTATGAAAACAAAACCACGCATAGTGATCAACGTCACGCGATGTTTCACTCAGAGACTGAGCACCTTTTAGCTTAAAAGTGGTCATTCAATTTAGAATAGAATCCCCTCAAGCTTTTATATTACACTTCGTTTCAGTCTTTCAATTTAGTGAAGAACAAGTGTTTCACCCTTGGCAGAGGGAAAGACTGGCATACCGAAATCAAGATGTAAAAATGCAGATTAGTTAATGCCAAACAAAGAAA